CGATCATTGTACATCCATAGATGTGTCTGTGGAAATTGCTATTTTGTACTCGTACATATCTACGACAACTGCATATGTGCGTCAAAATCTTGTCTGTCGAGACTTTGTTTCAAACTGCGGGAATATGATTAAGTACGGATTACTCCTTATGTACGATATGATCGCCCCTTGATCGCGACGGAAGGAGTCATGGATCCGGGGAAGATGTTCCGGTCCATGGTTCACAGCAGCCCAGATCTTGGTACGCTTCACGTTCCAATATCCAATCTTTAAGTCGGGATTTAAATGCTGCTGCGAGACAGATATTTTCATCGGCACTGCATGCTGACTCCGTACTCGTAGATAAAATCTACTACGCATATGTATACCAACCCTTGTCTCGTTCGCAAATTGGCTTTCCTGATTGGACAATTGCCCCGATGCATGGGATACACCACAGATGAGCCCCGATTGATCATATTGGCAATAGTATAATTTATTTCATACAGATATTCTTGGTCTTCTGCACACTTTTCATTTGTACTCCGAAAATGCTGGTATTCTATGTAATGTACTCCGTACTAACTAATTATCGAACGGAGATGGACCTTCTCCCCCCGCGCGGAGGCCCATACGCTCTGGAATTTTCGAGAAAAGAGTGGACACCATACTAAGGGGGCAAGTGGGAAAGTGACGGAGAACGGAGAGGTCGGAGGACCTAAGGTGTTTCGAAACTCGTCACTTGATTGCCCGGCGCGCAAAGTAAGGTTTATGACCTGACGCGACCGTTGTCGAGAACAAAGGAAGTTCGAGAACAAACTTCCATAGTGCATTGGACTACGAGTAAGTCTCCGTCCAATGATTTGATTAGTGGGGAATATCACGTTCACAAAGGGTGACCATTAAAGAAACCTTGCGAGAACCGGAAAACAGGTGTTGTTCGCGAAGCAATCCTTGTGTCGCAATGAGGCCGAGCCGCGATTGAGGAAAGATGCAAAAAAAGGGGTAAAGGTGATCAGCATCATCGGAGACCCGAGATTCTGGGTAAACTAGAGGATGAATTCGAGTCTTTATTGGATGCATGCTGCACCGAGCGGCAGGACTGGGTCTCGGCAGCTGGAAATCCGTCCGGTTGGGCGAGCTGTGGGTGGTGATGATGATGTTTGGCTGGGCTCCTGCGACTCCTAATGTCCGACCTGCAAGGAACAAGGAACGAGGGGTCATGGTGGCGAAATCATCCTTTTAGCTTTAGGCTGTTTCGATTATTGACCAGTTGATTATCCATCGACCTGCCCAGGTGCAGCGTCAGTACGAGTACGCTCAAACACTTGGGGCCATTGAATCCCTCGGTTTTTCGAGGTCCAACGTTCCTTTTGGTTCTGAGTTACTCTTGGGTTAACATTCGCTTGCATTTTAAATAACCATGTATATATTGTACTTAAGTATCAGAGCGCACGACCCTGGAAGGTGAACTTGCGTGGGAAGTACGGAGTACAAAGTACTTATCTCACTATATACTGAAGTATATATCTCGCCAGCCAACGCCTGTAACTTCCAACTTTTGGTATGATCTGGCACTCAACTTTCGAAATTAGTGATGTTGTGAGGCATACTTGTACTTGACTTGGTTATATCAAAGCTTTAGAAGTTTGTTGTTAGCGAACAGACAAATTTACATTTTACTTGTATACTCCAGGAAGTCCGTTCTCCGTGCTCGGTAAGTAACTATGTACCCCCAGGGCCGTCACTTCGCTCACCCACACCTAGACACTCCCACCTACTTGTAACTTTAAACGCACCTGAGCAGGGTCTGTCAGCGGCGTGACGGGTAACTGCAGCGTAAATGAGAAGCGTCTGAACCCTCCAACCTTGACAATTCATTCTCGGAATCGCGTGGGGGTTATACGTATTCGAGTATTTTCAAATAGCATTCTACGTAGACTTGAGCTTCTCAACACTTCGCTCAGACGAATGAGGACTTTCTAAGCTAGGGCCAACCCGCTAGGTAGATTTGTTGATTCATATCAGCCTGACCGCGTACAGACTACGAACACTCCATAGTTAGTCTGCGTGACATAGTTAGTCTGCGTGAGATTACTATATCCCAAAGGTATGATACACATTTGGCAGCACAAATCCCAAGGTTCCGAATCGTGTAGTGTTTGATAAATTTTTTTGTGCAAACCTTGTCTTGCTCAAGCGAGTCATGAGCTCGAAATTGGGCAAATTGCGAGATTCAAATACTACTCGTAGGACATCCGCTGACTTTCCCCATCGATTCACCCCAATTTGTATCCTAGTTCTAAGTTAGTGTTCTAGACTCCCAATGGGAGTGATTATCCACCTGGGCACTTGAGCATACTCGTATCACGAAGTTTGAAGTGCCTCTATGTAGGTTTGATCTGAATGACTCAATGTTCAGACCGGTGATCTACATACCTCGCAATATTGTATTTGTACGAATATAACGTTTATTCCCGAGGTCTGCATTTGACCCTCGATGTGATTGGTACTTGTATAAGTATATGCCACCTGTAGACCTACTAGGAACGTGATGACCGTGATCGAGCTTAGCTGTTGGCTTTACAAGGCGCACCTACTCGTGTCTTCCAGCCCGATAAATGCATATCAATCGTCCAATGCAACTTCGAGAGAGTGTTGCTAAGTAGTTACAACCCTGTAAGTAAAAGCGTAGGGTCTTCCGCCTTACCCGATGAGACTACGTGTACGCGCGAAACAGCATGTTTCGCTCGGCCAACGCCCTCTAACGCATTCTGGCGAAGAACGCTGAAAGCACAAGCCAAGTGTTTTTGTGGACTCGTTGCGCGTCTTTGAATCCTCGTGTACTCAAGTATGTGTCCTAGGAAAGCAGAAAAAGAAGAAGGAAAAAAAAAAAAAAAAACGATGCGTCCAATCATCATCCTCACAAGATAAATCGACCCGGTGACAAGTGAATAACTACGAGTAGTCAATGTTCCAGGTTTCCGCGGTGTGCGGAGTATGATGCTGAATGATAGTCAAGATAGTTAGCCACTAGTCTCCTTGAGCCAATTGTCCATACCACCCGGGCGAGGTGCGCTCTACGTAGGAGATAAGAAGCACGTAAGCAACATACAAACTCAAAAGAGTACCGAATTAGGTATCATGGTTCAGGAGAGTGTCTGAACTTAATGGTAATAGTAATGGTTCTGGCTGCAGTTGGTTTACAAATGGATCACCCCATGTATCACCTAGTCAAATCATCTTATTTAACCCGGGGCGAAGTGTTCAAGTGTACTCGTAGGGCCTACGCAGCACGATGTCCTCAATTTGCGGTACTATATTACATATCCCATCACCTGGGCAAGTGCTTCCCCCAGCCCACATGTTCTCATTTTGGTTAGATGTGGAGTGTTAGAAATATACAAGTGATGGCCCGTGGTTCCAAGGTTGTACCAAATAGCCCGTCGAATCGAAATTGACCAAAGAAACCATTCCCAACAGGCCTGTGTTTGGCATGCTAGATGCGTGTAGGGACCCCCCATATGTTTAACAATGGCTCTGTATCTACTCCGCACCCATGTCTGCATCCACTTGAGCACCACCTGGGTACGAGTATGCGCAGACGTACGAGTAATTGCCCAGCCACCGGGGACGAGCGCCCGCACGATTCAACCAGAGCCCCGAAAGTGGGACCGTGGAATCCACTTGCGACTATCGTGACATTCAATAGATTAAAAACCGCCTTCTAGAACATCTCTGTTGCTCGGTAGTCAGAAAACAGATATCTGCCCCGACGGATGTCCCAGGATCATATATATTACCCGACATGGTGAAAACGAGCAAAGAAAGGTCGCACTGCTTAACGACCGGGTTTCTGGGTTGGTTGGATATTGTCCCGAGAACGGACCACTAGTCTTGCTCATCAATTCACCCTGCCCTGAGACACTGGGGCGGGAAACCGAGTCAGAGAATATTCGTAATTCCAATACTCCGTAGGTAATCCGTAGAGACCCCGAAGTTGAGGACCCCCTTACTGTTTGAAGTTCAAATTACAGTTTCCCCCGTTACGCTTCAATGAAGATCAATGAAGATATCGGCTTAGGTTTGGCTGATAATTTAGGTATCATGTAGACTCGGGACGGAGTACGGAGTACGGAGTACAGCAGATGTGATGGCTGAGAGTCACTTGCATTTGAATTGCCATCCACTACATAGATGCCGATAGGTGCCATATCCAGTTCCTAGGGCAATTTTGGTCTGCCATGTGCCCCCTAATTGCCGCGGTCGAAAACAGGCCACTAACAGGGTCTGAGCCTCCCAGCCCTGTGGATTAATTTTTTTTTTCTTTAAAAAATTATTATTAGCATCTGTCACCAGAAATGCAGAGTGTCAAACCACAGCTACATATGCCCGAGGTATGTCCTATCAAATCCAATGTACTCCTTGTACTCCGTACTTCCGTACTCCGAAGAGATGTGAGTGTCAGACAGTATGTATAGTCCATACTCCGTAAGCCATGACCAACTCCCACCTGGGCACCCCATGTGGGGATACACAGGTTAAAACAAGAGAAAAAAAACAACCAAAAGGACAGAGAAAAAACACAGGTCCACCCCATTCTCCTCTGTAATGAACTCTGAACGTGTAAGACAAACAAATCAGGAGTACGAACGGAGACTCACGTCTTATATGTCATTGTGCGTGGTACCTGTAAGACGGTGGATACGCTGTGGTATAGTAATCCGGTACGGGAGCTGTAAAATTACTCTGTTACAAGAAGGCAACCAACCGGAAATATCGACTGATCGGGGCTCCAAGGTGTATCAATACTGGCATGACACGTCCCGCCTTTTCCCCTAATCCCACCTCCTCGTCTCTCTCCTTGATGGCTTCATACCGATTCTAATATTCTTGTTTTTCACTCTTTAACTACGTGACTCTGTACAGTCATGAGCGATAATTGAGACGATCCCCAACTCTCCCTCCCCCCTCCTGGCCCCAGAAGCATTCTGGATCGTGGCGCTCATCTGTTACATTTCATGTCCGAGGCTCGCGCGGCAGATTTAACTGTCGACCCTCCTGCGCTGGCCAAGTCCGGGACGGTTGCGACCGCATTTGAATATACCGACGAACGGGCGACTACCCCTACAGCCCTGTCCCGCTACTGCGGCCAGGGAGACAGCCGCTCGCAGGACTGCCAATCCAGCCTCTCTCCCGTCAAAATGGCTACCGGCTTCGCGATCAGCCCCGAGCCCCCGGCGCTCTTTGTTCGGGCCATGTATGATTATGACGCCGATGATCATACCAGCTTGAGCTTCCGTCGCGGCGATATTATTCAGGTTCTCAACCAGCTAGAGACAGGATGGTGGGATGGTGTTATCGATAACGTTCGTGGTTGGTTCCCGAGTAATTACTGCACAGTTCTCACGGAAGCGGATGATTTTGGCGACCAATTTGTTCACAGCCATGATACCGACCTCAGTGCGGACTCCGGATTGGAAGACGACTACGGCGATGGACACGATGATGATGATGTGGATTCGGAAGGCAACTCACGCGATTCCCAACCGATCCTCCCCATCGAGGGTATCCCGGCGGCCAAGGAGCAGGAAGAGGCCGCATTCTGGATTCCCCAGGCGACCCCGGACGGCCGTCTATTTTATTTCAACACACTGACGGGCTATTCCACCATGGAGCTACCCTTCGAGAACCCTACAGCGACAACTGACAGCGGCCCTCGCGATCGAAACAACTTCTTTGTTCCCGACCAGACTCGACCACCACCGGAGCTGATGGCGCGTGGATTTGAGCGGGATGAAGATGAGTACGATGGTTCTGCATCTGAGGCAGAAGGAGAATCATTGATGTTAGCTTCACACGACTCGATTTCTCACAGACGCCAATCCTTGATGGATGGAGTATCCCCGGCCACATCTATGGACTCTTTGTATGCGCCGACAACAAAAGACTCCAAAAGTTCGCAAGCGTCAGTCAAGGCCCTGCAAACAACTTACAGCCTTGGAGGAAATAGCAACAGCACCAGCACTTCTGTGGCCGACAGCTTCTCCAGACCTTCGATTTCTTCCAATTTCCCCCAACACTTTGTCGACGATGGTTTTGCTCCTCCGATCACTTGGTCCTTACTTGTCGATAACATGCGGTTTGCGGTGGACGCCTACAGCCAGACACTCGTGAACGGTGACCGTGCGGAATATGTGAGGAAGGCTGAAGACATTTCCGACCACCTTCGAATGCTGCTGGCTGCTGGATCTGATACGACAGACAATCACTCCGGCAACCCTTCCATCATTTCCACCAACAAGGCCTTGTATCCCTACTTTAGAGACATGATGTCCAAATTCTCCAAGCTGGTCCTTTCGTCTCATATTGCAGCTGCTGATTGGCCTGGAGCCGACTCAGTCAACAAATGTTTGCAGGAGGCAGACGGTGTCATGCAGGGTGTGTATGGTTACGTGGACGTTGCTCAGCAGCAGCGTGGAGACATCATCCACCGTATCGTCCCAGGTTTCGTTGGTGGAAGCTCATCTGGTGGCAGCTGGCAGAACAACGGTGTGTCATTGAACACTTCGGGTCCAACATCATTCCTAGTTCCAGATGTAGGAGATCCACGAGCTGAGCCATCGGTACCTCTCGACACCGCTTTCTTGGATTCGATCGATATTCTCCGAAGGTCTTTCGTTGGCAGCATTCGTCGACTAGAAGAGCGATTGATCATAAACAAGAAGATTGTCACCACCGAAGAACACCAGGACATTGCGAATGAAATTTCTGCCGCTGCAATCAAGGTTATCGAGCAGTTCCGCCCATGGATCTCCTCAGTCGAGTCAATGAACTTGGCTCCTCTGGGAACCAGTTTCCAGAACCCTCAATTAGTGGACTTCAGCCTGCAAAAGCAGCGAGTCTATGATGCAATTGGTGATTTTATTTTGAATTGTCAGGCCGTTTCTGCCCCTCTGGCGGATGAATGGGCTGAGCTTCGCGGCGACTCACTTGACGATCGGGTTAATGCAGTGCGGGGCATTGCTAGGCAACTGGAGAATTATGTGTCCCAGATTGGATTCTCATTGTCGCTCCTTCTTGAGCAAATTCCTGCAGAGCCTGCCCCATCTTCACGAAGTGAAAGTCGTCAAGAAGTGGACGACGACAAATTCAAGAATGCTCACGCTCGGGGTGAGTCCCAAGCGAAGATCGCCACGGAGTCAATTGGAATTCCGTCTTCCTACGCCCCAGAAAAGGAGGGCACCGAGAAAGTTCGCAGGAATATGGACAAAGCACAGCGATTCTTTGGCCAAGCACCCCCTACAGCTATCACCCGAGAGCCCATTCGAGAGCCAGTCCGCGAACCCGAAGAGACTCCGTGGTTCTTGAAGATGGCACACGAAGGTGAAGTTTTCTATGATAACAAGACAGACTCGCCGATTCTCAAGTGCGGAACGCTCGCCGGATTGGTGGAACACCTCACTCGACATGATAAGCTCGATGCGTCTTTTAACAACACTTTCCTCCTTACGTATCGCTCTTTCACTACTGCCTCTGAGCTATTTGAAATGCTTGTTCAGCGGTTCAATATCCAGCCTCCATTTGGCCTGAGCCAAGATGATATGCAGATGTGGATTGATCGCAAACAAAAGCCGATCAGGTTCCGCGTTGTGAACATCCTCAAGAGTTGGTTTGATCACTTCTGGATGGAGCCAAATGACGAAGTGAACATGGATCTCCTGCGACGAGTTCACACCTTTACCCGCGACTCCATCGCTACTACTAAGACCCCGGGAACCCCGACATTACTGGCTGTGATTGACCAACGACTTCGAGGTCAGGACACAACCTCAAAGCGCCTTGTCCCAACCCAAAGCAACAACGCACCGCAGCCGATTGTTCCAAAGAATATGAAAAAGCTTAAGTTCCTTGACATAGATCCTACCGAGTTCGCCCGACAGTTGACCATCATCGAGTCGCGCCTTTACTCCAAGATCCGACCCACCGAGTGCCTGAACAAGACATGGCAGAAGAAGGTCGGCCCCGATGAGCCTGAACCAGCCTCTAATGTCAAAGCCTTGATTCTCCATTCCAACCAACTTACCAACTGGGTTGCCGAGATGATTCTCGCCCAAGGCGATGTCAAAAAACGTGTGGTGGTTATCAAACACTTTGTGAATGTGGCTGATGTATGGTTTTCAATTTTCCGATTTGTACAATTTTGATCTCACTAACTCGACATTACAGAAATGCCGCGCTTTGAACAACTACTCCACCCTGACATCGATCATTTCGGCTCTAGGAACGGCCCCGATTCACCGTCTTGGTCGGACGTGGGGCCAGGTGAGCGGGCGGACGTCCGCAGTTTTGGAACAAATGCGTCGGCTTATGGCTAGTACGAAGAACTTTGGCGAATACCGAGAGACCCTGCATCTCGCTAACCCGCCTTGTATTCCATTCTTTGGTATGATTGCGACCATTACAATCAAACAGACTACACAATGTCTCATCCCTTTAATCTTGCGGCTAACATGTTTCAGGCGTTTATCTTACGGATTTGACCTTCATTGAAGATGGAATTCCGTCCCTTACGCCATCAGAGTTGATTAACTTCAACAAACGGGCCAAGACCGCCGAAGTGATCCGTGATATCCAGCAATATCAGAACGTTCCCTATCTCCTGCAACCGGTTGGTGAACTTCAGGATTACATCCTCAGTAATCTCCAAGGCGCTGGCGATGTCCATGACATGTACGACCGAAGTCTGGAAATCGAGCCTAGGGAGCGCGAGGACGAAAAAATTGCAAGGTATGCCGAAGCCTCAGCCAAAGACAAGGGTTCCCTGTTATTTGCATCCACCGTCGCTATTTTGCGATAATCCGTGTTGTTCTCTTAAGTGGCGTTTGGCATTTGCCTGGATACCCAAATTTGACCTCTTATTCCCCTCTTTCTTTTCTTTTCTTTTCTTTTTTCTTTTTTTTTCACGGGCAAACAAGATAATGCTTTTCTCAAAACTGTTCGGCTGTTGAGACTAACCTGTTTTGTTTGTGATTTTCGTAGATTACTATCCGAGTCCGGTTTCTTGTAAACCCGAGACCCAGATCCCTGTCAAGCTGCATCTGCGGGTGCGCCACAAAACAGGTTCGACGCAACATGACGCGCCGACAGCGCCACGATCACGGCTCCCGATACCTCTTGGGACTCAAGCGACTCCCTTTTCAGGACCATTCCCGACCTCGTGACCATAATCTATCGTCTCTCGACCCTTATCCGAAGGATCTCTGCAGATCGACCGATCACATCTGTCTTGGGACCACGGTCAGCCCCACGACCCCCACTGTTCATGTCCTCAATACATTGTACAGCAGTGACCCTCCAATCATTACGCCTGGCGAAAAACATATCGCCTTATCCTCAACATACCTATTCCCCGACACAGAGCTGGTTGGCCTAGCGGGGTTCCTTACCCAGCCCCTTTCCTTCTCCTTTCTCTATCTCATCTCACACCCGCTACCACCTGCATCCGGGCCACTTGACCCCTACCTCTTCTTTGTACTGACTGCTTTTTTTTTTTTTACCATACCTTCGGTGTATATTTTCCGTGACCCTGTTACCCTCACTTGGCTTGTGCCCCCTGTTTTCTTACATATCCCTTTGTGTGTCTGGGCCAGATGGGGGTGAACTACTACTTTCACCCTGGCCCATTCGAGTTTACGCCGTCTTCCGAATAATGATACGCCACGAACGACTTGAGACTTAGTTACGGAGTATTGTCAGGTGGATTTCCCCTGGTGGAGGTGCCTAGTGCTTTCCATTTCTTTGTATCTAGCCCTGGAATATTCCCCCTTCGAAGTTTGCCTGAGATATTGCAACCAATAGATGTTTCCTCTTCGTTCTCTTTTATCTATACCCATGGCGTGTATACAATGTACTGAGACCGAATTATCATATCCCTGGAGCTGGGATTCAAATGGGAACTCTAAGCACCCCAGTGTGTCATTTGAGGTCGTCAAGTTCATTCATTTGCAGGAGCTGCATATTTGGATAGTCTATGATCATTATGCATCAAAAAGGCAATGGGAAATAGCAAGACCTGCCGATTCGACAGAGTTAAGCGAAGATGCATCACAAGAAGATGGAGGAACGAAACCCGCTGAGCGCCTGAGACACCAGTGCAAGACAGAAAGAAAGTGGTAGCCGTGCCATTACATTTTGTGTTCGTAACACCTGATTGGGAGTGCAGAATCATTATTTTGCAGTGGATCCCTTCCCAATGTCGTGAAACAGCTTCATCTTGGTTTCGGATGCCAAAAGCCCCTTCACCTCTTCCGAGACAATTTGCTGCCCGCCACGGACGACCTTCTCCAATTGATGATCCTTCTGGTTGGTAACACTAGTCACACCACCTCGAGGACCAGAGTTTTCCAAACTGCGAGCTGCCTTACGCACCTTTTGGCTGAGATCCATGATCTGCTTGTCGCCAAAGTCGCGGGAGGTGAAAAGCGGGCTCTGGCTGAGAGTTGCTACCCAGTATTTGTTCCAAAGCAAGGACAGTAAGTCGGAGTCCAGAGTGCTTTTGTAATGACTGACATCGAGAGAGTAGTACTGATTGGCGTGTGCGCCGAAATCCTCTGCCTTCCCAAGCGGGATGGTCTGGTATTCGTCGTCCTCACTGGCTTCCTTCGCCGGGGTGAAATTGGAAGGGAACGTACGGAAGGCACCGATTTCGACACGGCCTGCGGAGATGGTACGATCTGGATCAATGACGACCGCAACGAAGGGCCCGGTCATTTGTTGTGTTTGTTGAGTAGCGACATCAATGCCGGACAGCCAGCACCCATAACCAGGATGACTGTGATACCAACCGACAGCATTTTCCATCCGCCCCGAGTCTCGACAAGATTGTAGATAAGACACCATATATTCGTTTGCCTCGTCCTGTGCATTGACTCGGGTTTCGGTGCCTTCCACTGGCAGTCGGAGTGCATCGGTGACCACAAATGTATTAGGGAGGATGTAGCCTTGCATCAAACCCATAATTTCTAGTGAGCCACCGGAACGAGCGTGCATCACCATCTTCAATAATGCCGCTGCGGAGATGCGGACGTGCTTAAAATAGTACGGGTCGGACGCCCAGGGCCGTTCGTTGTTGAGCTGTCTCTCTGTATCCGCATCATATTGGTAGAGGGCATCTCTTTGCGGATCAAAGACGGTTATCGCATTTTCGAGCTCTGCGGGGGGTTGATCAGCTTGCGGGCGACTGCATCGAGGACTTGGAGGTGCCTACCCCAGGACTGCTGTGCAGCCTGCATTGTGAGAATTAGGGAGCCAACGGGCCCAAGACGAGGTTTTAGTGAGGCTTTTGAGAAGCAAGGGCTTGGCGATAATGATGATGCTGCAAGGACCGGAGAATAGATACGGAGTCAGTGCATGGAGTAGAGAGGGTAATTGAAGCGTGGGGTTAATCATTGATTGGCAGAACCAGGGCGGTGTGGCTGCATCGGGGGTTGCCCGGACGACGATCAGCTCCCAACACGAAGTTGTTAAACCTGATGTTATCGTCTCCGATTTCAGCCCCTACTTCCCCTCATAAACAACCCCGGTCTTGAATTTCCTATGTCTATCCAGCTTGCGCAAACTTTGACTTTCGTTTGAATTCGTCGCACTTGGTGTGTCGAGGACTTTGTGTGGGCTCTCATTATTTTGATCCCAACATTGGCTTTGTCGCAGCTCCGCTGGACTTTCATTAAATTGGACCCTGCTCCATATCATCAATCTTGAACTTGAGCGCCATTCAATCACTCTCATTATGGCGGTAGACACTAGCTACCTGACCACTCAGGTCAACAACATCGTCGAACAGCTACACGGAATCTACGATGAGATCGGCGTTCCCGCGCGTGAGCGCGACTCGCGCGAAGCGGAGGTAGTTATAATTCTGTCGACTTATGCCATCTTCTATAGACTAACCTTTCTTTAGCTCTTCAGTGCACTATCAGAGACCCTGAACAACCACCTAAAGGTGGTAGACGAGTGAGTCGCAATAACAAGACAACGTGAACTGAAAACCGGCTAACACCGTTGACAGGGAGAGGGAGGATATGACACAAGAAGCGGAGCGCCTGATTACAGCTATTCAGCAAATGGAATCATCCTTGAGTGATGAAAGGGCCAATGGTCAATACGAACTTAATCGCGACGACCTTCGTGTCACTTTCCCGCTCAACCGTTGTATCGCATTCTTGCGCGAAAAGAACGACGCCATGAGCAAGCTCCATCGTGAGCGCTTTGAGCAAGTCAGGAGTAAGTCTCGACAATGGGCTTTTGGTTGACCTGGTTTGCTGACATGCGACAGAACTTGTTGACGCGCTTGAGTCTTACTCTTCCCATCTCGAACCGTCATTCGTTAAGCTTGAGCTCCCCCCAACTGAGCCGGGCTCATCGATTCCACCAAGCTTTGACCTATCACCGATGTATGTCACCGCATTAGACGCTGAATTCACTCACGTCTACGAAGAGTATCACCGTCGCGTGGCCCAAGTACAATCTGCCTGTGAGGAGATGATCAAGCTCTGGGCTGAGCTCGGAACTCCTCAAGCCCAAACAGATTCCACCATCGTCAAGTGCTATCGCGAATCACCTGAACAGCTTGGTCTACACGAATCGGACGTTGCGAACCTCCTTACCAAGCGCAACAAGTTACTCGAGGAAAAAAAGGCGCGTGAACGCAAAATTACGGAGCTTCGAGCGACTGTCGTTTCCTTGTGGGATCGATTTGGCGTTGAACAAGCTGATCGCAAAGCGTTCCTTACTGCGAACCGTGGCTGCGGTCTTCGCACAATCAACGACCTTGAAGAAGAGTTAACTCGCCTGAACGAGCTCAAGCGCCAGAATCTCCATTTGTTTGTCGAAGATGCTCGCTGTCGACTTCAAGAGTTATGGGATACTCTATTCTTCTCCGAGGAAGAGATGCTCGATTTCACTCCCGCGTTCTCTGACGTCTGTAGCGATGCCTTACTTGAAGCCCACGAGGCTGAGATTGTTCGACTGGAGACTCTCAAAGAGCAGCGGGCCCCTACTTTGGAGATGATCGATCGACACCGCACTCTCCTAACAGATCGCGAGGCGCTTGCAACTTCAAGCCAGGACGCTTCTCGCTTGATGGGCCGTGGAAACAAGGGAGAGAAGCGAGACCCCGGCAAGCTTTTGAGAGAAGAGAAGCTCCGGAAGAGAATTGCAAAAGAACTTCCCAAGCTCGAAGCCGACCTACGCAAAGAACTCGAATACTGGGAAGACGAATTTGGTCGGCCATTCCTTGTTCACGGAGAGCGATATCTTGATGCTTTGACACCTGTCCGGGCAATGCCCCCGCCTCGCTCAAAGACTCCCTCTGCGCCGCCATCTACCATCAAGTCAAACACAATGAGGCAACAACCTCCTCCCCGACCTGGAAGCTCACTGAGAGGACCTCCTCCTCCACGTTCAGCAACCAAAACCCCAACCAGTGCTGGCCCAATTAAGCATAACACCATTGGATACGCTGCTTCTCGCTCTGGGGCTACTTCTCGTGCAGGAGCCACATCGCCTTCCAAGCTGCCTGCTCGTGTTCCATTGGGAAACATGCCCCAAGGTAACAACTCCCCTGAGCGCCGTGCCAAACCAGGTGCCTATTCTTCCAGCACACTTAATGGCAAGATGCCTCCCCCTCGAGGGCCTCCCCCACGGATGCGTGCTTTGACCGTGGAGTCTAGAGAAGATCGTTTCAGTCACCTCATGGAGCCCCCTCGCTGCAACAGTGCTATGTCTAGCGCCTATGTTCGACCCGTCAGTCCCGAAGATGTCTACGATGATCGCCAACGATCTTTCATGAGCACCTCAGGTTTCTCAAATTCGCAAAGATCCACTGGGTTCTCCCATTCATCTCACTCCTCCCATTCATCTTTGTCTTTGAACAACGCTGCTCAGAACTTCCCACGACCTAACCCCTATCTTCAACACGCAGCTCCACCTCCAGCTGCTCGACAGGTCTCTAATTCATCCACAGTCAACACTGCCACCTCCGGGTCTGAAAATTGGGAGACTTTCGAGGATGGTTCGGAATCAGAGGCCGACCCCAGTGACATTTACTTCTCCAAGCTTCGCACTGTATCTGGAGGCAAACGATTTGCACCCGAGGACGGTTCCGATCTGATCGGCAAAAAGGCCAAGGGCATTCGGAGTGTGAGTCCAGAGGGTCCGCATCCCGGGCAGGTCCTGCGCGTTGCTGGAAGTGACACTGAATGGGCCGACGACTACGAAACTTATTAAACTACAACAATCTCGCCATCTCCTTTTCATCACGCATGCCTCTTTGCATTCCTAATCCTCAGCGCCTCGGATTCCCAACGGTGGTTCCGCAACCGTTCGGCTTTTGATGATCCCACGACTGGTTTCTCCACGGCTCACGATAAATCGCATCTCTCTCATGACTGAGCTCCCTTAGATTCCTTTACGGCAGTCTTGTTCCATATCCGCAAGCTTTAATTCCCGATTGGCCAACTTCAACTTCTCTTCCTGTCCAAAATTATGAGTCCTTCATGTCAATCTTGTTCATCCTCTGCTTCATTTGTCTATGCCATTCAACCCAACACTGCAAACTGACCACATCAGTGCGCACACCTTGGGCTAGCTGTCATTTATCTTATTGCCGACTGACACGCCTCTTGTTTCTCTCTTGCTTGTTTGGCATGGTGTTATCATACTTCGTTTCTCTTGTCACTTATGTTTTTCTTGGTTCGGAGCTCCTGGTTCTCTCTATTCCCTGTTCGATCTCCGGTTTTGGGAGTCGGCTTTGTCTTTTGGTTTACACCGTTCATCTTTTATGTATTTGTCAGCGAAGCAGTGTTTTGATAGTGTCGTTTAATTGTATTCTCTCACCATTGGAACTTTTCCTTTTCACGATGTAGATCGAGTTATACCCATGAACAACAGCCGGTAAGCTTATTATCGTACCGGGAACCCCTAGGTAACACTGCAGCTTTTGTATATCCCAACCCGGAGGAGGTCAGCCACCACAGCATCTAATAAAGACGAACTTGAAAAGCTCCGGAAAGAGACTAGGAACATAACTATTGTATATTGAATTTACATATTGTCTCTAGGTTTCTACCGCTTAGTTGCAAGGGTGCCCATCCAGCTCTGATCTTCAGGCAATTTCCCCTTGGGGATTCTCCTCCCGTCAGACGGGCCAAAGGCCTGGGTAGATGCCTTTGCGTCTTGCACTCGGCGTAGAGTTTCATCTCTTCCGAGAATCGCCATGGTCTCTGGAATCCCAGGCCCAGGCGCAGAAGCTGACAGTGCCCAGCGGAGGTAGTTGTACAATTCTTTCTTGAAGATTTTGTCGGTTGCAGGTGGTGCTTGTGAATCAGACTCGGTTTTAGGGAGCACCACACTACCAGATCCGTCGTATGAGTTGATGTTGAACTTATGAGTCTCGATGTCCCAGTGTGAGGGTGGGACGAGTGTTAGGGCTGCTGCTGCGGTGTGCAGGGCAGGCATTGGGACTTCAGGAGCTGTAGGCGAGGCGGGTGCGTAGGGCCCTCTCTCTAGCTTTGGCGTGAAGAAGGTAGAGTTACGCTGGACGAAATCCACTGCATCTATGTAGGACTTTGCATCTGCGCGAATGAGAGGCGCAACATATTCGGCAATGGAGCGGCCTTTCAAGATCGTGTTGCTGTGCAGTGTCAACCTCCGGCTTGCAATTTGTTCATAGACGACGGATTACTCACAGCTTATCCTGAGGATGAACTTCTTCGACAGCCGAGCTCACTCTGTGGACCATCTCATCGAACTCAGGGCCACCACTTGCGGCAAACCGCTGAGCATGGGCTTTCTGAAGGAACCAAAGTTTCTCAAAGGCGACAACAGTGTTGCCTCTGGTAATCTTCAAGTTGAACTATATGATTGTTAGTGCCTGACTGAAGAATTTTGATTGCAAGAAAACGTACGATCTGTTCCAATTCTTGCAAACTCAATACATCTGACTTCTGAGAATGCGACCAACCCAAAAGCGCAGCAAAGTTCACCAGTGTGGAGGCAAAGACACCTTGCTTATCCTTGAAGGAGGAGAGATCAATGTCTGCATTCCGCTTGCTCAGCTTCTGCCCTTTCTGGTCAACGAGTAAGGGGACATGTCCGAATTGCGGAGGCGTCCATTTGAAAGCATTGTATAGAGCCATGTGCATGGGTGTGGATGGCATCCATTCCTTCAGAAGTGAGTTGGGCGTTCAAAGCTTGGTCTGGAATAAAGATCTTACCGTTCCTCGGATGACATGGGTGATCTTCATACAATGATCATCCACCACGTTCGCCAAATGATACGTGGGGTGACCGTCTGATTTGATCAAAATCGGATCATCGTACACTCGGTCGATGAAGTCCAACTTTTTGTTGTTTGGCTTGTTCTGCCCAGTCTTACCATAGACGAGGTCATTAAACATAGGATACCCTTCGACCTTTAGTCGAATGATATGTGTTTCCCCGTTGGCAGCTCGATATTCCGACTCCTCTGCAGATAGATCGCCGCATTTTCGGTCATAGCCAGGGGTCAATCCAGCTTGACTGCGGTGCTGGGCCATTGTGTCCAACCGTTCTGCAGAGCAAAAGCATCGGTAAGCATGACCATTTGAGATGAGGTCGTTGGCATGAGACCGATATAAATCCGTTCGTTCAGACTGCAATAATACAAGCAGTTAGTGGGAGTCATTACACGGTAAAAAGGCGTTCTCTCACCTGTCTATAAGGGCCGTAAGGACCACCAACAACCGGACCTGTTATCCAACCAACTTAGCATGCAGATTCTTCCCCATCTGAGTGCCACCGCAGCTGACCTTCATCCCAATTTAGACCGGCCCATTGTAGATCATCGTATAGCCTCTGCTCTGCGCCGGGAATCGTCCGTTTCTGACAAGATCAGCCATTGTCGATGTATCGGGAAGCAAACCACGACAAACCTGGTCGGTATCTTCGATGCGCAGGAGGAACTGGCCCCCGGTGCGCTTTGCCAGTAGGTAATTGAAGAGTGCAGTTCGTAGGGATCCTAGGTGGAGGTATCCGGTGGGCGACGGCGCAAAACGCGTACGCGCAGGCGCATCCGGCAGTTTATTTTTCGAGTTGCGGACTTGAGCGCCAGCAGAAGAAGAGCAAGCTCGACATTGGATGCAAGTCCAAGAGCGAGCAAATAGCCCAGGCTGAGGTCTCATGGCGCCTCCAATGGCAGAAGGGGCCGATCTGGGGGATTTTGCGGAGTTGCGGTGCGGAGCTCCCGAACAAAATTTCTATCGCAACTTCGATCACCGCTCCGCTGTCACTTCACATTACCAACCCTTTTATTTGGCTGTTGGGCTACTTTCATCTTTCTTTTCCCGGCGATTCAGCATTCTACGATCAGACAAAGTCATTGAAAAGTAAGCTGGAGCTCCGATCCCCAGGTTACTTTGTGCTAATAAAGACCGAAGTGGCTGCAGCTGGAGTTGACCTCTATGGTATGCGATCCTTTGCGCAGACTACCCTTTTCATTCGCCAGGGTCATGAGTCAGGTAGCTGACTGGGAATTACTTCATGCAGAGGTTTTAGAAATCAACCAGAGTGCGAGCAAAGATGACATTCGCAAGGCCTACCGCAAGGTAAGAAACCCGATGTGTTTCATACGCTGCGTGTGTTGACAATAATTCGAACAGGCCGCGTTGACCAACCACCCGGATAAAGTCCCTGAAGAGGAGCGGGAAGAGGCTTCCATCAGATTCAAGGCTGTACAGGAAGCCTACGATATCCTCTACGACGATGACAAGCGACACCTTTACGACACACACGGCATGGGCGCTTTCAACGGCTCAGGCGAACCGGGAATGGCGGGCGCACCCGACCTGGATGATTTGCTCGCCCAGATGTTCGGTGGTGGCATGGGTGGCATGGGCGGCATGCCTGGTATGGGAGGAATGCCCGGTGGTGGTCGCCCACCTAAGCCCCGCCGGAGCCCTGACGAAGAACAAGACTATGAAGTCAGCCTAGAGGATCTCTACAAGGGCAAGACAGTCAAGTTCTCCAGTGTCAAGAACATCATCTGTGGACTGTGCAAGGGCAAGGGTGGTAAGGAGAAGGCAACCGCCAAGAAGTGCTCGACTTGCGATGGTCAAGGCCACAAGGAAGTTCTGCAGCGTATGGGCCAGTTCTTGACCCAACAGTCTGTTGTCTGCACTACATGTAACGGACAAGGCTCATACTTCTCCCCGAAGGACAAGTGCAAGAAGTGCAAGGGTAACCGAACAACAGAGGAGAAGAAGCTTCTGGAGATTTACATCCCTCGCGGTGCCAGGTAAGATTATTATTGTACTGGATTCTTGGGAAAGGTATGCTGACAGCAACACAGACAAGGTGATAAGATTGTGCTTGAAGGCGAGGCAGACCAAGTTCCCGACCAAGAGCCCGGTGATATTGTTTTCAAGATCATCGAGGAGGAGCACCCTGTATTTGCTCGCGCTGGCTCTGACCTCCAAACAACCATCGAGGTTACTCTGGCCGAATCTCTGACCGGATTCTCGCGCGTCGTACTCAAGCATCTGGACGGCCGTGGAATCGAGCTCAAGCACCCCATCACTCCTGGCGCCATCCTCTCACCTGGTCAGGTTCTCAAGATCCCCGGAGAGGGAATGCCGGCGAAGCGTACCGATGCTCGTGGCGACCTCTACCTGGTTGTTGATGTCAAGTTCCCTGAAAGCAACTGGAACCCTACGCCGGCGGTGATGGAGAAGCTCAAGGAAATCCTTCCTAAGCCTGCTGCTCCAATTGTGGCCAACCCCGTGGATGAGGTTACATATGACCCCAAGGGTTCAATCGACGAATTTGGCGCACAGGATGGCGACGGAGGCTCTGCGTGGGAGGATGAAGAAGATGACGAACCAGCGCAGTGCGCAGCTCAGTAGATTTAGATCGGCATACTTAAGTATAAGGCGTATTGGGCTTTGCATTATGGGAATTGTGAATATAACGGCACTCTCGTCTCCCTAATTGAATCACCGGTTCTAATGAGTACAATGCATCTATAGATGAAGCACTATATTCCCACCGAGTGAGCTTTGAGTAATAGCATGGGAGTGAAAAGTACCTGGAGTGTCTAGTCCTACAAACGCGCATGAGGACTCAATTGGCTATCAACCTTGAAAAGACTCCATTTTGTATATACCTTGTCGTGCAGAATTCTAGGGTGGGTTTTCTGATGATTCTGTCCCCTTCTATCCCCTGCCTCTCTTGTCCATGCTCTGGGCGGTTTTACCCACACCGGTTGAGAAATATCGTGATACGGCGATACATCTCCACGGGATTGGAGTACATAGGGAAATGACCACAGTCCACAATATCCGCGAGCTCAACCCCCTCCCTTTCAAGCAGAGGCAAATACGACAACCCTCGCATCTCCTGGCCAAACATGAACATACGCGGACATGGCAGAGCCAGAAACTTATCCATCAAGTTCCCGTGATCAGTAAAATGTACCATTGACGTGAAAATAGACCGAACAGCACCGGGCCTAACCCTCGCGCGCAGTGTACTAGCATACATGGCGTTAGCGAACGAGCCGGACGAGCGCGTCCGCTCAATAAACGCATCCATGAAGGCCTCCTCGTTATCGGCCGGGAATGTGAAAGTTTGCCGGCTGAGAAAACAATCCTCCGGTGCAAGATTGCCTTTGATATCCACGAAACTAAGAACACGCTCGGGGTGACGACTTGCAAGGAGCACAGCGGTTAGCCCTCCCATTGAGTGGCCGATTAGATGGAACTTGTTGATTTTGAAGTGGGCGAGGACCGCTTCTGCAGTTGCCACCAGGAACGGAATGTCTATGATAGAGAGGTCACCGCACGCCGAATGGCCACAGCCTGGGGCGTCGTAGGCGAGAAAGCTATGATGCTTGAGAAATGGCTGGATGGTTAAATCGGCGAGATCCTCCTTGCTAGAGCCGAAGCCGTGCAGGAAGAGAACTGGTGGACTCGAATTGAAGTTGTGGATCGTTGATAGGTTGAGGTTGATACCCTCGACGTCAAGAGGGATGTGGGTGAACTCAATGGCCATGTTTCAATGGACTTTCCATGGCATCTCGAAGATTTATTATGGAAATCGATACCTTAAATCTGATTTATATGTTGCAAAGCAACTATTGCCCCGTGGGTGACTCGGCAAACCCAATTTCGCCGCATTTACTTCATAGAACAGTCATAACCGAAGGCGAAAACAGATACGCGCGAATCTTAAAAGCACTTCAGTTTCTACAGGGGCCCAAGTAGTTCCAAGGTTGCAGACCGGTAGAACAAAAAGAAAATCGCTTTACAAACCAGACCAGCCATGTCCCTCTAGAGCTGGGGGCGAGCATGCTTATGGACTTCCGGATACGTAAAGGTCAATCCGGGGAACCAAGAATCTGGGGTAGATTAGTGTCGATCCTGATCTCCTTGGCATCTCAAATGTTCCCTTCTATTGAATGTTTTGATTATTTCCAATGTTTCAGATCAGTATGATGCCTGCTGTAACAAATATTGAATTACAACGTTCCTCCTTGACTTCGTATATGCTTTCTATCTCTAAAGCTTGGTTTTGTTAAATCCTTCTCCACTTGTAGTCCCCTGTCATACTAATGGGTAAATCGAGCTTGTGGATATGGTAAAGCGCTTAGCCATGGACACGAGACAGCTAACCAACAAATCAAATATACAGAAACAGAGTCGAAAGGATGACTGCCTTAATGACAGCAGCCACTTCTAAAGTTGAGCATTCTATAATATCCACTCTCACAGCTTCGCTTGCTCCTTGACAAGTAACTTCTGCAATCCATTCCTGACTCTGTCCTCCATCCCCGTCTTCCCCACACGCATGGTCTTCCTCAGCACAAAGACATGTGTATAGGTGCCTACCATTTTAACATCCTCCTCACCCTCTCTGAAGATGCCCACCTCCCAGGTTACACTCGACTTGCTCAGCTTGTTGACTCGTAACCCAACCTCCAGTAGATCGGGGAAGCGCACCGAGGCAAAGAAATCGGCATGGGTAGATACAATTAAGCCAATCTGGTCTGCTCCTGCTGCTAGATTTGAGGCCGAGGTGACATTTGCAGGCTGAGGGTCTGACGGAGAGGGCGTTGGATTGTTCACGCTAAAGGGGTCCATCCCGCATACTTTGATGAGGTATGTGTTTGCAATTGTGTCGAAAAGGTGTGTGTAGACTGCGTTATTCAAGTGTGCATACATGTCATTGTCGAACCTGGGGCCGATGTTAGTATGTAGCTTGGGTTTGCGCAGGTCTCAACCAACCATCTGGTCTGGTGGACTTGGTGGAAGCCATAGTCGCTGCGTTTGCGTTGCTTCTTGACCAATGTCTCTGGGGTAGCCATGTTGATATTGATGTTGGAATGTTCGAACACCCGTTTTTGGATATATAGGATTATTCCTGAACTAGAGAAAGAGTGATCTCCGCGTTTCACCTGCGGACAGTTGATGAACCTCGGCATCTCGGCGATTAGATTAGGTTCTCTTGCTACACCGCTCCCAAACTGCCCGCAATAACTTCCAGGGCGGTACGGAGCACGCGATGGCTTGGATTGCATTGTTGATACTGTCCTTTCTCGAGTTTCAGGATCTTTCATCAAAGAGAATATATTTAGTCTTTGACAATAATCAATAAGTAGTCACTATGCCGCTTTTCAGTTTCGGAAATGTTTTTGATCTCATTCACCTCTCGTTTCCTGTCGTTTTTGCTGAGAACCAATAATCCATCACAATGTCATATTCACGAGATGAAACAGGCTTGCAAGCTTTGATCTTGTGTGGCTCTGGGACATCGTTTGATACTTTGCTAAAGCCAGAAGGAACCCCCAAATGCCTAGCCTTGGTTGCCAATCGCCCAATGGCTTACTATCCAATGAACCTCTGTAGAAGACTCGGAGTTACAGGTAAGCACTGGAGCCAGTGATCATTAATCGCTTGAGTAGTAATCGAGACCAGCAACGCTTGGAGACTAACGGGCTATTCCAGATGTCACCCTTGTTACATTTCCATCAGCCGTCGCGCCAATCAAAGCTGCTTTACAGCATGATCCTTTCGTGGGTTCTTTTCCCTCAGCGAAAGTCCTTGCCCCTCAAGATCTTGAAGAAACAACATCAACTGCACAAATAATTCGTCTCCCTGAGGTCCAAGATTGTATACAGGGCAACTTTCTTCTTCTTCCTTGTGATCTTGTCTGTGAGCTCGACCAACGCTTGCTAGATTCATGGGATTTGTCGCAATTTCAAAGCCCACAAGAGCTAAATGCAGGTCTTGGCTTGTACTATCAAACCGAGGCTGGCATCAAAGATGAAGTCTCGGACCTTGTAGCCGTGGCACCATTTGAACAAAGTGAGATGCCTGGAGCAGCAAAGTACAAGCTATCGAGGCTGGTGATGTCCATGGGAATGGATTCCACCAAGGCAAGATTGGAACAGGACAAGGCATTTCTTGTTCGATATTCTTTGACAAAAAAGCATCAAAGAATCAAGATCATGACTGACTATCGTGATGCACACCTCTATTTCTTCCCTCACTGGGTAAAACATCTAGTCAGGCACCAGGAAAAAATAGCTTCAATCAAGGAAGACCTCATCGGTCTTTGGGTCAAGGCTCAATGGCAGCAAGGTCTAGCTGAAAAGCTGGGAATGGACAAATGTCGGAGTCCCCAAGATTCACACCAATGGATCAGTGGTCAAAGCATGAGCTCTACCGTCTACCAAAAGCCACAAACTAACTCGCTGGGTTCCGAATCATTCCGAGTGGAGATGCCACCATTTATGGCATGTCTCCTAGAAGAAGGCACAGAGCTGGTTCGTCGTGTTGATAGCCCTGCTCTCCTCTTATCCACATCTCTGCGTCTCGCCAAACTCGAATCGATCGAAACGGCCAAAGATGTGAGCACACGATCTCCATTTGCTCATGCACACAAAATCACCTCCCCTGATGGCATAGCTCAGCGTTCTTTCATCTCGAGGGACGATTGCTTGCTTGCATCAAATGTGGTTGTTGAGAAAGGCTGCTCTATCAAGGAAACTTGCATAGGGCCAGGCTCGAAGATATGCAGTGGTGCTCGGCTCACTCGATGCGTTGTGCTTGAGAATGTCATAATCGGTGCTCGTTGTGTCCTGGTGGGGTGTGTGATTGGGAATCGGAGCTCGGTCGGGAGTAACTCGACGCTTAATGACTGCGAGGTTCAAGAGGGATTTACCGTGCCGGAGCGAACAGAGGCTAAGAATGAGATCTTTACACCTCTTCTGGAAGATCTCTTAGATAATATGTAGAGCATTGGATTCGCAGGGGGGAAGGGAAATTCGTGTTGGATTTTGATTATGGGAGGTTTTATTTTAGTAGTATAATCGCATGCAAATTCATCGGCACATCCAAGGTTGTTTCAATACTTTAGTACATATCAATACAGTAAATCAGCCCTTCCCTGCAAAGTCTGTCCCCGCGGTGGTTCTTGGTGGTCTTGCAGTCTTCGTCCCGAATGGAGTTCCGTGAGAACCTCCTCTCACGTTCTGACGATCCTCGTCTGAAATGACTGAGCCATCCTTGTTCGGGGAAAGCAGCGTGAATGTGAGATAGGCTCCACCCACAACTCCAAATATGCTCATCACAGCCGGGAGTCGGTTCCTTGACCTTTTTGTGTCAATTGCATCACAACGCGTGGCTCAGATGAGATGGATACTTACATCTTTTTGGTAGTTGGCGAGATATGCTTGGATGGCAGTTGTCGATTATTTCAGAATACCTCTGCTGTCTGAGGGTCAATTGTAGCAATTGAATAAAGCATTTCAGGCTAGAGACAAGTTAGAGGCGAATGCAGGTATAACTATATATGGGTCAAAAGTGACGAATGGTGACGTATAATCGTGGCGGTTCGCATTCTTCATTCTTAGGCCTTGGGTCTTTTCCTGAGTTTCCTGTTTATACCTCATCAGACTGGTTTGTCGCATATTCATGTTGTCACTATAGGCTCCGATGCAAGGGCCATTAAGTGGATAAGCTCCTGTTTGAATTGAAGAACCATGGTCTGGATTCTATGGATCTGAATTACTCTGGGCATGAATTCTGGTGTGAAACCCTGAATACGGTTGATTGCTCAGTGTGTAGGTACTTCAGTAACCGTGATCTTTCTGCTACCCCATACTCCGTACTCCGTGGAAGTACTCTAAGTACTCCTGTAAAGCCCACTGCATGTCCACGGGTGATGATACCAGGTATTTAAGTATCTCCTTGAATTAGGTCAAAAAGAACCAGCGTTGGTCGAGACTTTTCTTCAGTCAACATAAGATTAGATTGAATCTGATATCCCTCTACTCCATATTCTTCATCTATAGATCGTCTCCAAGTTGTCTCGATATAAGCGCATCGATTGATCCCTGATTGGCCACCCATTTGTAGTCAGCATTTTGATAAGATCCTTATTTTTTTTTTATCGCATTTCTTTTTTCCCCTGGCAACTCTGGTCTTTACAAATTTATTTGTCTCGTTTTTCTCGCATTGTTGTCGCCCTCCTGGCTCCTTCGCCCCGAATCACAGCCTACTTGCTCCGGCGAGGAAAGCTCAGACTCCCTCCAAAGCCCACCATGGCCCTCATGAATGTCGATCAAGTGCCCCCCACCAAGCCAGAAGAAAAGACCGCCGAGGTTCTTGTGACCCCTTGTGATCCCTGGCCCGCGCCATACTATTTGGAAGATGGTTTCCGTCGCGTGAAGCCATACCACTACACATACAACACGAATTGCAAGGAGCGATGGAGGGGTCGCCAATTGGTCGAAATCTTCACTTCCGAGTTTCGCGATCGCAAGCCTGAATATTATGTACGTGGAGACCAATTTTGATAAGGCAATCGCAGGCTGACAGATCACCAGAGAACTGCCTTGGAAAAAGGTCTTGTGCAAGTCAACGGCGTGCGGGCCTACCCCGAAACGACGTTGAAGAACGGCCAGGTCATCTCCCACACCCTCCACCGCCACGAACCACCTGTCACCAGCCTTCCCATTGGGATCATTCATGAGGATGACGACCTCATTGTCATTGACAAGCCCGCCGGTGTGCCGGTCCACGCTGCAGGCCGATACCACTTTAACTCTGTGATCGAAATCCTGCGCTCCGAGCGTGGCTCCGAATGGCTGCCCCGCCCTTGTAACCGACTCGACCGATTAACTTCCGGAATCATGTTCATTGGTAAACACCCCAAGGGCGCTGAGAAGATGGCCACTGCCCTGAAGTCGCGCACCGTGCAGAAGGAGTATGTGGCGCGCGTCAAGGGCAAGTTCCCCGACGGCGTGGTTGTTTGCGACCAGCCCATCATGCAGGTTAGCCCAAAGCTGGGCTTGAACCGTGTGCGTGCCACTGGAAAAGAAGCGACGACCAAATTCCGCCGCCTGGCGTACTACCCCCCGGAAACCTATGAGCCCAACACAGCCGGGGCGGATGGACGCCCCGCTACCCCGCCCATGACTCTTCATAATGAAGATGAGGGATACAGTATCGTGCACTGCTTCCCGTTGACTGGTCGCACCCACCAAATTCGAGTTCATCTCCAATTCCTTGGTCACCCTATCAGCAATGATCCCATCTACTCCAACCGCCGTGTTTTCGGGCCTGAGCTCGGCAAGGCCGAAGCGAGCGCGGAACGGGATGAAGAGATCGTTGCGCGGTTGTCCCTAATGGGCAAGACCGAGATCCCTGACACGGTGTCTTATCGTACACACTTGACTGCGGCACCCAACCTGCCACCCAACACAGACCCAGTCCTCGTGAATGAAATCATGCACCGGGAACAGATGGCTGCGGCTGAAAACTACGAAAAGCGCAAGGGCGAAAAGCTGTCCGGTATTTTCTGCGATGTCTGTGGCACTGAGCTCTACTCCGACCCAGGTGTTCATGAGCTTGGTATCTTCCTGCATGCTGTCGCGTATGCCGATCGCGATGGTGACTGGGGTTACCGTAGCCCCATGCCTCATTGGGGTTTGCCGCCAGCGGGTATGGAAGGACCTCGGGAAGTCCCAGACTGGGTTCCCGCCGCTGAAGGGGAAGAACATGTTATTGGAAACGGAACCATTCCCCCTGGCCTAGGTGACGAGGATCACGCTGCAGATGCACAGACTGGTTCCGTGCTTCTGGAAGGTGTTGGTTTGGTCAATATCTCGGATGCCGCCAAGATGACGAATGAGCCTTCAAATGAGGCTGCAGCTGCCACCAACTAATGATTCCGATATTCGGGTTTCTCTTTCTTGCAAATACCTTTGGTTTATATCACATTTTTTGGGGTGTCCGTTTCTGTTACTGTCTGCATGATACCATACATTGACTTGATCACAGTCTTCTTTATAGAAAACTTCATGGGCATAGCGTCTTGGTATTAATCGGTTCGTTTTATAGATTCCTTGCTTTTTCTACATGATCCAGCATTTTACATTACCTACGAGAAACACTCAGCCATGAGTCTTTCCCTAGAGATATCAATCTATTTGATCCTAGTACTCCGTACCCAACCTCTTAACATTGGAATCCAGTGTCATAAATTTCGTAGCAAACAACCTTAAACCCACTCATCCACGGATTGATAGCTATGTACATATTTCCGAAAGAACTCAGTTACTGGGAGCCTCTTCAATCAACTTTGTATACTGGTGTGATTCCAAGAAGAGCGACAGGTCCTGTTTGGACTCAAACCTTGCACACAATGATTAGCGAGGTTGACTATACCAAAGCACAGAAGTCTCATACCAAAAGGCCTTGATTGCTATAAAGTCCCGCGTAATGATGCCACCCTCTGCTTGGACATCGTCCATGGTCCTAATTGAAATTTTTTTTCAGTTTGCAATAGCCTGTAGATAGGTGTAATACATACTCCTCAACTTGCTCGGGGGTACAGTGCTCGTGGCACTGGACCTAGATATTCAAACAAGAGTAAGGAAATTATCTGATTATCCGAACAGGCATTTGAGACTACTTACAACGTAGGTAGGCATGATCGATGGAGGATGAAGGGATTTGATTCTGCGGGAGATCGCACTACGTAATATCCAGAACCCCACAGCTTTGACTCAGGGCTTTACGGCTATACACCTCTATACTCACCTGGAATAGATCCTCGAGATAAACTTGACTTAAGTATGAATGAAAGCTCCTGAAGTCTCTGCACAGCTGGAATCATACAACCTGGTTAATTCCAAGCCCAGGTGACAGGTGCTAAATAAATCCTCCTGAAGTCTCAGTCAACCGAATCAGGTTCAATTCTCTCAAGCCATGAAATATATATATACTTAAGTACTTCCCGTTAATGCTATGTACGCCAAATTTACAAACCCGCAATGCTAACCAAGCTCGAGATTTACACGCTAAACGCCAATGAGGACAATTCAAACCGAACCAAATGTTCAGGCAGTGACCCACGTCACCTTCTCACACTGTTCCACCTGCTGTACTGCAGCATCAACGCGCCACAGCATTGTTCCCGACTGTGTACCAGGCTGGGGCTTACCACGCAGGACTGATTGTGAGGTCGTACAGCGACCGTCCGCGGTCAGACGATATTGGATGCACTCTGGATCCGCGGCACAGTAATCCGCACAGGCGGCAAGGGTGGCGGGCGTCTTGGGACCATTGTATTCTTCCTTGTCATCACCCGTGCTGGCGAAGTTATCCCAGTTATCCAGGTGGTCTGCAAGGGTTGGGCGGATGAGGTTCCGGAAGACATCGCTGTATGTCAGCACGGACGAGTTTGTCTAGTAAAGGGTTGTTAGTGGATGGACATGGCAGACACAGACCTGGGTCTTTGGGGGAGGGGGAAGAAGCAAACTCACTTCTGCGAACCACTGCTGCTCGAATTGGTAGAACCGATCTACATCTGTGGGCGTCATGTGATGGAATGTAAATGGCGCATAGCACCATGGATTTTTGGAAAATGCATCATGGAGCATATCCTGCTCCCAAACAGATTGGGTGGTGACATGGGGCCATGACCATGTTAGTGGGATACCGGCCAGAGCGAGCGCCATGCCGAGGACACAGTCGCCCGCCCATTCCCGATCCGTGATCTTATCCCACTCGTCCACATGGTTGGTGTGGAAATCGGCCACGGTATGAATAGCCGCATGCGAGAGCACGAACCCGGACCCGCCGTGCGCAAACAGATTCGGTCCGATCTGCATCTGGTTCCCGAGATAGAGGCGATCTTCGGAATTGAAGTGGCTCAGCCAGCCGAGTAGATTCGGCCAGATCGGGTATGTGTCCGCTTCGAGGAAGACGAACCATTTGGCGTCTGGCTTGACGTGGCGTGCTGTGTGGATCATCGGTAGGAATTTCCACTTGTCCAGCTTCCAGCCTGGGTTGTCCATCATTCCCATCGGGCCGTTGGCGACCTTCGTGTGATCTTGGGAGGTCAGTGCTTGGCGGCCGCCTTCCCGGGCGCGATTGTACAGCGCGAAGTCATTGTTGCCGTGCTTGAGAGTGTCGGAGACGTTCTTGAAGACGTCATAGGTGCGCACGTTGGCAATGTCTTCTTCAAAATCGGAGACGATGATCTTGTGCGGGATGCAGCGGAGGGTTGTTCTGAGGTGCACTGGGACCTTATCTTGCGCTTCGGTGATGCCGGTTTTGATCACCACGAGCACGTCCTCCATCCCCGGCAGTGATGGACAAGAGGATGGGACATGACCCGTTCTCGGGTCGGTTTGATTATTCGTCTCGATTGTTAGTCCTGGGGCGGGTTCAATCACGTCCTGCGTGGTCTTTGACCCAAAATCCGCATTCAAGAAGTGAATAATCAATGGTGTCAGAATGACCAAGGCCAAGAAAGGCCCCCAGCGACCATACCGGGCTGGAAGAGGCATTGATCACGAGCCTCGGGGGATAAAAAAAGTGTAGAAAGGAAAGGGATATATATAGGTGTTCAGATCATCAATGTGTCTCCATGTCCAGCTGGAGACTGACATAAACCAGTTCAACGATCGTCAGGAGGGGTCCCGGGGTGGTCTTAAAGTCCTAGGCGTGGGGGCTAATGCGAGGCCCTGAGAGGCTGACATCCACCAAGGAAACCAGCTAGTGTGGCACCACTATCCTCGACCAAGTAATGATGCGTTAGAGTCCCTGTCATCGGGACTGAGACACCCTCGTCAAATCGGGGGTGTCGTGCTCGTTTTGCTCGGGGCCTTCTCAAGTGGTGTGCCGCAGCACTCGTACAGTGGGTCCGATCTGAAACTTGGGCAAAGTGATTCGTATGCATGCGGAGAGTATATGGTCGAGGGGTTTCATTTTGAGTTCCAAATGTCCTATGAGGACAGAATATGCAGCCGAGTGAACCATTTTAAGAGTTACGTGGGAAATGTCTACATTGGCTGGGGTATATGTACGAAATCCGGTTCAGATGCCAATCTGCACAACTCTGCTCTGTCGTCTGGTATGAACCTGAAAAAAAGGGATTTTTGCAATTTTTGTTGTCATTTCAGAGAACAATTCTCTCGCTGTGAAGCGCCCGGCACTATGACCAAGCCCGAGCCGGACATGCCATGGACCTCGGGACAATCCTTATATTTCGTAATCGCCAGAGAGATGGTATCACCATACAAAAACCCCGACCTCGTGTACCAGACAAAAAAGAAAGAAACAAACTTTTTGGGTTTATTCCATTTATGCCTCGGTGGTGACACGGCCCTTGGCGTTGGTGACCTTGACACCGAGAGCCTTGGCCTTCTCGACAATCTCAACACGCTTGCGGGAAGAGACGGCGTGACCGATCCTGTTGACGAATGGTTAGTGGACGGAACGTAGATCGAAATCGCAAGCAGCATCTCTCAGGTGCGAAATGCCGTAGGTGGGAGGAAGAAAACGTACTCAGCAGCGTAGGTACGGTTGTGCATGAGGAGGAGCTCGACGTCCTTGGTGTTGTGGACGAGGAAAGCCTTGTGGCCGGAGGGCATCATGTGGCGGGTCTTCTTGTTGGAACCGTAACCGATGGAGGGCATGGCCATCTGTCCCTTGAAGCGGCGACGGACGGCATTATCAATACCCTTGGGCTTGCGCCACGACTGACCGACACACTTGAAACGGTCAGACTGGTGACGGTTGAAGCGGTTGGTGCCTATAGCAGTCGATGTCAGTCCTCCGATCTGCGATTGTCGTCTTGGCTTCCATGGCCTTAAATCCCATCGCCCTTCGCAAGTGTCGTTTTCCAAAGCAATCCTTCAACCAGCAATCTCTTGTGTTGTCCTTGATTTCTCTTCACTTGGTCGACAATCTCGAAAGGCGATGGTATCCTGGGTACGGAAGGGAGTGGGAATCGGGAACATACGCTTCTTGACGATAGGAATGTGCTTCTTAGCGGCGACCATCTGAGAGGAAAATTAGTGAGCATTCCAGATGTAGAGCATGCGCGAAAAAAAAACTCACCTTGTCGGTGTTGCTGGGTCTCGCCGGGCGTTCGAGAGTTGTCGAGTCGGAGTTCAATCTCGAAAACTTCTTTCATCAGGTTCTCCCGCAGCAGAGTGGGAGACCCACACTAGTGCGCTTCGGGCGAGCTAAGCGAGCAGTTATGTCAGCATAGCGCAGGGCTGAGCGGCGGGTAGCCCTACTTTGTACCCCAACTTGGATTAGTCGGCTTTCAAACATAACCAATCATGTCCGGTCTTCATCTATACGAGCATCCAAGATGAGTACGAGTAGATGAATGCACCATGATGTCCCATTTTCTATACCGGAGCAATTGTAATTTGAGGTAGTCACACTAATATGCTATTTTCAGCTACATCTCTGAATATGAGACAGATAATTCCATCATTGCAAATGCAACTGAACCCTCTCGCCATCCTTCTCGCCACTCCGCAACATCTGTTCCAAAATCTCAAGATCTGCCAACGCCTCCTCGGGTGATTGTCTACTGGCGGGCTTCTCATCTATGATCGAGTTTGCAAACTCAGCAACTTCTGGTGCGACGCCTTTACCGTCAAATTTAATGTGATGTTTGGTGCCATTGACTGTCACATCATCAAAGTTCAAAGTGACGACACCGTCCTCACAAGCTACCTCGAAAATCTGGTCACTGAACGATGATCCCCACGACAAAGAGAGGACACCAGTGGCGCCAGACTCGGTCTTGAGGACAGCGTCGACAGTATCAACTGGTGGGAGGGATGGTTGCTGTAGTTGCGACTGCGCTGACAGGACGCTGAGGCGCTCTGACCCCAGAATGAGTCGCAGGCCAGCCGTCATATGGACTCCACCATCCAGGAGGAATCCACCTTGATACTCGGGCGTCTTGCGCCACGCAGTTTCTATCAAACATACAGTCAGTATTGCTCAGTCTTGTGCCAGTTCGCGAGGTTGAAACTCACGGAAGTACTTGTTCTCGGCATTCATCAAACTGTGCACATTGACACGGAAGTTCTTGACCTTTCCAAGCTTTGAAGCCTGCTCTGCCGCAAAGATGAACTTGGTCAGGTACCGGAAGTTCTCGCCAACAGCCCAGAAGATCTTGCTAGTATCGATGGTACTCTTGTACCACTGCAAGAGTTCCTGGGCCGTGGCGACATCTTTGGCAATGGGCTTCTCGGACAGAACATGTTTCCCTGCGGTCAAAGCCTTCTTGATAAATTCAGGTTGAACCAGAATTGGTAGGCTAATATTTAAGTCAGAACTGCTTTGGTTCTCTCAGGAAGAGGTATAGTTGTGTAGTGATTCCAGGGTTACATACGCGATGATCACAGCACCAATGTCTGACCGAGCCAGGATGTCGGCATAGGATTTCCCAGAGCCCGAATCCTCTGAGTAGAGATCGACTCCGGATGTGGTGCTGGCCAGGTCCTGGGCTGACTTCAATGAACGTGAATAAATGGCCTTGAGCTCAAAGTTTGCTGCAGCTTGCACAGCTGGCTAGATTCAAACGGTATTAGCATGATTATGTCAAGAATTCCCAGTCGTATCATACCAGGTGCTGCTCCTGCGCGAAGAGGCCTGTAAGCACAGTTAGTCCAGGGTCCAACAGCAATGCGGACGAACATACCACTTCCGATGATTGCGACGCCGACGGTCATTTTGGTGATGTTTAAATTAGGGAAGAAGATGAAGAAAGAAGGAGGAAAAGAAGAGAGAATGATCAATACCAACTACTCCGGATTTCAGAGGGTGGACCCTCCAACAGTATGGCGGGAAGGTCCAACCTCGATGCACGTCATTTGCTGGAATTCCAGTCGGATCCATTTCCTATCTCATCTATATCCCGCTTTCCAGGGTAATCTGCGACTTGTGCTCGCAGTATATCAAATTAAGTATGTGAAACAAATACACAGGTCAAACTGTGCCAATAAAACAAGAATCGAGGTGTATCCAACCCCAAGGACGCCGTCATTTTCATCGTCAAACAAATCCAGTCGTATCGGTCATAAAGTCAGCCTGCAAGTCCCACAGGCAATATAGGAAAATGCTCTCCTGGCAAAGTTATTGTTTAACCAGGGCTCGGAGGCGCTCCACGCGCGCCATGGCCTTTTCCAGCCTTTCCAGTCTCCCACGCTTCTCAACATCTCTCCTCTCAAGCACAGCGACTCTTTCCTCGAGCTTTGCGCGGGCTTTCCGCTCCTGTGCGACCATTTCGTTCGCCTGGCTGAATAGCTGCACTGTCAAATCTTCCAATTCGGAGTTGGCTTGCGATAGCTGTGACTCAGCCGCCTTTCGCAGGCTCTGTTCGCGCTCTAATGCATCTTGTAGCTCGGATGTGTTGTCGCTGCTCGCTGGCGAGGCGTGCATTTGCTGAAGGGGGTTGGTCGGTGTAGTTGGGAGCGGAAGGGGTCCGCTGGATGTTGAGGGTGCACTGGTAGGGGTTGCGCTGCTACGCCGGTATGGGATAAGTGAGGCCAAAGTGGTCAGCCGACTATGGTAGGTTTGTGGTTGGGGTTGGGACTCTGAGGAGGTTGGGCGCTCGATTGGTGTTTGGGACCGCTCTTGGGAGGACGGTGGGCCGCCCAGAGAGGATCGTGGTGTGTCGTAGGCTGCTTGGGATGCGGAGGCGCGTAGGCGTCGTACTTCGTCTTCGTACTCGTTGAGTTTGACGGCTGTGGTTGCAATCGTGTCAGCTTCAAGCGTCCTGGCTGGGGCCGAAAATCTCTTCCCGATGAGCCGTGGAAGAGGGAATGAGTCGTGGATGCAAATCAAAAGTGTGGTTTCTGGCCGAGAGCGCCTCGAATGCCTCTATGTCACTTACCTGTTACCGAAGCGCGCGCTGTTAACGCATGCACCTGCCCCTCCAACTCCTGGATTCTGTCGTGGGCGCCAGATTCGCCTGGAGGAAATCCTTCACCCCAGCACATGGGACATTGTTTCTCTGATATAGTGACGCCCTTCATATCCGGGGATCCAACAAGTGTGGTGGTCGTGAACGTGGATGTAGCCGTAGCCGACATGACTGGGGCTTACCCCGGGATTTTGGCAGTCGAAAAGCACGGTGAGCACGGGACGTAGTAGTGTGGGCAGTACGGAGTATAGGGCATAGAGTACAGAGTACAGAGTACGGAGTACGGAAGCTGAAGTCACCCTGGGATTTAAGAAGTCTATCCTTTGAAGGGGTTTCAATTAACTCCATACCGGCCACTTTAATTCTTGGCCAATCGCATCACAGTGGTTCCTGGAATGATCTCATTGTGTTTTTGTCTACGAGTACAGAGTATCTACGGAGTACGGAGTGCGAAGTACGAATCTACGAATACACTGTCTATATCCAGTGTCTAGGTATACTGAACATACAGGCCAATCTGGATGTCTGTACACATCTCATGTCACCCTGCACCCCGTATGTCGGACGTTGCGCTATCAGACGAGTGGGTCGATTATACACCCCCTTGCTTCGCCGGTCGGCGCGAACTATTCCTTTGTGTCTTAGATCTAGACAGCACTATCAGTTGCTATTTTGGGCTGAACTTGGATGCTTCCCTTATCCATGCTCTATACTCCCTATTCTGTACTCCGTACGAGTACTCCGTGTTCCGTATGCACTCCCTACTCGGCCATGATACCTGATATTCATTGACTCGTCTACCTGAAACTGATCGGCTATCGTGATACAACCAGAGTCTGAAAGGGACGCGCATGCTACGGAGTATCAAGAAGAATTCGAATCCACCGTCAATGTAGACTGCATTTCATTCTATGCTAAATAGGTCTTCAACTCGGTTAGAAGCGCAGAAATCAAGTTGGCACCTGGGCATGTTTTATGGAAAACTCTCCATGGCACGCGACGATCCAACAAAAATGAATTAGTGCAGTCGGAAGGAGGTCGAGCAGAAAAGCAGAAGATTGATCGTCAGCGTGGTGCTCATGAGTTTGCTCATATATCTCGTGCATCTTGTTCGCGTGGCTGGAGACGGACCAGAAGGAAACTCCGCTCCCAATCCGACACAGCAGACAGGGACGAAAAAGAAAACAGGACCACCCGTGGTCAATCAAAAGTGGAAAAAAAGTGAAAATGGTCAACAAGAGGAATGGAACATGTAGTATTCGTTTCGCATCGGCTGTAATGGTCATGGGCAGATCACACGAATCACGCATGGGAATAATAGCTAGATAGCGAAACAGGACATAAAATGAAACTTTTACTGCCAGATCATCGAGAGAGCGAGGACTAGATGTGTATCGGGGAAATCTAGCCCACAAAAAAAGGAAAAGAGATCGTGAAACCAACGGACGAAAAAAAGAGGCGGGAAGTGGAGAAGGGTGAGAATAAAGCTCAATCAGAAATAGCAACCGTGCGTCCGCGCCGCAGATGGCAGAGAAGGGTGGGAAATTATGAGTGGCAGCCAGACCAGGCGAGGACTCGCCCAGCACTATCGGCGCCCATCCAGATCTCGATCACCCTGCTAGAGCGATCCATCGAAGCGGGGCGGGAAGAAAATGCTGTTGCGTTGGGGTATCGATAGGTTTATGCGAATCCACGACCAGTCTGTCCACGGCGGTTGTTGCGTGGCTTCACGCTGACCGTGCTCCATCCCTCGTCGTCACCACCAGCACCAGCGCTGGCCTCGGCAGCGGGGGCTCTCCAGCCGTTGGAGGTCTCCTTCTGGGCCTCAGCGGGCGCAGCCGCGGTCTCTTCAGTCTCCTTGTCAGCGGTCATGTCGCCCTCCTCACCAGTGCGCTGGAGGATCTCGAAGTTACCACCACCCTTGGGGGTCTCAAGGACGTCCTTTCCGTTGTGGTCCACGGCAGGGGCAGCATCCCTCAATTGCTTCTGCTTCTCGGCGTGCTTCTCGGCCTTCTCGGCCTTGGCCTTTTCCGCGGCATCCTGCTTTTGGCGGATAGCCAGTTGACGTCGCTCTTCGACTTGACGCTCACGGGTGGCAGTATCAATGGGGCGGGCGGCACCGAAGGGGCTAGCCTTGGAGTCACCGCCTGAGGTGGGTGTGGTGGGGTTCTCGGAGACGGTACGCTTGGTCAGGTTCAACTTAGGACGGCTAGCGGGAGCGGCAGGGACGGCGGGAGTGGCCGAAGGAGAAGCGGGGCTGGCAGGCTGCTCCTTGGGAGCGTCGTCGGGGCGCATGCGTGCGCGCCACTGGTTATCCATGTCGGCCGCGGTAGGTGTGGGCTCCGGGCGAACGTGCTCGGGGCGGGGAGGGCGAGAACCCTCGTCCTGGGGACGGCCCTCACCCCAGGCTGCCTCGTTTCTGCGGAAGCTGGAGCCAGCTCCATCGGTGCTGGTAGGGCGGCCACCCTCACGGGGAGGGCCACCTGCGGAGGGCGAGAGAGGTCCCTTGCGCTCCCAGTTGTTGAAGTCGCGGGGCTTTCCGTCGGACTCGAAGTTGCTGCGGCGAGGACCACGGTCGGTGCCGGCATCAATGGCGGGGTCCATACCACGTCCGAAGCTGGAACGGTCGGGTACACGGGCTTGGGGAAGCTCAGGCAGGGGTCCACGGCGAGACCAGTCCAGGTCCTTGCCTTCCATGCGAGACTCCTTGGCTAGATAGTTGTGAGTTGGAATCCAGATTTATAAAAAGCCATCGGTCAATACTCACGGGGCTCTGCGACACTGGTACGGATTGAACGTCCCTGGAGAGAAGAGCCAGACAGGTCCAAAGCCTTTTGCAGGCCCTCAACAGTCTCAAACTCAACATATCCGAAACCCTTGGGGGCCTTTGTTAACTTGTCCTCCACAACACGAACATTTGTCACACCACATCCGGCGAAAAGGTCGGAAATATCGGCCTCGGTGGCTTCAAAAGAAAGGTTACCAACGTGGCAAGTGTAGGGGGGCTGGGTAGGAAGATCGAGGGGCTCTCGGACGGCGTATCCACCGCGCTCGCGCTCTAAATATAGCATGTCAGATGTTGCTCCGTGCATCTAGAATAAATATCATCATACCGAAACCACCGGTAGGGCCAGAGCCGTAGCCGGTGTCAGCACCCATGGGGCGACGCTGGAAAGTAGAGGCCAGAGGCTGGGCTATTCACATGGTAAGTATATCTCTCAATTTTCCGGGTCAATAGTATCGGGAGCGCTGCATACTGGCTGCAAGGTAGGTTAGCACGATTTTGTCATTCTGATAGCAGAAAGTTCTTCAACATACATGGCAGAGGCATATCCTCCATCTCATCGGCCCAAGAGCCAAGGCCTAGGTTTGTCAGTATCCGACTCTCATCCACTTCCAAATTTTCCGATCACTCACTTTCATCGGCCAAGAAGGTGCTCATGGACATCTTCTGAGCCTTGTTTTTGGGAGCTAGATGAAATTATCTATTCAGCGATCGCCCATGAGAAATCGCCAGTATTGACGATCGAAAAAGGTCTGGAACGAACCCATGATTGCGGTGTAATTGGGGGGAAACGCGCCAACGGATTTGTGCGCGCTTCTCACGAGAGAGGATAGGGTAAAAAGAAAAGGAGATTAAGAACGTCTGATGAGAGGCCCGAGGGTCAGTAAAATTTTGAAAGTGTAGTAGTTGGGTTCAATATCTGCAAACCCACAGTGGAAAAGTTGGTAGAGGGGAAGTCGGCTGCGGCATGGAAGTGGACGGGTTACTAAATTTTTAGTGATGACGCTAGCCCAATCAGAGCCGCCAGATCGGTCTATACAGCCTCTCTTCTTCAGGGCCAACCCGTTTGTAGATTTGTGTTTGGGCCTATTTATGGACCGGCTGGCCATTTCTCAGGTGTTCAATGTCTGATACCAGTTGTCAAAAAGTTGGTCTCATTTCTGGTTTTTCTAGTCAATACTTATGTATAATTTCCCATGCTCGGCTAAAAATATATCTCAACCCAATAGAGATATATATTGAATCTACTGAATGTGCCGCCTAGTAAAAGATACGCCATGCCACTTGATCACTTGTTCCATACAGATATTTGGAGAAACTTTAGCCGCAGTGTTACAAGTCTGACTCGAGCCATTGCCTTCTAAAGTTCTCTCCCTTGTGCATGAGCAGGGCCACTTGGAGTAAATATAACTACTCTGTATTTGTATTTTGTTTATTTAGACAGGGACTCTTGAAGGACTTCAAGGCCACCCTCATCCCAAGGGTATGAATGACTGGGTAGGAAAGATTTCCAAGGTTGGATCTCCGACGCTTAGACTCCTGAAGTCCCTAATAGGCCTCGGCTTCGATGATGACGACATTCCCAAGGTTCCTGCAAGAGCACCCTGGGATTCGATTCAAAGCAGCAAGTCAACTCTGCCCAAGTGGGCTGTTGAGGTCCGAGCTTAAACGTTAGCACGTCAGGCGGTGATAGGCAACTTTAGAAGCTTGGATGAGATGTTGTTTCATGGACATTCATGGATGGACATCCGTTTTTCAACCTTAGAACTCGGTAAATTGTGAGTTGGAAAATAAATGATCTTGAGGAATAAGAATATGTTATAGACGGTCAGCTCCATTGTGTGTTATTGGATGGTGTTGGTGACTGGCACATTTAACTATACCCATACTCTGTACGGAGTCTACTCCGTATACTAGTAGGGCTCACCCACCATACCATCCGCAAACGCTAGGCTCAACATCATGTCGGCTAAAGGTCACCACTACATCCCTGAGATAAACAATCCTAGTGAAGACTTTTACGTGACGGTAAATCTATCAGCAGTTTAGGATGTTGTTTGCCAGCCTGGGGCTGTTTGTATTACATAACCAATCATGTGACCATGCTGTTTCTGACCTGGATTGCTGCTCTCGCCCACGGTATACATCTGCATGATTTTGAGGTATTCTGAGGGGCAAATGATATTGATGCGCCAATAGCCTTGCATCAAAAAGAATGGATCATTCAAACAACACAGATGCAGGCCTCCAGCCCAGTGCCCTTCTATCTGCGGCCAAAGTGGGAGCCTTCAGTGGTTAGTGCTCTTCCCTTTCAGAGTGAACAACCCTGAAAACAGCATGGGATAACATGCTAACTCCAATGCCAAGGAACAATGGGATTCATTTATGGAGGCGCTGCGGGAGTTATCAGATCCCCCAATCCAATGATTCATTCCTTGTCATGTGGCATCCATTGGTCTATATGCGGCTCATCATTTTGGTGTATGTGAAGACACTACTATGTGTTGCCGAAATCTAACGAGCTCATCACAGGGCTGAGAAGCAATATCATCAAACATCACTACCAAGATAAAGCTTCACCACAAGAGCGCAAGTACGCGAGTGCTCTATGCGGTGGCATTGCAGGGGGAGGTGTGACAAAGCTAATGGGTATTGCATCCTGAAGAACGAGCATCAACTAAGGTCAATGCTAACTACATGAAGGAGGCCGGCTGGTTCCGGGAGCCATTATCTTCTCACTCCTGGGTTACTGTGGCCAAAGCGTGTTCAACAAAGTTGACGCCTGGCAATTGGAGAATGCCACCACCACGAGCAAACCATTCATGCAACGGATGGCTGATTCCAAGTGGATCCCATTGCGGAGTCTGTCTGATGAAGAATACAGGGGTATGTTGGGCGAGAAACTCCTCAGTATCGAGGCTGAGATTGCCTTGCTCGACGACAAGATTGAGGAGCTAGAAAAGTCTCGACCAGCCTCTTCCGCTTCAGGATCAAAATAAGTTCTCCCTCAAATCCTTTACGACCACTGGCTCCTTTGCGTGTCACCTTCCACCGACATTCAGGACAAGTTGTGTCTATATCCCTGCAGGGCACAGACGACCTTGAAAGCATGTGTCAAAACAAAATCACATCCATGTGGAGGAACAATGTAAAATATGTACAGAGTACAGGAATTAGCAATGTATGATATCAGAGAAAAAGCCAAGGATGATCTCCCCTGAACAGAATCTTGGGTCGCGTGTAGATCAACCAGATGGAACTCCGGCAGGAATCAGAGCCGCAACAACATGGAAAGACGGGTTTGAAATTCGTAAATGACAGGGATCATATAGAACATAAAAAAACATAGAAAACAAAGGATCAACTGAAGAGCATAATCCTCACAGGGCTAAACCGACCTACGCAGAAGCCGGTTTTAGAGAAAGTGCCGGCTCCGCCTTTCTGGACCTCCGACCTGTCCGAAGCCGTACTCGTAGCCCACCTGTCATTCTCCCCTACTCCGATCTTATGAGTCGCCCACATTCATTTTTTTCCGAACCGACTACAATGCCCGTCCTACTGAGACTTTGATGCATGTCACAAGTCGTTGCTGTCCTGGAGGAATCATCGTGACCAACCCCAGGCAGACAGTAGAGATCGAGGGGAAACAGTACTCCGTACACCGTCGCCAATACTAATGTGCGAGTTTAGATTGTTCGTCTGATATCAGCCACTCCTGCTGATCGCGTAACGCGATGACGCTTTTCAATCCTACCTCGATCCTTGTGGGATTCCTCCTGCTGTACCTCTCGTCCTTTTTCATATTCGCTATCGTCCGGATCGCGACGGGAATCTCCATTCAACGGATCGGCTACTTTTCGCTGCGCCGGATCGCATACGCCCCGAAGGAAGGTCTACATATTGAAATCCGTGGCCTTGGTTTCTCATTACATCCTCCGTCATTCGCCCAGCCAACATGGATCAGCATCCGGTTGACGGAGTTGAAGATTACCGTGGACTCGACAACACTGGGACAAGGCAAACGTGAAACACCCCTTGGAACATCAGACTCGCCCGAGCCCGCTAGCAACTCCGAAGAACGCACCGCGCCCGAGCCTGGAAGAAGTAAAACATGGAAGACCTTGACCCGGATGAAAGAACAGCTCAAGAGGCTCCACCGTCAGATCAGTTGGTTAGCTTTGGTAGATGTGACCGCCGTCAACACCGCCGTCCACTTCGTCAATGCCGGACAGATTCAGGTCGGATCGCTCTCCCTCTCCGTCGACACTCGAAGTAAAATGGTGGAGCGAGGCAAGCTATTTCGTCGCAAGAAGGACATGTCACAAGATCAACGGCCGGTGGAATGGATTATGAACGTTCAAAATGTTTTGCTCAATGTCGACGGCCGGGAACCCATCGAAATACTCGACAACGTCGGCGTGAATCTCCATGGACTTCTCCACAAGGACTTGGATGGACTGAGAGACGCCTCGGTGGCTCTCAAGATTGGGCGTATGCATATTTCATACGACGATATTCGTCTCATGCTGCAGCGCATGAAGCCAGACCAGAAGTCCAACAAAGGACCAGCGACCACCGAAACCGACGACAAAATATCATTTGCCGACTTTGTGGAAGAGCTCGATAAGCCTGGGAGCAGAGACAATGTCCTGGTTCAGACTGTGGCGGACTCAAAAGAGTTTGCAAGCTCTTTACTCCGTGGCATCCAGGAAATCCAGATCGCCCTTAGTTTCTTCCGCGTCTCACGGAGCATGCAGTCTCTCTCAGCCGGACAAACTCCTGTGTACCTCAACGTGGTATCCCACGAGCTTGGAATTGATCTCCATCGTATGGACCAGAAGAGCCCGGAACATCGCATGTATTTCCAGCGAAATGATGTTGCTCACCAGGCTCTCCTTGCTGCTATCTCTCTTTCAGTCAGCTTAGACGACGAATCGGGCGAAACAGACAACATTCTGTATGTCCCCATGGCCACGACAACCATAAAAACAACACTGCCCTCCAAAACAGTGAGCGCATTTGACGATGAAAACGCCGAAGAGCGAAACACCAATGTTCTCTTCGCAAATCTGGTCGTAACTTCGCCCTCCGTCGATCTCCTACCGCAGCACGTTTCCAGGCTTCTCAAACTGGCACAGGCCCGCGCGTCATCCCCACGAGGGAAGAAACGAGACAATCATCATTTGATCTCACGGTTGCTCCCCAAGGCCAGCATCAAGTTGTCGGTTCACGAACCTGTGGTCCGGTTTGTTCTTCCAATCGAGAAAGAGTCTGGTCCTCCCGATGAATACAACCTGCTCATCTCCTCCATCTCCTCCATATCGCTTGACATCGAATCCTCCCATTCATCTGAAGGTGGCGCTCATTACTCTCTTTCCTCCGTCTACCGAGTCGCCTCCCACAAGTTTTATTACCAGACCCCTGCGGGTGACAAGCATAATCTACTGACAAACGAAAGTTTGGAACTGAAGGCTCATCTGAATGCTACCCCGGAGGTCTGTGTTATCGCTTCGGGAAGTCTAAACGAGTGTTCAGTCCACATGATCAACGGAGAGGTCAACCGTGGAATCCGTGAGGTCTTGCAGCAGTTCATCATGCAGATGCAATCGTCTAAGCGGACACCAATGCCAGGAATAGAGCGCAAACCAAGTATCTTGAGGCGAGTGCCTCGATGGTTGATCCAATTCCAGTTTGAAGCCACAGGGACTAGTGTGGAAATCGCTGGCGTGGATAACACTGTTTCCGATATCTCGCGGGGTGTCTCTCTACAACTTCAATCCTGGACCGCAGAATACAAGGCCCAGAAGACAGAAACAAATGTCGGCAGCATCGCGAGACGACGTACTCCCAGCCATTCTACCATTGGTGACGAATCGCCCTTTCGTTTCCCTCCGACCTCTCCCCCCAAGGCCACACACAACCAACGAGGCGCCACCGATGGAAGGCGCTTGGCACTTCATGCACGTGGCTTTGACGGCTTCGTCATCGAGTCGGAAGATTACCTGGAGCCAGAACCATTCTTCTCGTTGCCTCGATTCGAGATTGCTATGAGTACAAACAGCGATCGCATGGGCCCACTCGTACATTTCACGTCAGTGTTCAAGGGAATCTATCTACAATACTCATTGTATCGGTTTTACTGTCTTGGTGTCGCAGTGTCAGTCGTTCAAGATGTGCTCACACCGCTGCCGGATAAATTCCCAGAGTCTGCGCAGGAGAAATCCAGAAAAGCACCGAGCGTCTCTTTGCCGCCTGCTCCGGCGCATAAATGGTCACCAAAGAAAGAGTTGTTCACTTATGACCTGAAAGCAACAGTCGTCCAGCTCAAGGCGAACCTACCAAATGATCCTCAAATAATGATACAAGTCTATGGGCTCGGGGCTGCTTCTCAACGTCTTTCCACACCCTATGTGAAAGCTAACCTTGTTCGCATGCATGCCGAGGCACCTAAACTCAAGGGCGTTTGGGCTCGAATTGGAAGTATGAACAATGTCAGATTGAACTTCCGATCCATGAAGAAGAAACAGGGAAATGTCTTGGTGGATGAAAAATCCATTGATATATGCACAGACTTCATTCGAGTTGGTGTGCCTCATCATATGGTGATGCATCGCATCTTCGACAACCTGATCAACACTTCGAAGGCTTTCAAACAGCTTAGCCATCGTTTCAAGAATAGATGCAGAGACTTCGACTCCAAGAGAGAGCAAGAAGGAATGAAGAAGGTTCCAAGGATATCCGTTCGCAGCAAAGCCCTTCTCTTTGAGCTCGAAGACGATGGGTTTGAATGGAAGTTGGGTTGCATCTATCGGGTTGGTCTGATCGAGCAGGCTCAACGGCTGGCCCGGGAGGATGCATTTGAATTAAAAACCCACAAGGTCAAGGAATCAGACCAGCGGCGTGCTACATCCCGACTACGAGCCAAGTCAAGCCACCGAACATTGCGCAGTGAACGTACTAGCCAAGATACAAGACGAAGTCGAAGTGCCGATCCACCTGCGAAACCAAGCACCCAGGAACGCGGAAGAGGTCGCAAATACCGCTATGACACTGAAGGTGCGACCTGCCTTTCATCAGAGCAAAAAATCTCCGCAGACGCTGCCTGGAGTCGTCTTCAACAATACAACGCCCAAGTGTGGAAGGAGAAGATCGATGCAGCACTCAAGTTCCAGGGAACTTCCATCAAGGAAGTAAGAGAGTTGTTCTCTGGTGCAGACGAGCCCCCGGCAGATGTGAAGGAAACCGAGACCATTCTTGCAATTCCAAACAGACCGGGTTTGATGTCAGCTCTGATAAGTGATGTCAACCTTGTCATTGACAAGCCCACATTTGACATTGCTGAACTTCCCGAATACCTGAATAGAATTGGCAAAGGAATGCCGTTCGACATGGAATATGGGCTGCTTCTTCCAATGAGTTTCAATCTTGAAATGGGCGAAGCCCGCGTAAACCTGAGAGATTATCCTCTGGATTTGTTGCATATCCCGGCTCTGCGCCCAGGTCAATCACCAAGGCTCCCTAGTTGGTCCTTGCGGACAAATTTCGTCATCGCCGAAGAATGGCGGGACAATGAATCTGCTAGGCAAGTCGAAGTTGAACTTGTCCCTGCGGCCGAGGGGCCGGATGGATCCCCTCGCGAACCTTACAAGATTCCTGTTTGGCGATCTGTCACGCCGGTCAAGACTTACTCCGACCCAGTCATTGAGATCAATACCAGTTTGCCTACTAGCATATCATGGGGTGTCTCATACCAGCCGGTCATTCAAGATATGATGAAGATCATCGAAGGCTTCACCAAACCTGAGATCGACCCCTCTGAGCGGGTTGGCTTCTGGGACAAGATCCGATTGAGTTTCCATTCCCGAATCAAAGTTCTATGGAAGGAAGATGGCGATGTTCATCTGCGCCTCAAGGGGTCCCGTGATCCATATGTGGTGACTGGCTTTGGCAGTGGATTCGTCATGTGCTGGCGCAGAGATGTCAAATGGGAAATCCATACCAGTGACAACCCCATGGAGTTCATGAGTGTCACAAGTGGAGAGTACGTGCTCGCTATTCCTGACTACAGCGCCGAAGCAAGATGGGCAAATGAAGCCACCACTGAGGAGCTAGAAAACAGTTCAACCTCTAGTGAGCAGAAGAACGCTGCCCACTTCAAAAAAGTTGTTATGAAGCTGTCTGGCGATGTCAAATGGGCAGCAGGGCTGGTCTTTGAGCGAGAGATGGACAATGACTCCCGATCCTTCCACTTCAAGCCTCATCATGAGGTCGTTCTGAAGAACCCCAAATACGTTGACCCAGCTAAGCGTGCCAGCTACGATGCTTATGCAGGGTTCCGAAGTGACCACATTCACCTGTCTGTTTCGATCATTGCGCCACAGAGCAGAAATTGGTCTGTTGATAGCGTTCAGCCATCCTCCAGCTACAACACAGTCCATCTCACACCTCGCTTCTTTACCCATTTCTTCAACTGGTGGTCTCTTTTCTCAGGTGTGATGTCCCTTCCTGTTCGCCAAGGACCCCTCTGGCCGGGTATCACCAAGACCAACAAAAAGTTCAATCGGCACTTGGCTACTGTCAAGTACAAAATTCTACTTGCGCCTCTCTTCATTGCCCATATTTACAAGCACAAGGACCGCGAAGACTACGCAGAAGATTGTGTCACGGCAACAGGTATCAAAGTACGCTTGGATTGCTTGAAGCTTGATATCCACCAGCGCCGCGAGCAGATCAAAACACAAGCGCGAGGTCGCTCAAAGCAAACCAGGACAAGTGCGATGCGCATTAATCAAGCCCAAATTGATATGCAGTCTGCCGACTTCCGCGCTGTCTCCGCCAGTATTGAAGGTACAAGCGCGGAGGATGTTGAACGCACCAAGGACGACATAATCTCTTCCTTCCAGCAGCCCTTGCCGTCTGTGGATTTGTCTAGATTTACCATCCCTGATCATAACTTGGACTGGGTTGATATGGATGACTTTGTGGAGCCGGACTGGATCCTGCCACAAGAGTCCAATCCTCGAACCCAGATCCTACCTCTCGCCTTTACACCACGCTTCACCTATTTCCGCAACACAGATCATTGCGATGTGGGACCGGACGAAACAGGGTACAGTAAGTTTGGCGATGAGCCCACTCACGAGTGCGTCATGTCCGAGACAAACGATCCTCGCCGAGTGCAGTGTGAATTGGTCAAAGACCGCCTTGCGACAGTCGAGGCTCAAATTCGCGATTATGAACGTACTATTGGAGAACAGGAACTCAAGCTTACAAGAGAGGTCGATCCCGAGGCCCAATTAAAGGCTGAGCATGAGGTCTTCCTCCGACAGTCTGAATCACTTGCAAGACGACAACATTTCTTGATTAATACTCTCAATCGCCTTGAGAAACACATCAACCGGGACGAGCGGACTGGGCACGGCAACTCACTTGGCGACCGTGTGACACCAAGTGCGTCTATTCGAACAGGGCACACGGGCCGAGATGCCGATTCCACGACTGACGGCAGGTCCTCAGGCATGGGTGGAATCTATTCTGTCAGCAATGATGAGTTCGAGAGTGATTTCAACAATCGTTTCATGATCCACAACGTGCAGCTCAAGTGGAATAACTCGCTCAGAAACATCATTCTTCGATACAGCCATCAAGTCAGCCAGCGGCGTGGATTCGTATACTACATGTCCCGCCGAGCCGTCAAATTCATTCTGGACATTGTGGATGAGCAGGACAAGAACAAACGCAAGCAACCTAAGATGTCCAAAACGCAGACTCATGCCTCCAACAACGATGACGAGGATGTCGAAGATCGCATCGAACAATTGCTGAACGATGCCAAACGCTTTGTCAATGTGGAAGAAAATGATCCCCCCGACTCGAATACCCAGTCGCCATCTTCGTCGGATAGCTCAAGTGAGAACATCGCGCCAGAATTCACGCCTCAGAACAGTTATCACCTGCGCCTCATTGCTCCTCAAATTCAACTTCTCAGCGAGAAGAACCGAAAGTCGGTCTTACTTGTTGCGGCTAAAGGCATGGAGCTCAAGGTGGTTTCGATTATGGACAAAGCACGCGTTTCAGACGATGTAAGTGGCTTGGTGCAACGTCGCTTCTCCCTTGAGATGGATGGTGCCCAGTTCTTCGTCGCGACACAAAAGAATCTGATGGCAAACTTGCAATTCTACGCTGGCAACAAGTACGGCAATGCGCCAGGATCAGCTTGGCCACCGTGGTTGACTTTGGAAGCCATGTTCGATTTCGAGTTGAATCCATTCGGTTTCTCTCGCATTGTCCAGAAGACTTCAGCCAGTTTGCGCTACGACAAGTACAATAACCTCCGCCTCAAGTATAATGAGGAAGTGGCCAAGGGTCAAGGGCCGCACCCTGAAGACCAGGAAGACCGCATGGACTCGATCAGCGTCGATTTCCCTCATTTCCGCGCCATCTGTGACTCCGCAGAGTATTACTCAATGTACATCATTGTGTTGGACTTGATGCTCTACAGTGAACCGCTTGAAAAGGTTCGCAACGAGCGCCTGGAGAGGATCATGCTCACTTCCGACTTCAGTGATCTGCGCGGTGCCCCTGAGATGGTCTTTAAACTCCAAGCCCGCATTCGCCAACTGGAAGAGATCAAGGAATACTTCCAGATCAATGCGAAGTTCTTGGACAAACAAGGATGGGAAGATCGTTTGGCTCTCGAGCGTGACTTGTCTCAATGCGAGGATGAATTGTTCTTCATGATGAAGGCCATCACCACTTCCCAAAGACGAATGGAGCCTAGCTCGTCAAGGGCTGACGGCGTTAATGGTGTACTCCGCTGGAGCATTTCAGCCAGTGAAGTGGTGTGGCATTTGATGAAGGACGCTGATAACCCTCTGATCGAGTTCCAACTACGAAATGCTTCGTACGAAAGGACCGACAATACCGATGGCTCCAACCACAACTTGGTATCGGTGGAGCGACTTTTCGGATTGAACTTACTCCCAGATGCCATTTATCCCCAGATTATTGCGCCATACCTCGATGGAGCACGTACCCTGGATGACTTCATGCTGCGGATCAGATGGCATATGCTCGAGGCTGTTGCGGGAATTCCTGTGCTTGACAACTTCGAAATCTCCTTATTCCCACTCAAGATTCAACTTGAACGCGAGCTTGGCCAGAGGGTCTTTGAATACATCTTCCCTAATGTGGGATCGAACGCGTTTGAGGCCGGTGGCTTCTCGCCTTTCATGATCAAGAACATGAAGCCGCTGGATGGATCAGACGATGAAGACGAAGGCGACGATTCTAGTAGCATGCCTTTGACACGTTCGACAAGCATCGATGGTGACAGCTCTTCCATGGACAGTTTGGCCGTATCGAAGGGCCCTGGATCCATTGAGTTACGACTCCAGCCTACGCTCTCGCTTTCAGATGATGCGAAATCGCGTACTCGTTCGTCTAACCTGAAGGGTCTCGCAATGACACCTCTTCACCAAGACAACAGCAGACTTGGCGTATCAGAGACTGCACGCCAGACGGGCCGTCCTGCTACTACAGGGGGTCTCAGCAAAAAGAAGTCCGCCGACAGTATTCGCATGTTGACCAAACAACCCACTGAGAGATCACTGTCTAGCCACAGTGCTGGCGAGGAAAGTCGCAAGAAGTTCGGGATGGGCAAGGGAACTAATAAGGGTGGTAAACCTAAGGAGCCCACCGACGACCTGTCTCAAATGATCTCTCGCGCCTCCAACTACATGACTCTGGCACATGTCAAGGTCAATGATGTGGTTCTTTGTATGAGTTACAAGGGCAAAGGAGAACATAATCTCGAGGATCTGCACGATTTTGTCTTCCGTCTTCCAGTTCTGGAGTACGGCAACAAGACATGGTCTAACTTGGATCTTGCCCTACGTCTCAAGAAGGATGTGATCAAGGCCCTCATTTCGCACGCCCCCGCCATTCTTGGTAACAAGTTCTCCCATCACCGACCATCCAAGCAACAACAGAAGCGTTATCGCGAGCTTGCGTCCTCCTCCCAACTTCTGCCTAGTGCATCTAGCACGCTGGACCCAAACAAAAGTCAAGCCCAAAGTCTGGCCAGCTACGACTCCAACAGTGACTACTCTGAGTCACGATCACGCAAGTCTATGCAGTCAAATGCTTCGCCTTTGGCTAGATCCACCTCGTTGAATTCGGAAGCCGTTGGCACAAATGGCTTGGACCCGAGCATGTACAATTCTCGACCCGGCAACGAAGTTGATGTGGATTCCCGCTGGGAGGTTCGTACCCCCACCCGTCTCATGATACCCCGTCATTTCAAAAGCCAGAAAACTAACATGACTCTCGCAGGCATCGCGCCGATTCGTCAACCCCCCTCCCCCTGAGAGACCAATGACTTCTGGTAACATCCGGACCACAAGTGAAACGAGCAAGAATGATCTTGATGAGAGGTAAAGTTTCAAATTCATTTCTGTGCCAGCAATGCCAGACTGACTAATTGCTATAGTCACATCAAAACGATTCGCAGCATCGGTCGGAAGCTCACCTTCCGCAAATAATTGCTTCAACCGCAACCACCACCTTACTTTTCTCTCCCTCGCCATTCCCACTTTGTCTTATCTCCCCATTGTGCTTCTTTAAAAATCCTGCAATAACTTTGTACACCATCTTTGTTTCCACTGGTCCCTCTTGTCTCTAGATACCCTCTACTTGAAGCGGGCCGTACATAGGCGTTCTTCTGTGTTGATCTTTTACTTTTAATCTGTCCATGGCGGCAAGATGTTACGTGTTTTTATCACCCGGGTTTGTCTGAGGACACTTGCATAGAGGCGATTGGGATACTTCGTTTTTCTTTCTTTTTTATATTCCTTCTATTACCACCATATTCTTTGCTTCATCTCATTGTCTGCAGCGAAAAAGCGGCAATGTTTTCAAGATTGCTTCAAATGCATAATATTTTGATCATCGAGACTATTTCCTCTGCCTACAAATCGTCAGATGCGTTCATGGCGCCTGCCCTGCTCTCTACTTGCCTTTGTTTCTTTCGACTAATTACCACCCTTGAGATGGAATCACAGGCCAATCGGATTTCTGCACCATAGATTTGAAAAGAGCTTCGAATGAGGACTTGGCTCGACAAGGAACGGAAAGGCACGGAATATCAAAAGTAACAGTCTCAATGTGCTCCCCAGACAATCAACAGAGGGTATCTATACAAAGCATGACGGCAGCTTGCTTTACAAAAAGAGGAAAAACAAATTTGATGCTCAAACCAAGAGATATCCTCCTAGAAAACTTGCAACAAGAAAAAAACAAACGTCATTAGAGAGCAACAGCTTCATCAAATCATACTTATTATACGGGTGACTTGTCTGATTCTTTGGTATCAGGGCTGTCTTGGATAGGTCCATCATGGGTTCCGTCGGGTAGGTGAGAGAACCCATTGGGAGCACTGCCAGATGGATTGTGAACCATCTCGTGTGATTCGTTCGAGGGTCCATCGATGGGCCCATCGACAACTTTCTCAACACCGGCACCCTCTGAGGATGTCGATGGAGCGCTTTGCTTATCGCGGGTCCAAGGCCAAACGTTAGCCTGCACAGACGCGAAACGAGTCCGTGCTGTAGGTGCATCGATGTCGTCAACCCAAGGAATTCCGCCTTGGCCACGGTTCTCTGCCCACGCCTTCTTTTCACGGCGTAGGTCACTTTGAACCCAAGGGATTGTGATCAATGTCCAAACAATAGCCCATGCAAATGGAAGGGACCAGCCCAACTGCTCATTGTCAGTGTTGCTCGAGTTCGTCAGATTGATTCCTGCTTACCGTAAACGCAACATTTTCCTGTACCGTGAACACGACGGCAGTGATGGCAGCAGCAAAAACGATGGACCCGCCACTCCAGAAACAGTTCATTTCGAACAGCATACGTCGGAAGTAGGGACTCGATAGGTATCGTGTCCGAAGAGCATAACGGTAGATCTGACCACCACCGCCATCAACTGCGACAACATCCTCAATCAAGGCGTATAATGCAGTCGGCATAACGGAGCCCTTGGGCGTCGACGAGATTCGGAATGGGGCTTTGTAGCCCAGCATGCGGAAGATGTCGAGTGAGAGGTAGACGATACCAAAGTAGAACATGACAGCTGGGAGGACCATGGCCACAAGACGGACTAAACAATTAATCAGTATTCAGTCAATCAATTTGAAACATCAAAGTCAATCTAACCATATGGTTCTTCAGGGACCGATCCACTGTGGTTCTGTTAGCTTCCGAATGAAGGACTCTACCTCCAGGATGCGAAACTGAACTTACACGACAAGAATGACAGCGAGAATGAGCCACACGATTGTGAAGTTGATCTGAAAGAAGTCGAGCTATCGGAAGCGATCAGCAATTGTCCATCCCATCTCCATTGCCACTGGTAAGACCTACCCATGATGACCGGGCGTTCAGGGGTCGGGCGCGCGAGTTTTTTCGGAAAAGGTTATAAAGACGATAGAAGTACTCGAAGACTGATACACCCCCGAGCGATGCAGTGACGATCGAGAAGACTGCGCAATATGTTAGCGATGTGGTCTGACGTTTAATGCCCAGTCGCCAAGCATACCCAAGTTGTGCGATAGATCGGTCAGATACCAAAGACACCAGTACAAGATCAAGGGTTGAGCCAGAGTGTCGACCACGAAGATAATCCAGAATATCGCAATAGACTTCTTCCTTGTGTGTAAGGTGTATGGGAGCGGAGGGGGCTCAGAGGGCCCAGTGGCAGTTCCTTCTTCCATGGCGTGGATCACCTGGAATAAGTCCGGCCGATAAGGTAGTTTTGTCGATTCAAAGGAGATATGAGGACATGGTGCACATTGAATGTGAGCTCGAAGCCAAATGGATCCTGAAGAGTGAGAAATCCAAAGGATCAGAATCCAGAAAATTTGGCCGGAAACGACGGCGATAAACGGGTACTTCCGTTGGCATACAAACTTGGCGGTGATCGTAGGTACCTGACGTAAGGTGGCCCGTGATGTCATTAAAAACAACCGGTATCTACGGCATCGGCACTGCATCTGCACAGCCCTCGGGAGTACGAGCATTCGCCTTCGATTTCTACTCTTGTTTTTTTTTTTTTAAAACACAAAATCTGTATAGCCTGAGACCGGTGGCAGCTCGCCTGAAACCATTCGATATCTAGTAGTTGCTCACTTTGTAACTCCCATGCCCGAATAACCTTTGGAGTCGTGCTCCGTACAATAAGAACACAGGGACACGGGGACGCGTAGGGGTGTAACCCCCTATGCACGAAATGTGCAAAAAACAAGTTAAAGTAGTCCAGGTAATTAATCATAGGCCAAGCTTAGAGTGGGACTTCCGAACTCTTATCGGTCCGGACGCCGATCCCGACCAACTTCTACGAGTACTATGCCTTCGTGTCTACTTGTATAGTGAAGCTCCTACAAGGCATGTGTAGCTTTGCTTGTGATTGTGAGTATTGTTAGAGTCGCTGATTTAGCTCTCTTGTCATATTGATGGTGTACATCTCAGCCATGACGATCCATGGGCATCATACCAAGGCCGTCAATGTCATAAGCCAAGCAGTCCATATTATCATTTTGAACATTAGCTGTCAATAATCCGCTGAGTATCTACTGGCCACAATTCTCTTGGTAACATCCCATGGTCATCCCATTAGTTGTCTGACTGATTCTGACATATGATTCTCCTAAGTATGAAAGGGTTTCTTACCTCGTACTTCTTGATTGTACCAACAATCGATAAGTTACAACGTGTATTGATATGAAAGCAAGACCCAAGAGCAGTTCTCACCCCGAGAGACAAAGCAAAAATTAATTGAGTGACAATATGGAGTAGAGACAATAAAGACAACGGAGACAATAGAGACAATGACTGGGAACAATGAGCGGTTGAGGCAAACAAGGCAAACAAAGGGTCATGTGACATCCCTCATCATCCAGGACCGCGAGTTCGAGTCCCTCCACTTCAGAAATTTTCATCCCTCTTTTTTTCTCCTCCCCCTCCCATGAATGCCAATCTTTCTTCATTTCCATCACCCATGACTCAGAAAAATCTGCAATCATGTCTGGCTTACAGCATCTCATCGATTTCGTGTTGAACGAAGTCGCGCTCTGCGGCGATCAAGGTGTGTATAGTCTTTTCACTCAGACCCACTTTCCCTCACCCCGGAGACGCATGTCATACGTCTTGGCATCGGTATCCTTGCAACTAGTTCGTAACATTGCAGCTCCATCATCTATTGGCATGTCTTTTCGGGTGATGCCTGAATACGGCTCCCCGGTTGTGATCTATATGCCAATATCAATGCCTCCAGAGATTTGATTCACGATCTTATTTCATCTTTGAGCCAACAGACTTCCATAGCACAGATGTATAGCTAACACACCCCCAGGAGCCCGCGTCTCAGATGTCTTGCAAAGAATCGATGAATTCTATCAAACTCAAGATCGGAACGCGGACCTCCCGAAGCAAAACATCGATCATCATTTCAAAAGGAAGATCTGGTCCTGGCTCATGAAAAATCCAGAGGTGTCAGTGGGTGAAAATAATGAATGGAACCACCTGACGCTCGACGAGGCGGAACAGACTTCGTCAAAGTCGACCGATGACAATGAATCTAGCAGCAGTCACCTTCCATCTTCAATTCGCGTTTTCGTTTCAAAAGAAAGAACATGGCTTGCTGTCGCCGGTCATGCGCCAGACGACAGCAAAGTGGTGCCCCTTGAATTCGCTTTACTGTCGATCATTGCCTCTCACAAGTCGAAGGGTATTGCCCAACCAGACCTAGTGAAAATCAGTGGCCAGGACAAGAGATCTGTTCCTAAGCGCACGGATGCCTTACATCGAAAAGGCTACATCGACAAGCGTCCCATTCAAACAAAGTCCGCTCGAACCAGTCTTTGCACTTTACAACGGTTTTTAAATCCAAATGGAACGATATACCAACCACAAGATGAAGACCACCCGGCAGGAGAGGAAGAACAGTCGAGTGATATGATGATCGATTTCGACAGTTTCAACAGCAAGATATTCGACATCCTTCGGGAGCATCAGATCATTGCCCGTGAGGACCTGAAACGTAGATTGGGGTTCAAAGATAAATGGCGATGGAAGGTCTTGTCTCGTGCAATCCGGAAGTGGGAGCGGATTGGTGTTGTGAAGCGTGTCAGGGCGCAATCGCAGTATGACAGACTGCATCCCTGCGTCAAGCTGGAGCGAGAGCCCACTGCAACGGACCTTGATCTATTCCACGAATTTGACTTCGAAGTCCTGAGCAAGCACGGCGTGGAAAAAGCCGGAGCAGCGATACCCACTGATCGAGATCAAGACGGAGGAGACCTTGAAACATCAGCACAAGAGGAAAACGATGTTGATATTGGCAAGGAACAGACCGTACCTTCTGGGCGGGTTGTTCCTACCTGGACTCCAGATCGTAACCTCAACAATCAATTGTTCGATGCCATCAATGAAACGGGCACTGCAGGCATCACAAACATGGTAAGATCCCTTGAGATTTGGATCGTGATCCATTACAGCTGACAATCATAAAAAGAAACTTATGCGGGCCTGTTTTGGCCCTTTTTTCAAGAGGCCTGCAGAAAACCTGGTTCATCGTTTGGTCGATTTCTGGCAAGTGGCTCAACCACTCCACCTGCGCCATTTTGCTGTTGTTCGCGATATGGCAATGTCGAAGACGATAATGTTCTATGTTCACTATTCAGCGAGGAATTTCGAAAAGATCGTCGAAGGCGGAAACGCGTCATGGGAGGCTGTTGAGTTTCCTGCAAAGAAAGCCAAGTCACTTAAAATCAAGTTACCACCGTGGGGCGCTGTTCCTCAACTCGACGCTTATGGGCTCCCTGCAAATGCTGTCCCAAGCTCTCTGCTAAAAAATCCCAATTCCACCTTGCGTGATGGGATGGTCACTGTCAAACCGGCTGATTACAAGTTATCATCGAGCGATCCCTTTGTGGTTCGGCTTCCAGATGGCCAATATGGTATGAATCCTTTACCCTGGGAACTATCCCGTGCTTCTTATCTCTAGTTGTGCTTTTATTTCTTGCTAAAGCTAACATCACACTGCAGCGGTGCGGAGACGTCAGGACAAGCTTCCGGCAGGCACAGAGGCTGTACATGTCCGCCCAAGGCCCACGGGGCCAACTTCCACGGGGCGTCCTAGAGGGAGACCAACCCTTGCGATGATGGCGCAGCGTGCCCGAGAAGCCGAAGGAGAAAAACCAGGCGCAAATGTGGCCGAGGCACAATCGCCTGAACCAAACAAGATCGAGCTGCAAGGCGAGGACGAAGTCGAGGAGATGCCACCGCCAAAGAGAGTCAGAAGGAAGCACCAAGATCTGCGTGGATTATCCCGAAAGGAGAAACTCGAAGCACTTGGCATGGATGAGAATTGGACTGAGTACAACGCTCTTCTGATGGAGAAGCCCACTCCCGGTATCTATGTGACTCCCCATGGCCGAAGAAGACCTGTTGGAAAAGCTCGCGGCCGTCCAAGGCAAAGTAGAATTGCGGTTTTCAAGTCTCCAGAGCTGTCACAATTCTCTTGGTTTGTCCAGGATGAACAAGACTCAGACAAAGACAACGACATGGAGAATGAAAAGGCTACCCCTGGGCCATCTTATACGCCTAGGGGTGCATCTGCCCCAAAAACACCAAGTCCAGCAAAGAGAAGTCGCCCAAACCAAAGCGTCGAAGCCCTTCCCTCAGCGTCATCGGCTTCCCACCAAGATGGCGTGAAAATAGAAAGACCTTCGAAACGGCCATGTCTTAGCATACCTCAAGAGGAAGCCAGTGAAGAGACTATGGATACAAATATGGATCCCGTTCCCGAGATAACGATCGCCACAACCCAGGATGACCCTGATGCAGCGACCACCACGCGCCCTCTTGACCAGAGCCTCAGTGTCCATCCCCTTGAAGAGGAGCTTGCCCAAACACCATCAAAGAGACGTCGCATCGATGCATCCTCGCCATCTAGGCCCACTGACGTGTCTCATCCTCGCCCGAGCTCAGCGGCGTACTCGCACACTAAACAAGTTTCGACAGCACCTAGTCGTGCCAAGCCTCAGATGACACTCTCTCGACGCATCCCTCGAGGCCTTCGAGGCAGGGATCTCACCATAGAAGAGCAAAAGCTACTTGGAGCCCCAAGGCCCTTGATCGAGAGAGGTGGATCTGTCAGTCTTCTTCGTAAGAAAGTTCTCATGGAAATCATGGACTTGGCAGGAGGCGCGTATCCAGCTGGCGCAGTGATCTGGTACCCATTTGTCACGCTTTGGATGAAGAAGGGGAACAAAGAGAAGCCGGACATGAAGACGGTCAAAAATGCCTGCAAACAACTTGTTGATGCCGGGCACCTTCGACAATTGACTTTCAGTGGAAGAGACAACAAGGGCTCTATGGTCACGAAGACTTTGTTGATCAAACCCGACATGTCACCAGACCACCCAGTGGTAAAGGAGATGCAAAAGAAGTTCTTAGCCATGGATTCTGCCGAGCCGCGGCCTGGATTCTGTGACAACGTCGAAATCGACCATCTGTTGACACGAAGTAGCGGTCGACCACACGGCGACCCACCGCGACGCCAAAAGTTCACATTCCCTGTCGAAAGAGGAGTTCATTTCAATTTACAGCAGAAACCCGCTTCCATCCGCAACGAAGAGAAGAGAAAGACCGACTCAATCCAGAAGAAGTTCTTGAAGGGCCTTCATATCAAACAACGGATTGAAGAACGGCTTGCTGCCCAAATTGCTGCTGCGGAACAGCAAGAGCGAGAGCTACCTGGAGTCAAACGGCTCATGACACTTTCCCGTCCACCGGCTTTAGACACCCATGCTAGCGGGCAAACTTCCATCATGCGGCCCTATGTTAGTGCCAAAAAGCGTGAACCTCGCAGGCTTCGAAATCCCATCATCCGTGCAAATCGAATGGCGAAACCAATCTCTGCCATTGGACCGTACGCTATGTTGATGAGGCCTCCACAGCACTTCCATCTGGCCAGTGGTACATTCTCTACAGGGTCCTGCTCGCTCAAGCGGAAATCAAGATACACACAGCCAATTGTGAACGTTGGGGAGTCTGTCGGTGAGCTGAACAGACTGGCTCACGAGGGTCGAGGCTTGCTGCATGGCTCAGAGTCGTTTGACCGGAGAGCTGACCAGATCCTCAAATGGGAACTTCAGCATGGGCGTGTCTTCGAGAGAAATCTCCAAGGCCAGCAATACATTGATCAGACTGTCCAGGATGAGTTTGAAACTGCGCCAATTGACGGTGATATTCGGTTTGTGGCCGAATTACACCCGCGCTCAAGGACTTTCGCGAGACCATCTCCTCTCAAAGATGTCGCGAGGCGTACTGAAGCACAGCTCGAGCACCAACCTATCCATGAGCCTACTGTGCCCCAAATGGCCGAGCCTGTGGTAGTCGAAGCCAAGAAACGAAAGTCTAAGCAGCGAAGGGCGACTGCGCGTCCGAATGTGGATCGACGATTGGCCAAACTTGATGAAACTCCGAGTTCCATTGCCACACCTGAGAAGGAAGTGCAACAAACGCCTCGCCAGCGCTTCCGCCGATCCAGATTTGTGCGTTCGCTGCCTGATGAACTCGTTCGTGACATCATGGTTGCCATCGTCGCCGTTCGTGTACTTGCAGGTGGCGCAGACTCTAGGGTTATTGATTGGCAGCTCGTGTCCAGATCTTTCCCAGACCAAGACGCGGCCTTTATTGACAGCCGGGCGCGTCAAATTCTCAACAAAAATCGTTTGCAAATGACCAAAATGCAACGAGACTTCCAAGAACGCTTCCTTGAGGCTTATGCAAATGACGAAGTTCCTCGGATCGATTACTTCGATCTGGAGGGTTATGACTGGCCTGCCATCGTCAAGTGGGCAAACACTCGACTTGACTTTTCGCCGTCCGAACAAGTGCCAGATCTTCCTGCTACCCGGGAACAATTTGACAGTGTCTTTGAGTTGCGAGAGGAGCCTGTGACAGCAGGAGATGAACTGTTCCAGTCTGTGCATGGTGCTACCCTCAATAAAAAGCGCAACTTGATGGCTCAGAATCCATTCTCTATACCCCTTGAGGACCCGAACCCCAGATCCAGCAAACGGAAGGAAGAGTTGGAGCAGCTTGAGAATGCAAAGACATGGGTTCGTGCCAACATCATCACACCAGAAAAGACATATCGACCCAATGAGGCCAAGGATATCCTCGCGCTATTCGGGGAGCCGCTCATTACGGATGCAACACAGATGTTGATCAACGAGCGTGTGGTCAGTTGCACAAACCGTGGTCGCATCGCGCCGGGTCGCAACTACGATATTTCAGAAAACTTCTTAACAACGCTGAGTCGCAAACGTGGCATCGACAGCGTACAGCTCCGACAAGCCGCTGTGTTCAAGTGTACTGTTCTGGACCCCGAGCTGCAACAGACTGGTACTGCAGATGTCAAGTACAGTGCAGACGATGGTGATATTCTCGCTCTGATCAACCTCTACGCCACAGGCCATATTATCCTGCAACCCCACGACGCCCCTCGCAGCAAGTTCGGCCTCACAGACGGGGGATATCTCACCAGGCAAATGGACAAGAGGCGCCTTCGATTCCCCGTCAAGATCATCCCTACCGAGAGATATATCACTGGAAATCCAGTCAAAGACCATGCGGCACTTGCTGTTCTCCCACCAGCTCCTTCGTCGTCAGGCCCAGGGCTTCCACCCAGGACACCACTTTGGTACGATATGAATGGAGAACTAGAACCACATCTTTGGAATATGGCCATGGGCCCCATCCTTGGAGGATTGGTCATGCGTCCTGGACTCAATGCGCAAGTTCTTGCCAGCATGATCAAGCCCATCATGGGCGCATGGGAAATCGCAATTATTCTGCAGTGGATGAAAGAAGTGGGTATCGTCAAGCCCACCAGCGAAGAAGGGCCCGAAAGCTGCGGATGGAGGCTGCAGGAATCATGGTGGATGCTTTCAAGCTGATTCACCGGTCCGTATGATAGGCAATGGATCTCTGACATTGCAAAAAACATAAAAGGAAAAAAAAAAAAAAAACAACAACTAGTTGATTCAATAACTATGACTATGCTCTGGAGTAGCTAAAGAGAGGTATCATGCTCCAAAATTGACTCCTGTATCCTAAACTCCAAAACCACAAAAAAGCAAACAAAGATCCGCTTTGTTCAATATAATCGCTGTATCATAGGTCGTCGACGTTGGAAACCCGTCGCAGTACAAGTAGAATGAGAGCAATAGCAACACCAATGATAGCCCGGTCCAGCCAGATGCTTTCGGATGGAGATTCGACAGAGTTGGTAGAGGTTGAACGGCCAGGCAATGTTTGGGTGGGAACAATGCCAGACAGCTGCATTTGTGTTGTTCGGGCCGCAGCGACAGGTGCAGCAGCTGGGCCAGAAGCTGGAGCCGAAGATGAAGCTTGATCAGAAGCAACATTTGCATTATGACCGTGACTTGTAGAATCTTGCAGTGCGTCCTCTAGTCCATCCTCAGGAACAGTGGGTTGATCTTGGCTCTGAACCGAAACCGGAGCTCCAGCCTGTATCTCAGTTCCAGCCTGAGAATTAGCAGCACTTCCAGCACTCCCAGCACTCTCAACATCGATTTCAATCTCGTGTTCCCGACAAGAATCCCAAACCTCTTTCATCCCCTCCAAATTGCTGACCCCGCACTCGCGACAGGTCCAATCGAGCGAAAGCCTCGCATGTTCCCTACGGACATCTTCTGTGCCTTCCATCCCACCAACCTGCCCTTGGCTTTCAGAGCCGAAGATCTCCGAGCGAATGGCCAGCAGCGCTGTGCGTACCCCCCAGGCTGGCTGCCATGTTTCTTCATGATGGCCTGAGATACTAAGGCAGATCTCACGGTTGACCTCGAAGCGGCCCGAGGGTGTCAGGAACCGGAATGATGGTGGGCGGAGGGGGTAGGTTGCTGGGAAGGTTATGCGGCCATGATACAGGCCTTTGGAGTAAGGGGAGGAAGGTGGCCCTGCTAGGGTGAAGTGCCAGTCATGGAGATTGGAGTCACTTGTTGGTGATGCAGTGAAGTAAGGACTGGGGTTTTTGTGGAGATCACTGCTCTCTTTTAGAAGACGACGGGTTGAAGGAGAGGCCATTGTGTTGGTGGCAATGTTGTCGAGGCCGAAGAGGATATGGAGGCCTCGCGGGAGATAAGATAAAGATCTGGACAGTTGGCGGTTGGGGGCCCACATGGAATGTGTGAAGACCTTGGCGTCTCTCGGGTCATTGCTATTCAACTTCTTGCATATCAGAGGATGCATTGGATACATTGGATGAATTTATAAGTATACACATTTAACGCCACAAGATGCTACATATGCTATACCTAATCCCAATCCCTCCATTCATCAGTGTCATGGCGCGAAGCCTGTGGACGAGCCGGATCCAATAATCCATTCCCTTCAATCTCATCACCATAATCGCTGTCACCGGGTCTTGGTCTGGGAGACCGGGGAGCAAGAGTTTGCATTGAGACAGATGTCGGTGGCCGATCGGGCGTGCGAGCACGAGTCGCCGCTCGCACGGGCTGAGCAGCACCTTCCCGCCATGCGTGGCTATTATCCAAATTACGCTGATACAGCTCCCGGTAGTACTGCTGTTCTTCAGAGGATTCCTGCTCGCGGCGGAGACGAATGCGTTCGCGCTCTTCGAGGAATCTCTGACTTGGCTCCCAGCGCCAGCCATCTCCAGTGGTATTACAGATTGGGAGTGCCCAAAGGAGTGGACGCTCACCGAACAGATGGAGCAAGTTCTGTCGCCATCCGTGATCAAATGCACTGGGTGTCTTTTCGTTATCTTCATCGTTTTGATATTCGTGGTACCGATCGTACTCGCGTTGTCGCTCCATCTCCGCATATGAGCGGGTCAAAGCTTGCTGCGCCGGTGTGAGCTGGTTACTCGTTCCGTCTGGGGGCCCTGATGGGCGTGGTAAAGGAGAAAGCCGTTCCTCGCCCTCTTCCGGGCGAGTGACCCCGGGAATCGCATTGGCGTGGGCATCGATTATTTGATTACCAACCCCCTGCAGTCGACCGGTAAGGGTGTCTTCCGGTTCACCCCAATAGTTGTCTCTAGGGGCCTGCTCGTTGCGCTGTCTGTCCAAGGCCTTGCGTAAAGGCGAGACATATCGGGTTCTCTCCAGACATTCGATGGTGGTTGTTCCCCGCACAGCCAGACTGATATGCCATGCGGTGAATCCACTCAATACTAGCCCAATGATACCACCTAGAATAGCCAGTAGAACCACGTTGACGGGAAGGATGGTATCCATGTATTGAGTGTCGTTCAGAATCTCGGTCCAAACCCAAACGGCTGCGATACCGAACACGACCCAACAGAATATGGATGTATAGATAAGAAAGAGCAAGAATGCCTTATAATTATGCAACCCGACACATGTCGCCAACCAGGGACAGTGGTGATCCATTTTGAGAACGCATCGTTTACATGTTGAGCAATGATGGGCACGATCCGGCTTTGGACATTGGCATTTCTTGCAGTATCGCGATTCACCCGTAGAGCTCACGGTGTATGAGACGAACTCCGGATGCTCGGATGGTGGGAGGGCGCTGTATTCATGGCGGTTGGCGCCGCGACGTGTGGAGAGCGGTGACCCGGGATCTGTGAAAACCGCAACGCTGTAGCTGAAGTTCAGGAGGGCGTAGAGTGAAAATGCGACGATGGTACTGGGGATGCCTAGCAGTCAAGCACCGTTAGCCCATCTATGCCTTCGTGGGTCTGTTGGAACTCGGGGGGAATCTCGTGCGTACCGATCCAGTGACTCCTTGAGGGCTTGACCCCGATGCTGACGGCAACATATATCGCCCAAGTTGTGATTCCGTATACAAAGGCCAGCGGGAAACAGCTTGCAGCTGCACAGCAATATCGCTCACAGCGGAGAGCCCAGGCTTTAGGACGTCGTTTCGGCCACGAGGGCGAGGTCGGGGCTGACGAAGCCAAGGTGGCCATAGCAAGAGAGTTATGCCTCAATGAGGAGATTGTGCATCCGGGAATTCAATATGTTAAACGCATGATCAGATGCAAATGATTCGGAGAGCAAGGTGCCTGAGACGAATGTACTGATTACGGAGTATGGTCACGTAATTTATGCTCCGCCACGGCCCCCAGCCACAATTCGCAAGGCCGAACAATTTTCTACTTCCGCATTTAGATCTGGCTCTCTTAGGGCTTCTGAGCTAAAATTAATCGGGATAAATGTCATTGGGTATACACTATGCTAATGGTAATATATTCATTCAAGCTTTGCTCTGAAAATGCAAACGAGATGGCCGAAGGTAAATCAGATGCCGAGGTCCTCAGGTGCTCTTAGTAGTGGTAGTGGTCAAGCTGTTTTGGTCGCACCAGCCATTCACAGGCAGGCAGCTCAGCCGGTAGCACCACGAGCAATTCGAGGAGGGGTATTTGTAGAAGTCAACAATCAACATGATGAAGCCGATAAGCACTGCAACCAGAGCTCCAGCGCGAACAACCCACCACAACCACCAAAGCGGCTTACGACCTTTGAAGAAGTAAAGCGGGCCTTTACTGTCGCCCGAGTTCTCAGAAGATCTGGAGGTAAGACCACCTTTGCCCTTGAAAAAGTCCATGAAAGAAACTGTCTTTCGGTTGGGCGCGCCTTCTTGGCCGGCACCGCCGCTCATGGCAACATAAGGCTGACGTGCCAGCCCGATCCGTTCGCGGAGAGCGTTGGGAGACCGCATGATAGTCAAGCCAATAGCAAGTCCCATCACAAAACCACCAATGTGAGAGAAGTTGTCCAATCCGGGAAGAAGGCCGAGGACGAAGGAAATGCCCACTCCGAGGATCATGATGATCAACTCGACCCAGGGAGACTCGCGCTGAGGCCAGTCGTATAACAAGTCCAGTAAGTAGAGTGCAAGAATACCGAACAGAGCACCAGAGCAGCCGACACTGGGTTCAAGCTGGGAGGCGTAGTTTCCGCCCAAGACGAATCCAAAGATACCGCTGGCCAGGTATGTCAACGCATACCGCCAGACACCGATCATGCGCTCCATATCTGCGCCCATGGTCATCTGAACCAGCAAGTTGAAACCGATATGAACAAATCCACCGTGTAAGAAGAGGGGGATGATGAACCGGTACCACTGGTTGGGAGCCGGTTGATCATCCGTTGACCCGTTGGCAACGGGGTTGGGGACACCTCCAAAAGCACAAAGCTCTGACAAGCTGCATTCTGAATCGGTGGTGGTAGTGTTTGGACACGGCCACTTGATAGGTAGGTTGGCGTTCTGGATTCCCTCGACGTTCTTCATACATGGGTTGTAGCGTGCTCCCATGTAAATTTGGACATATGGCGATGGTCCGATCATCGGATTGAAGTTGGGCTTCGTCTCGATCACTGATCCTGTTAATTGGGCTAGGAGGTGTTAGCCAACCTGCAAAATTTACGGACACACGGAATCCTCAACTCACCATTCTTAACCAGCTCGACAATCAAAACGATTATCTGGGCCAGTGTTAAGAGGTATGTGACCCAAGCAATCTTTTTGCTGAAGAACCCCTTCTTTTTTCGGCTATCACGTTGGCGGGTATCTTCAAGACCCCCTGGCGATGGAGGGTACTGAGTTTGTTGGCGCATCCAATCCGGGTTGTTTCCATATTGTGTGTTGGCTTTGAGCGGGATATTCTCTGAGTAGTGGTCCCCGTCCCCTACTCGGCCTGCTGCTTGGTAGTGTCCATTGTCTGATACAAACGATTGTTGGCTCTCGCGGTTGTGATAAGGGGCTGAGGGATCATCGTGGTTGGGGCTTGAGTACCCGATTCCAGGTAAAGTATTGGCGGTGTGGCTTGTCTGATCAGGCTTTCCCGGTACGGCTTGATCGTAGGCCGGAGGTTGTGGGATGTTCGTGTGATAATAGTCGTTGGCAGCCATGGTGGGCGGCTATGGGAGTTCTGTTTCCAAATTCGTGATGGCGATCAGACAAGCGAAACCATGCGATTGTCAAGAGCTGAGAGGTCCAAGGGTTTGAGAAGCTCTTAAAGTCGAACAAAAGAGTGTGAAGAATAAAAGAGAGTAGGCAGTCATATTCAAAGTTATTTTTGGGCCCCGATCGACAGAAACCCAGCCGCGCGGTCTTGTTCCACTCCGCCCACGACGTAATGAGACGGATAGCACTAGTTTTATTATTTTGTTTTTCACTGCGCAATACGGAGTACTCCGTACAACACAATGTGTCTTGTCTCAGCCCTGGCCCTTCTTCTTGAAATACCATTACGCCGGACACGCAATCTCAGCCTCATGCCAAGCATTGGCTGTGTCGTACTTCGTACACTGGAATCCTTCACGAAACCTCGGTATGCACTCATAGTGCTTTCCAGAACCTCAATATCAATTTACCTAAAAGATCCATTCTCAAATGATATACAAAGTTTTGCCTCGTATTTTTGCGGTCGTCAAATTCAAAAATGGAAATTGTGTCTCTAAACCATCTACATTGTCGGAAAGTGGAAATGGGAAATGGGAGCAAAATGACAAGATTAAGTGATTAAATTGCTGGGTATATTGAGGGATACATGGGATTGAGCGGTCTCAAGAGATAAAACCAAAAGACCACAGGAGATGCGTCCTCTGTATGTTGCAGGCATGACTGGGCCAGGGATCGACGGCGTAGGGGTAGTTTGCTCGTGCATAAAGGATGACCTGTACAACTGGGCTGCCCTGCTGACCATGTCCAACCGACTCGGGAACTTCGTAAATGTCAATTATTCTGGCAAGTCAACAGCCAGCTAATATAACGACCTTGGAATAAGACGTGTATAGCCAAGATGGGGCATAAAGAAGGGCCCAAACGAGCAGGCATATGACGATAGAAACGAAAGTGTTGGCCACTAGCTTCTCATTTGGTGTGAGGACATAGAGCCCAAATGTGACTTCATAGCGATAGTATTCGAGCTGGATTGATTCTGTACATTTCTGAAAGATGTTGCGTTGACGAGGTCTCAGCACGATGTTTGAAGCGTGGGTGATTGGGGCGTGCTTTTTGATGAACTGGTCGACTGCCGGTGCATGTGACGGTTTTATGTCGTGGGCAGATAAGGTGTAGTAGCATGTTGTCTGAGGATGCATCGAGAATAATGTATCAACAGCTTTTCCAAGGTTGTGGGCGTAGTTCGGAAGGAAAGAGAATCAAGAGAGCATTTGAAGGGACCCCTTTGCCTCATGCAAACAGGGAGCATCAATAATCTTCGGTGTGTTTGTCAAGTAAGCCCATATAACTCGAATTAAATAGAAAAAAATCATTTGCCGAAGCCATCTCTCTGGCTTTAAACCCGGCCCTATTTAGATCTATAGATGCTGAGCCGGGACCGGAAGGATCGGCAGCCCAAATGGGAGACACCGGGAATCAGGCACAATTTTAAAGTTGAGGGGATAAACTCGGCCCTATAAGACCTTTTACACACAGTACATATGCATATGGCTAACAATCACTCATTTCCTGACTTTCCACGAATGGAAGTTCGCTACGGAGTACTCTGTACAGTGGTTGGTTTCGATCAGGAACAACCTAATTTTCAGGAACCAGGACACAATTGTGGAACCAAGCTAGGTGCAATCAGACAGCTCCTGTCGGAATCCGAGTCTTAAAATCATGATTTGTTGTACTCTGTACCCGGCAGAGTTGATCCTAACGCAATACATCTTAGAGAATACACTTGAGTTGTGTGTAGGGTCTATTGTTTGACGTCACCGATCGAAATAGAAGAATGTCTTGGCGAAATCCTGTGTCGCAGGATAGTTACTGATTACCAGGGTGTGTGACCTTGAAAAGCTTTTAACTAATAGCTGGGTGTAGATTCATCCATAAGACACAAAGTACCGAGACTGGAAGTATGGGCAGTGTCTTTACTTCGGAGGTGGACACGGCCCGCGTTTGCTGCCGCTGATGTCATCGCTGTGTTTCATCTTCCCCCCCCCCGCTTGCGACATTCCTGTCAACAACCACCATGGAGGACCCCCTTGTGGAAGCTTTGCCGCCAGCTACTGACTATTTGACATACTTGACTCTGTTGGAGTATCAATTGACCCCAGCTCGTCTTCCGCTATTGCATAATTTGCTGCAAGATGAAAAGCTCACCACAAACATCGGGTGGGACCTGGTCAAGCTTCTCTTACCCATGCTTCCCGCATCTACAGAGTGCCTTCAGGATGTAGCCCGCTTAGGAAACCCACGAGAGGTGATCTTGCGCGTATCTGAATCTTTGATGCAACTCCAACCAGAGGATGGAGACGAAGATGAAGCTGAGGCCGACAGTGAAGGACTACCTTTGCACATTCTACAGTATAACTGTCTTATCGGCATGCTTTCAGTACTACACAAACGGATTCAGACCAAGGTTCCTAGTCGATTCATGGCAACTTCCTTGCAAGCGGCTCTTGAGTCGTATACCTCAATGCCAACTAACGAGACCACATTGGCCTTCCTTGAGTTCCTTCGCGAAGTTTCTCCGTCAAAACGACCTGCACCACCCCCAAGAGTTGCTAGTGAATCGAGTGTTCTCAGGGTGGCCGCAGCATCTGCACCAGATCCCGAAGCAGAGGTATCTTCGCCATCCCCTTCTGCCGACAATGAGACTCTCCTAGTCCGAAAATTCATACAGTTCAGTCTACTCGAACTGTTGAAATCATATCTCCTGAGCTTTTCCAGTCCCATGGATCCGGGAATGTCATGGGCCATTCGTATGCAGGAACACCTGCATCCCAATCTGCGGTTACCCGGCTCCCAGTCTCAAACCGAGGCATATGCATCGACAAAGGAGCTGAAAGAGCGTGATATGATCATGGGAAAGCTTGTGGTATGTATCTGAACAGAAAAAGTTCCGCCACGACCAGAAGGGAATACGAGAGTCGTTAACTAATCTTCCTATCTAGGCTCTGTCAAGAGATATTGGGCTTGAGAGTAAACAGCTCCTGGAAATTATATCAAGCTCGGCAACCGATCAAGTCGCACAGCTTGATTTTGATGAACCGCCTACAGATCCCAATCAAATTCCACTCGAGCGACACGGGTCTCTTCTTCTATTGGCGGCCAGAGCCGCAGGGGCAACTCTGTTCACTTCTGGTCAACAATTGCCCCCGGTCTCGATCTTCCCTGATCTGTCTTTGATTTTCAAATACTTTGTTGGCGGGGCGGCCAACTTGGACGAGATAGCCTTTGGTCAGCCTCATGCGTTGCTTGACTCCCTGCTAGCTGTGACCGTCTACGCCCTACAGCAACCGATCAGCCCCTCATCGGGCGAAGCTGATTTCAAAGACTTTGTTGTCACCCTGACAGCATGCACAGCACGCCAAAGCCATGGCATCGTTCGCCAAATTCCTACTGCCGTTTTCCAGAGCCATCCTTCGCCCGAAACTCGATTCAAGCTCATCTACAATATCTTGGAGGATGATCATCTGGCCTCAGCTCGTGACAGCGCTATCGCCTGGTTGAAAGAGGAGCTACTCGCCGGCTCGAGCACATTGTTCCAAGACCCGCATTACTTCTGGGCCTTGTTCCCGACTTTGTTCAGCCCAGTCAGCGCAGCGAGCTCATCCGATCTCGTTGCCACTTGGACACGACTCACCCAGACTCAAGGCCCACCTCTACACTCAGCACTGAACTTGTACTACCTTCTCCTTTCCTCAACCTCCCTTCGAAGCAAGCTCCAACTGGAGAAGACTGTCAAATTCTTCCGTGGTCATGTTCTGGACCCCCTCCGACAGATCTTCCATGCCTTCGAAGTCGATCTCACTTCTAAAGGTGGTGAAGGGGTTATTGAGGCTGCTGTTGGCGAGGAAATGTGCCAGGTTGGCAATGCCAGGTCTGTCGGGCTCATTGGGCTTACTTTGGACCAAATCGAGGAGACTATAACAGACGCCTTTGGCTCCGATGACGCAGATCTCGCAGGATACTCTGGTGCTGACGAGACTCAAGTAGTCGAAATTCGTGGGCGGATGAATGTCTGGAACTAGATCGAAGATGTGTTCTTTGTACATAAATGCAACAGGTTTGCATGTATCTACGAATGATTGATTTGCCAGTCGTGTTACCTATAAAATCGTGTGTTATTAGTGATGGCGACATTTTGATTCAAACCTTGAAAGGTTTTATATTCAGATCTACAAATATTTCAAGATTCATTTATCTACATCAATGGATTGCCTTCCTTCTAAGTTGATGGGAGCAGTCAGTTGGCCGAAATTTGATGTGGCTGCTATAATTAAGTAACTCTACACATCTGTATTCTAACTTTAGAAGCTATTTGGGAGTTACTTAAGTACGATAACGATTTCTTGAAGCAATGTTTCATTCCTGAAAGCTACCATGACCGGTGTAAAAGAAAATTATCGTCCTTTCAATCGAAGCCATCAACCAGCACAAAACCAAATGAATCCATGCCGCAGAAAAAAGAGAAACTGTCAACCATTTTTGAAATCTGAGAACCCTCGAATGTAGCAAAAGGAATGGTGGGAAAAGCTTTCATAGAAATGTCACCCGGATCGTCCACGAAGAGTTCAACAAGGAACAGCCAGCCTCCACAGTCGAGATTGAATACTGATATCTGCCGAAACCAGGCAAGAATATCAGATGTGTCGATAGAGAGAATGATCGTCGATGCCGAAGAAGGAATGAACTGGACAGACAGACTCATGTGGAGTCTTCACAGTAAAGCAGAGAAAAAGGTCATGTTGAAGAGGGTCTGTTTTTTTTTTTTTTTTTTTTTTTTGTATTGGTTGAAAGCGTTCCCAAAAAAACCGAGGCAAGGATTGAGATTGTCGAGGTCATTGCCCATGGCGATCAACGAAGCAGATCAAGCCACGGTGGTTGATGGAATGATTGAAAAGGGCATGCTCATCGAGTAAATTAGAACTCAGCAGCTGCGAAACTGTTAGCATCCCGTTGATCAAACAGATGATACTCGAACTCACCCTTCATGACGACACAGCCGCCACCAGGAGCCTTCATAACGACACAGCCGCCGCCGGGAGCCTTCATGACGATGCAGCCACCACCAGGGGCCTTCATCACGACACAACCGCCGCCGGGGGCGCGCATGACAACGCAGCCACCACCGGGAGCTATGAAAAGAACATGTCAGTCAATGTATAGAAGCCAGGAGGAGACGATGGGACTCACCCTTCTGGACCTGAGCACGAGACATTTTGAAGATGTTGATGAGCTTAAAAAGCGAAGGGTTTGAAAGATTGTAAGTTGTTTTGGAATGATCGGAATGTGAGTGAGTGATGGAGAAGAAAGTTGAGGGTGGGATAGGGATGGGATATTTATATCAAGAGCTGGTCATTCTTGGAGATGATCAATGCAAGAGAAATGCCCATTTAGACTGCGAACTCAATGCGCATGGCCCTTCGACAAGCCCAGTTGAATGCATTGGGCACTGGCGGGGATTCAATCCAGCAAGCGTATGCTAGCAATGCGGCGGAGAATCAGGGGCGTTCGATATTGTTCACTGTGCCATGAATGTAAAGATGCTGTCTTCTTTCTCTAGAATTCGAATACCGCTCATTGAGAACGTGTAAAAACTCGACCGAATAGAGTTCAAGTCGCATTTGGCTGAGCTGGGATTGTCTTCAAAGAGACACGCGATAGAGAGTGCCGAGACATTCAGCATCGGTTGGTGAATGTCAGAACAATATTAAGAACGAAACAAAGGCCTTGGGAGGCTTGACCTTTTTCTCCCCTATTCTCCGCCTAAGAACTCCGTGGGCCCAATCGGCCCCCATTCATGGTGCGCCCTTAGTATTGTCCTCCCGAGAACAATACACCCACGCATGAACTTACTCCAGGCTTGGCGGATATACGAGGCATCAAAGAGTCAGGCAAATCGAGTATGCTAATATTTGCGGAATATGTGAAAACAAAGACTTCGCTTCAGCAATTTGGCTAAAAATTCAGAGTGGCGGAAATGACCAAGTCGACGCTACGGAGTACTCCGTACAACCTCCCTCATTTTCCCCTTCAGGTATAGAGCGGCTCGGTCAGGTCGTTCAATGTCAATCCTTCCTTCGCAATATCCTCCTCAATCAGGAACATCAAAGGCATCTCGACCAGAGTACCCTTGACCTGGCTGAGCAGCTCTTTGACCTGCTTCGCACCCTCCGCGCCAGGGGGGAAGTCATCGCGGACAACGTGGCCCCACTGGAATCGCGCGGGACGCGAGAACCCATCCTTGTGCTCCTCGGCCTTGTGGAAGTAGTACTCGTAGAATTCCTTGTACTCCGACCAGTTACGAACGGTGTCATCAGGAACCGCGTGGAAGACCTTTCGGAAAACCTCGCTGTTTGTGTGCGCCCGAGAATTCCAAAGGCTTAGAGTGGTATCAGAGAGCGGGTCAGAAACAACCTTACTCTCTGGGCACTCAAAGTCAAATTCATTGGGAACTCCCACGGGCTCGAAGTTGGCATCTGGTCGTTGGTAATCTTGAGGCGGCAACAGACCGAGGTGCTTGCGGAAGAGCTGGCGACGAAGAGACGCGGCAAACCGACTAGCAACCCATGGCTTTCCGTTCATGGTAGACTGAACGGGCGTGAAGTCCTCAATGATCACTGCAATTTCGGAGTCATGATCACCCAGTTGAGATCGATCGTTCAGGTTGGCGGATCCGCAAACAACCACCCGGTCATCGGCGATCATCACCTACAGTCAAGTTAGTTCCGTTCTATGCTCTTGTGTTAACTTGTCCGTGGCAACGTACCTTTGAGTGAACGTAAAGTTCTTCGCTCACGAAAGCATCAATCTCAGCATCCGGGTGGCCGTCCCATGGCACCTTGCGAATGTCTTCCCCGTTGAGCATATAGCACTCGCTGACACTATCCCAGCGGTTGGAGGAAGCATGGCCCCCCTGGACTTTTTGAGCACCCTGTTGATACTGCTGGAATGGGGCTGTGGTATCGAAGGCACTCCGAGTATTGCTCGGAGCAGGAGCGTAACCACCAGGTCCAGCAGTGTTCTGGTCGTACTGGCGGCGAGCATCTTCATAATTGACACCACTCTGCCTCTCGGCCGCAGCTACCATACTTCCATTGTTGATTCGGTCGTAGTTACGGAGATTGTAGAAACGGATGTACTCCATGGGGTTGAATCCCTCCTTGGCGATCAGTTCCATAATGCTGTGGCCTCCACGGTTAATGGAATTATACTGGAACTCCATGATCGTACGGGTACCCAGGGTCTCATCGTCGCGCAAGTCTCCCGCAAAGCAAGGAACGGAAGGAATGACCACGACGATCTTGAACTTCTGGCCCGCACGTGCAGCACGCAAAATTCGTTCGACGATGGCGGCACCAATCTTGTTTTTGACTGGATGCTGGGAGTCGCCCGTGGCGGTGATAAAGAACTGATTCTCGATGTAGACGAAGTGCTCACTGTTGCGGATAATGGCGCAATAGGCATCGGCGATCGAATGCTCGACCTGGGTACCATTACTCCATTTGGCGCAACTGCGGACAATTTGACACGACATGTTTCCCCGTCCTTGCGACGATGCAGGCCGTCCATACGTGGTCAGTTTATCCTGGTATTGATGGATCTGTCCCGCGAGCTGGCCACGAAGAGAATTTCCATATTGGGTCAGATCCTCCTTGAAACGGCGAGGTGCTAGAGAGCCCCTCTCGCGATCACCCTGGTACTCTTGGTGACCCCCATGCTGGTAGTCACTAATTCCACGAGTGCTGGAACGAGAAGTTTCTTGGCTAGGTGGAGGAGGGTAGTATGGTGCTTGGTGCTGGTTCTGCTCGTGATGTGGGGTTGGGCTTCCAGAAGCTTGGTTCGGTGGCGGAGCGTAGTAAGGCTTTTCCTCTTGCTTCTGACCTTGGTAAGGCTGGTATGGGGAATTGGCAGTGTTCTCCTGCGTGTGGCTTTGCTGCTGGGCCTGATACGGCTGATATGAGGGGCTGGCAGCGTTTCCTTGTGGTGGATTTTGCTGTTGAGGCTGGTACGCTTGGTACGCTGTAGTGCCAGTGTTATCGTACTTGTGGTCCGGGGGGTAAGGCTCGTATTCACTGCTCGGAGTACTTTGCGCAGGAGGCGGCCCAGGCGGGGGAGGAGGGAATGAGTTCCCAGTGTAGGTGTATTGACTGGTCCCCTGGCTTGGGGAATGTCCGGATTGAGCAGAAGATTGGTAACTCGGGGGAGCAGGGTAGCTCGAAGTATTCTCAGACTGGTGCGATAGCGATGCAGCTTGCTGCTGCTGCTGGGACTGGGACTGGGACTGGTTCGAAGAGCCCTGCCCTGGTGGCGGTGGGTAGGTTGGGGCGTTTCCACCTTGGTGAGCCTGATATGACCCAGGAGAAGGACTGGAGGTCTGACTAGATGTGACCGGTTTGCTTGATGCCGATGTCGCACTAGGCTTTGACTGCCAAGAAGGTGTGGGTGGCTGGCTTGGGCTTGACTGTCCCGATGGGTACAGGTTCGGTTGCTGCACTCCAGGTTGCTGTCCAGATTGTTGACCGGGTTGCTGTTGGGTCGAAGGGCTAGGTTGACCATACAGCGCCAGTCTTGTGTATCTCGACTGGTTGCGGACTTTGTATTTGGCATCATAAATAAAGTTCCATCTTTCAACGAAGTGGCGGCGGAGATCTTCAGCCACTGCACCGTGTAGGCTCACGGAGATGTCAGACCATCCCATGCGAGACATGCTCTTCCGGTCCAGTTGGTTTTTCTCCCAATGAACAACATCCTCAAAGTCCAGAACACGAGAATTATTGTAGTCCTGACCCGGGAACACAGTTTGGTTCATATCCGATGGGTGCAGATCCGAGAGCGGGTGTTGGTTAGTATCCCAGCGGCCGAAGCACATATCCAATCCACCCATGAAGGCAGTCCGACCATCGATCAAGCAAAGTTTCTCGTGATGGGCCCAGTAGAGAATGACATCCTCGTTCATTCCATATAGTCCCTTGAGCGTATCCTTTGACATCTTACTCAAGCTAGCCGAGTCCAGAGACAGGTTCTGGAAGGATGACGCGAATGAAGCCGCAAGCTCTTGTCGGTCAGGGAGATGGTCGGGGTGTCGGAATACAGCGATGTTGGGATGCAAATCTTCCAATGCGTGTTTGGTGTGGGACGACGAGACTGTGATGATTTAGTTCTGGATTTGTCTATTAACTCGGGAATTGCAGACATACGAGTGAGTGCCTGCGTCACTTCTTTGTAAACAATGATGTTGATCCGCACACCCCGCTGGGCTGCAGCCTGCAACATGCGATCCAATCGGTATTGTTCATTTTTGGCTGGGGGTCTTCTCAGATAAAGTTCGGGAGATAACCACCCTGTACAGCATGTTAGTCTGAGCATTTGTTCAAGTTTTGAGGGATTCTCTCACAGTCCAGGATCCAGATGGATTCTCGGGCGCTTTCCAAAGCCCGCGACACAGCCCAAAAGTAGCTGCACCCGTCCACATGCCACTTGACATCGTTGTGTTCGCGAGGAGCGGCAAAGCTGCCGAACCGATTCTCTGTGTTGGGCTTGACATGGCCATATTCGGCATATGCCTTCGGGTCAATCGTGTTCCCAATCTTTGTGGCAAACTCCGACCCGTACTCGGTCACTGTGCCCTGAAGCTTGCCCAAAAATCCAGCGAGTTTATCTTCCTTCTTTGGTTTGGCCTGGTTGTTGGTGTTTCCATACTGCCCGCTGGTACTTTGTGTCTGTTGGTTCTGGCCGTACTGCGGGGGCTCGGTTTGAGTCGGGTAGTTTTGCTAGAAGCAGTGTGAGCGCGGATGATTTCCTGGGAGTTTGTGGAACTTACACCTTGGTAGCCACTCGGATTATAAGTCTGGCTGGCTTGACCCGACTGCTGACCCGACTGTGAAGAGTGGCTCTTGTACGTATCGCGGAGCTTCTTGAAGGTATCGCCTAGACCGCGGGACCCGTCTCCGGACCCTCGCTCGGCACCTTGGTAGTAACCACCATAGGCCAGATCATCTTGGGGCATGTTGGCGATCAAACTGGGGTTGTAGAATGTACGGAGTACAAAGATGTACAGAGCAAAGGAAGAAATATGAGAGCTCGGAAAATTAAGGTGCCTGCAGAGCGGGGGGTGCTATTTAAAACCGCGCCCCGCTGCCCAGCCACGATGGAAACGTGGCGGTGTATAAGCTGACGATACTCGCGATGAGGTCCATTTGAAGATACTTGCCTAGCTAGGAGAGTACCTGGGTGGCTGTGTATAGCCGTTTATGGTGATGTCTGGATCTCTGACTTGGCTGAAGTAGGTAGAGAAACGGAGGTCCTGAAGTTATGCACGAATATATTATGGGCACAAGCAAGGGCTATTGTACACCCCAATAATTTCTAGAGCTCCAGGATGAAGTTGTGTACTAAAAGTCCTTGAACTTCGAAGGTTCCTCCATACAAATGTAATTTGACACCGACTTCAGGGCTACAAGTCAATACATCGAACTATAAAGCCTGGGGCATCAGCGCATTAGACAGTGTACTCCAGATCCACTTTTAGTATGCAGCCCTACACGTCAGGGGAAAGGGATGCGATCGACCTAACAATACTCCGTACACTTGAGCAGAAATATAGATGTTCAGCGGACCAAGCTGCCTCAAAATGACCAACTCCAAGAAATCCCAAAAAGATGCTGAACCTTCCAAAGTTTCCCTGGTGGCAGTTGGAAATATTGACGCCATAATCTGCAGGCATCATTATCTTAACGGAGAAGAATGGCCCATACTAAGTAGTACATAGTGCACATGTTGACATAATAGTAAGATATGAGTCACGGGTACTCCTGAAGTCATGAAAAACGATCCATAGCTGACGAGCTTTAGAAAGATTGACGATTAAGTTGAATCCGAGTAGTACTCGATTGGGGTACTTCGTGGACTGCGCGTCAATGCCGAAGTCTTGGCGCGGGCCCGGTCAGGCCCGGTAAAGTTGGGCTCCCACCAGAACTGCTCTGGCGTATCTGGTCATGTCTACGGCTCCAACACGATCAAATCCACTCGGGCGCCCTCGAAAACCGCCCGAGGATGGAATATCGGTGAGTTGAGTTGCTAGAAGCGATAGCCTTGTTTTAACCCTGTATAGAGGCGACGCGCTCAAGTACGCGAAGCGCAGCAATCATACCGGTCCCGCCAGCAGTCTCAACTTTCATCGTTAAAAGCTCGAGTAATGCAATTGGAAAATGCTTTTAATCATTTGAGCCAGACTGTACATACATTCGATGATCAGGTGATTCAAAATGGGTCTCAGTGGCCCCAGCCTCGACTTTTCCGAGCCGTCGAAATGTTGTGTGATGATATAGCGTCACAGTTCAAATGCGCTGGCATTCATTTGCCAAGGTCCTCCAAGAGTCATCAGAAGCAACAGCCCCAGGTCATGGAGGAAAGAGCTCGAACTCAGGCCGCTCCATCGCCATTAATCAGGACCAGAACTGACTACCCGTCTCAGTTCTGGAACTTGTTCATGGGGTCGTCGTCGGTGATGATACCATCCAGTACCACTCAAAGTGTTGTCGTTGAGCCTGGCATAATTCCCTTCTCGCCAACACCAACCTTTGAAACTAATACCATTCAATATGCGACCTCGCCATTCACCCAACGACTCTTCCGAGCATGCGCAGAAAGTGGGCTTCGCCTCCTTTCCAATACGTCATTCACGGATGAGGATATCGGGCGATGCTTTGGTCTACTTCTACAAAAAATGGCTCGAGAGGATATCCGGGATTATTTCACACGAGTCGTCAGTATACAACCGTGCAACCCGATTATCGATGACCGCTTCCCGTTTATAAGCTTGGGTGGAGCAGGGACTCATTTTTCCTCGCCCTCAAACGATGCCTCTCGAGTTCTGTCTTTGATGCAAAGAACAAATGGAGTCTGTCATATTGCTTCCGATGAGCAATGGTTCGACGTGCATGATGTCGAGAGATATCTGTCCAGCCAAGGCATCATTGTGGGCGAGTTCCCATCCTCAACATCACCAGTGTATCATTTGCATAGTGAAAATGGGGTCACTTCGAACTTAGTGGCCATACAAGGGGCATCACCTAGTACCACTATGACGATGGTTATCAGCGAGTATAGGTTGATTCACAGTACGCCTTCCTATTGATCTTTGATTCGGCACGATTGCAGCTAACAAAGGTAGAATTGAGTCAGATTCCAGTGGACCTGGGTTGTGTGGCTGGGTTCCGCCGATCAGACGTCGAGAGAGTGGTATATCAAAATTTGAGGCGAATCGCTATCGGAGATCCGGGGTAAGGGTCGAGATTTTATGATGTGCGGCTATTTGTGCTGAACAAACTATCTTGACTTTATGGCACATGACATGCGATGCTTGATCAATGAGATGGTATCATGTTCTAAGTTATTGATCTTGAGATCCATCCACATCCATGGATCCGTTTGGAGCCCAAATGAATTAAGATTGCCAGTGGATTAGGTTGAAGCCGAAGGATGCTGACCAAAAGAGGTGCGACTGAGGGTTTTCTCTCTCCAATACCACACAGCGGCGGCAGTGGCACCTGGCCCAACCGCTGTACAGGCGAGGACAAGGCCAACACATCCGACCTGCCAGGAGACGTTAGAAATACCCATGCGGTACATGTCCCATATGCTTGTTAAGCACCACAGCATTGTTGCAATAGCAACCAGCAGGAAATCATTCTGGAAAAATATGAATATCCCGTCTGCAAGACTCGACACTTGACCGAAAGAATCCAGCGGAATGAGAGCACGAGTGATGAAACCAGAACCTGAGGCAATCCAGCTCAATATCAAAGCGAAGTGGAAGCATGCAGAAATTCCACCGACCGCTGCATAGACAATTCGCAGGTATGGAATATCCCCACAGACACTAGTTCCAAATTGATCGTCAAGTCTGACTGGTGCAGATCGGCCAAGCCATTTGATGCCACGAGACACGATATCTGTCAAGAGAGCCACATAAATCGGCGCCGGCTGCCATAGTGCAATGAAGACCTGGCGTGAGCTCAAGGTGTCTTGCAGCGGGAAGAACATCATCATTGTGGGCAGCACAAAGCCAAGTACCAGAGCAGGAAGTAATGCCTGAGCCACAGAGACAGGGATCGTGCGACTTGTCGGAGTGAAATAACCAACTGACGCAGAGTGGAAAATACTCATTGCGAAATAGATAGGTGCGATCAGTCCTATTCCACGGAGCTGGTACAAGACACCCCAAAGAGCTGGACTGGCAAGGAGTGTCCATCTGTTCCTGGGTCGGTAGCCCTCAACTGTCAGAATTGCGATGATTGGGAGCATGGTGGCAAGGAAATAAAGGCTTTGAAGTGCCTGTTCAGGGGCTGAGGAATTCGAAACAGCCGGCAAGAACACAGTCACAAGGGATTGCAGGATTCGGTCAATCGGCTGGAGACCAGTGTAAACCTGGCGAAGAGGCACTTTGACGCCCCCCGGGAGTGAGATAGTTTGGGCGAGAACGGCTTCACGGACCAGACTCCACGTTCCATTGACTTTTCCAGCTGTCCAAAGCTGTCGACGTCCCGCCCAAGCCAAGAAGAAGAATGCAGCATACAAAATTATACCGAATATGCCACGAGAGGACGGCACCCGGAATCGCTCATCGAAGTATGCAACATCTCGTGGCTTGCGTGGCATGGGAAGCATGTTCAAGGAAACGCCTGCAGAGTATACAGGAATCCACCGACGGAGAAGTATGCTCTTGGGAACATATGGAAGCACCTGGCTTGCAAGGAACTTCAGCAAAGGTGTTTCCATACATTCCAAGCGCTGACGTGTATGGGAAGCCTTGATTAGCCCAGAAACTCGTTCCTCGCGTTGTTCTTGCACTCTCTTAAAGATGTTTGAGATTTCTTCAGTCGACAGCGTGCCTGTCTTGGAGCCTCGGAGGGCTGCCACGAGGTGGTTCGTCAAGGAAGCGGATGTTTCAATGGCATTGTTTCCACCCTGGCCTGTCAAAGGCTCAAACTACGAAGCAACAGCAATTTAGCTTTAGTCTCGGATCATAACACTTGTGATAGCGAGGGCCGTACCTTGTGACTAGCATCTCCAACGGTCATGATTCTCTGAAAATGCCATCTCTTGTACACATATTCTGGCAGTGTGGTGTAGACCGAGGCAATCTTGCTAGTGTAGAGATCGGAGAACCGAAGGGTGGGAGTAAGCTGATCATCCCAATGTTCCTTCGCCAGAGCCTCTTCTTCCTCTTTTGTGAACCGTGGGATATCCGAGCCGTAAAACGTTTGCCCCATGTTATGTACGAGGAACCAGTAGGTACGCTTACCGGGCCCGCTGGGAATCAGGTATGAAAAATGCTCATTCACCACTGAAGTGAGCGTGCCCTTCTTGGGGCCATTGTCGCCCTCTGATATCCCGAAAATGCAGGCATAGGTTGCAGGAAGTGCTGTTATGAAACGTGAGTTGAAAAAATTCCGGTCATAGCCTTTGTGTCTTACCAGACTTTTCCGAGGGATCAAGCCACTTAGGATCGAGTCTCTGAGCCTCTTTCCACATTTCTTGACGCACTGTTGAATGAATACCATCTGCGCCGATGACAATGCTTCCGGTAAACTTTTGACCAGCCAAAGTGTGCACGGTGACACCAGAATCATTGTTGTCAATGGTTTGGACGCGTTGAGACGTAAGAACTTTGGTTTTATCCTTGATCTTGTCGTATAGAATCTCTATCAGCATACGACGATCGAGGAAGACTGCAGGATAGCCGTGACTAATATGCGAGTCCGTCAGTTATACTATCGCTCAGAAGTTGGTTGAAGACAAGGGCGACAAACCGCTCAGACATGTCTTTCACATAGTCCTCAAGAGACCAGATTAGCTTCCCTCGGGAATCACGATAGAAGACCTCATCGACGGGGTATTCTGCTGCATCAAGAACTGGTTGGCAACAATCCAGTTGGTCAAGAATTCGGAGCCCGTTTGATAAGACACCAATACTGGCTCCGACTTGAGGTGCAATGCTCTTGTAGCCTTCCAGTACGATGAAGTCAATGCCATTCTTCTCCAGCATCAAAGCCAGAGAGAGTCCGGAAATACTACCACCCACAATAATGACTTTGAAGTGGTTGGATTCCATGACGTTGGAGAAGCTGAATCACCGTCGGGGGATTCCAAGGTTTAACCCCGGATGGAGAATTGGAGCCTGATTTATACTTCCCATGGAGTTTCCCCTTGTCACTGGCCTTCAAGGCTGTAACAGGGAGCCAAGCTTGCCAATCCTCTATGTGATTTCATAAACGGAGAGAAATTGCACCGTCATTGTGCAAACAAGACGATCTCTCATACAGAGTCGGCGCAATTTACAAAGTGATCAATAATCCGACCAATAGGAGTGCGTGGAATCATGGGCACCAACCTCGGCAGACCCACTGTGGGGATGAATTTTCTTAACTAAAAAGGATTCTACGGCAGAGTTACTTAAGTACGGAGTGCTCACAGATCACATTGAATATATTGCAGAACTAGCGTATTTTCCAAGGTTCGGGTCTATCCTCACATTTCTTAGCACCGAAAGTCACATGGGTGTCTGGTTTCCTCACAGTATTTGGTACATTTACTTGTAACACTGGTAGCTCATTTTTGTCTCAGATAGTACTGCTTGTTGTAGGGCCATTCCACCAGAAAGCTGTTGGGAACCCAGGTGTATTTCGCAGGTGCACGAGTCAAAGCACCCACGGAAATCAGTTCGCGCATTCCAATGGGGCGCCTCAACATCCATACTTGGTGGATTCTGTAGCCGTACTGTTGTTGTGTCTCAGCCGCAACGGGCTCTGCGTCCTCGTGTGAGATACAGATCACATATTCGACAACGTTCATTGGATGTTTGGAATAAAGCCAGATCCGCTCGACGGTCTTGGGAAGTTCGTATTTGCGATATTCGTGGGATCGGCGTCCGCGTGCAATGTTGTCAGCATCCTTGGCCTCGATGCTCATAAACACGTCTGTGATGGACTTTCCTTCTGTTGGGGTTTCCATGATGAAGATGATTAATGAATCAGTTTGTGGATCAGATATTGGAAACAAGACCTTCCAAGGCTCTTATATAAGTATCGGTTTGGGGCTTTGAAGATAAGATTTGTTTGGCCAGGACAAGTGATCTTTGTCTAATTCCAAGGGTTAGGAACAAAGCGACGATTCTTACAACCCCATTCACACAAATACTTCAAAGGCTGATTAATTAATTCATACTCACATTAAGGACAGCACAAAATAGAACGTTAGAAGAGAACAATGAAGTCAAAGGAGCGATTGTTTTTGTTTGATCTCTTTGGGCTTGGAAGTCTAATCCTGGGACTTTAGAAATAGCTGACGAAGCGAATTCTCATATGATTTCGAGGCACCCTCAAGAATACATAGATATGAAATACTACAAGGTACAGCAATAGGAAGATCCCTAACTCAATTTACCCATGAACTTCCCGAGCACCCAGAGCAATCGTCGTCAGAGCAAAATTTGCTTGGTGTTTCTTTTCTTCTTGGTAGTGATCATCAATAAGCACAAACAGGGCGGCCTATAAAAATGTGCCCACTTACCACCCATGGAAATTGGATTGTCGAGTTTAGATGATGTTCATTTCATTTGTCCATATATCGACCAGCGCAACATAGAACAGTTTCGTGGTCTAGCGGTTATGATTTTCCGTTAACAAATGCCCCACAGGCGAGTGTTCCGGAAAGGTTCTGGGTTCGATTCCCAGCGAAACTATTTTTGCCCTGACTTTAGGCACTTACAGTATTATTATGAGCTTGAAGACTTGGCAGCGATGTGACCAAGCTGGAAGGAGTTGTATTCCTCTTGAGCACCACAACCTTTGAGTATTGGAAGCAGACTTCAGGAGTGAATATAATACGACAAATTACTCGGATTACCTAAATAGAATGTTTGCGATAACTTCGACTACTTTTTGATGGGATCGAAGGAATGAATTTCTTGTCATCATTGGTTGTCTAAGCACTCTTGTTGTTGATCTTAAGGAGTTCAACCTCGCTGCGACAGAGTCAGTTTGAAGTAAATTTGTCCGCGCATTTCGAAAACTCACAAGATGAGGGTTGATCCAGCGGGGATCTTACCAGCAGCCCTGTGAAGAAGAAATTTATTAGAATAGTCCATTTGGAAATAATGCCGTTCGAGACGCAGCCCAAAGACCGCTCGAATTGACGTACTTATCACCGTAGCCGTAGTCACTAACAAGGCATGTTAGTAGTGTATAATCTGTCATTGGGTCATTCAAAGTTGTGCTCACGGAGAAATGGTCAACAAGGCCTTCTCGCCCAGGGTCATCTGCATGACACCCTCATCCCAGCCTATCAAATGACACAGTAAGCAATCAAGCATTTGACAAGGTGGGAAGCCGTTCCCAACAACCAAGAGCTTGAAATTGCCCCGGCTGCGCTGGAAACTATGGAACGGTATAAATTACCCTTAATGACTTGGCCTGTGCCAATCTCGACGTTGAAAACGCCACGACCAGGCGACCTGGAGCTATCAAACCTACACATCTATGATTAGCATTTCACATACACAGCGCATATAGCCATGGTCTCTGGCTACAAGAGTGAGCGTACTGCTTTCCCTGGAAGCCCTTGTTGGACTTCTTGGCATCGTACAGCCAGCCAGTGTAGTGAATGGCGACCTTGTCGCCGGCAGCAGGTGAGCCGGAGCCAGTGCCCCGGGTAATGATCTTTCTCTCGACACCCATTGTGTATTTTGTTGTGTTAATTGTACGGAGTAGAAGAGAAAGGGTTGAAGAGGTGATGTTGACGAGGGGCGCTGATTCGTATTTTTCCCGTAAAGTGGGGGCAAGGAGTTACCCGCACCGTACACAGCACAACGGACAGCATTTGGTATTTGGTCCTTTATCCTATCGTACCATTTGACAATTCACACTCACCATTCTGGATACCCTAGGTCCTCTAATGACCAGAGCAAATGCTCATTTTTATCCGGATTTTCAACCTGACGCCCATTTGGAATCAACTCATGAACACCTTTGATCTCTTGGTTCGAGAGCTTATAGTTTTGATCACAATATCCACTGCCAAACCCCGAAAAGCGAGAAGCATCGCAAAAACACAAACCAGCACGGAGAAGACCAACCTCATACCCTCGAGATTATCGAGAGACAATAAATGATCAGATTGCAGATTTTCGATGTTGAGATTGGCCCCCGCCCCACATGTTGATCTAGCTGGAGAGGGACTAGAGAGAGTTGGAAATAGATGAGTAAGATTTGAAAGTCGACTTCAGTGGACACTCGAGAACCTCGGGGATATTTGAGATGAGCTCGGGTCACGAAGGATCTGACGAGAGGACCCGTAGACGCTGACAAGCATGTACTAAGCACCGCACTCGGAAACCCCGTGCGGGTTTGATTACAGATGGATGTAACGAGCGAAGCAAGGGATAACATAGTTTCTAGATTAGAAATAATACGCCCGAACAGCCAGATTTTTCCATTCTATATCTAGAACCACCTCCGGAGATTTGTATTTGTTTTTGCGGCTGCTTCTCTTCGACATAATCCAAGACACATCGAAGTGTTTATCATGACTCAGTGAGTGCCATGGAAACCAATTTGATAAACAAAGGTTCTAAAAGAGAGACGCGAAGACTATTTACAAAAGCGGCATGCTAACAGGGTTTTCGTAGTCGATATTTGCCTCTGTGCTCTCAATCCGAGGACAGCACGTTCCAAAGACTCGGTCCCAGACTCTTGTTTGTTTTCCATAGTTGTGACTTTTTTTCCAGCCTTGGCGATGATGCAAATCATGATCTTCGATAACCAACTCAGCATCAAACACTTTCATCAGCCATGTCAACGGGTTTGGCGGTGATGCATGTAGACGGAGGCCACTGTGTCCGGCCAGTTCGGCAAACAAAACGTATAGTTGACAAACGTGCCACTCGTAGAATCCCATGGGCATTCCCATTAGTCTCATCGTAAACCAAGTCATCAGCGGAATTCCCAGGATGTCGAAAAACTCCTGCTCCGAGTCCGCGTAGATGGTGAGCAGCGGATTAGGATGCTTCGTAAGATGGTGGGTACGGTGGAATTTCCAGAGATTGTTGATGTCGTGCATAAGACGATGGTACCAATAGAACCAGAAGTCAAGAATAATGCCGTAAAGACTGGCTTCTATCGGGAGCCAGAACCAGTTTAATGAAGCGGGTGCTTCATTTGCGTGGTAGGTGAGCCATACTGTCATGACTGGACGAAGGCCGCCAGCCAACAGGACGGAAGTCAGCGCTTTGGAAACACCAACGTCGGGCACCCCGTCCCGCTCATGTTTATCGCCGTCCAAGAATCCATGGACATGGCCGAGTTCTCGGAGGTTTCGGAGTTCTCTTGTCGTGAACCACCGTGACGCATAGTAATAGTATAATAGGGCGACAAGCGGGTGGAGATTATATCCCGTCACAGAAGTGAATATCTGGTGAATGACCAGAGGGATTCCCGCATTCACGATCACCCAGAGGTTCAATGACCAATCCGAGACGTAGGGCACCTTGTCCTGCTTGGAATGGACTGGAACTTCTCTATCCAGCTCGACATGGTATACGTTGGCATGCTCAAAGATTTTGTGAGGTAATTTCCACTGGTCTCGATCCCATGTACGCCATGTGGACTTCATGTTATCCATTGGATTGCGGGTGGACATGATGTATGGTTTGAGGCTTTTGCAATTGACCTAGAGGGTCGAGCCCGTCTTTTATCATTGCACCGTTGGGAATCATCTGAAGGCCGAGGTTAGCACGTGAGGAATCTTATCGGAACCAAAATCATAAGCCGAATTGCACCCCCACGTGTAAAACGAACTGTGAATGGCATCATAAAATCTTGGAAATCGGGCCGGTGGGGGGAAGTACTGTACGTTCATTGGTCAGTCGCAGAGGTTGCCTAGAAGGGTTTAGTCCGAGGGCGATCATGAACTTGGGGTTGCTTCAAACATTGAGATGTTTGCACCGTTTCATGTTCCGTACAAAGCAACACTTCGACAGCACTTGGGGAATATCCGAGGTTTGCATAGTCGCTCTTTCCGCTTCAAATGGCGTTCGTTTCTTTCCTCCTTAATCTTCACGCCGTTTCTGAGGAGTGTTCAGCTTTGCTTAATTCCCCCTCATGGATTCATGCCCAGATTGTGCCATGCACCAGGAGTTCATGCAGCCTAAAACGTTCCGAGGTTGTCACACGGAAGCACTCCTTACTTCATGCCGAATCACTCTGGGCCAATGCGCCAACTGGTGTTTAATTATGCTTAAATTTCGCCTCAGGTCCCTGGTATTCAGTCTCTTTGCAGATCGCGATTCTCGCGATATTCGTTATTAAAGGAGAGGGTTGGTGTGACGTACCGTACCTGTCTCGGCAATGGGGTCTCACATGGCTTGGCCGCTGTTTGCAACAACCACAAACGAAATTAGGACTATCTGAGGGCAGCATATCCAGATGAATCCTCCTAGGTGTCAAAAAAGATACCTGAGGTGAAGATCGTCGATTATGCATGTTGATCTGACAAAGCACAACACTATATTTAGGTGGGACAACTCCTCTTTCCTTCCCCGCAGTGCTTCACAACGTACACAACACCTTCAAGCGTCAAAACAAGCCTCGGTTATAACAGAATTCAACTACAAAAACAGCTTCAAGCTTTACACAGCCCGCCATGTCTCTGGCTACCCTCGATGTGAGAGCTCTCCGCATCCCCACTCGAGCCCCGCAGCCCCGCTGACAACGCCTAAGACTACCCAGCACCCATATCTCCCCGCAGCGTCCGCGACACTCTTCCGAGCCAAGGCTGCGAGAAAGCTCAGCTTCGAAAAAATTGGCGAGCATCTCGGTCGCAATGAAGTAGCTGCTGCGGCAATTTTCTACGGCCAAGCCAAGGCATCCCAAGAGGACATTGAAAGACTGGCAACATTGCTTGGGATTCCCCAGCAGCCCCTGGAGGACCAACTAAGTGGCTTCCCTGATCGTGGGCGCTCGGTAGAAATGCCACCCAAAGAGCCCCTAATCTATCGACTCTACGAGATTGTGCAGAACTATGGCTACGCTTACAAGGCGGTTTTGAATGAGAAATTTGGCGACGGGATCATGAGCGCCATCTCATTCTCCACCAAGGTTGAGAAAGAAACCGACGAAGATGGTAATAACTGGGCTGTTATCACTCTACGTGGCAAGTGGTAGGTGGATACCTTGTGTTGTGTATGCACTGTGGTCTGACGAACGAACAGGTTGCCTTTCTCTCGTTTTTAGGGAAATAAAGCTACTCGAGCACTCGAAACACTGCTCGCGTATGCAGGCGGATTCTCTCCTCTAGGGGCAAAATATCTCTGCTGAAATAACATGCAATAGCGTTCTTATGCAGTGTGATAGAAACTAACAAGGGCTACTTCGGGGCTGTAAGTGCCGCACACCAGGACGCCGATTGTGCTTGGTTACGTTTTGAAAATTGGCCTCACCAGTGAGAATCAAGCTTACCTTTTCCACCGTCCCCAAAGACTTCCTTACTCTGAGTATGGTTATGACCCTTGTGTCTCCTCCCTTGATAGAAGTCGCCTTTGCGTGATTTGACCCAAGCCCAGCCTCATCTAGCACCACCATTCTTAAAACATGGAGTCTACAAGGCCGTAAGCTTATATCTGAATGGACACATATGACCCGGAGAACTTGGCCTTGTAAGACACAAGTAACGGGGCCCATTAGCAAACATATCAAACCCCGTCAGAACGATGGCTCTTGCCGTCAAAAGTGACGAAAAGTGGGAAGGAGCAGGTCACCTTGATTGCCTATAAATACTTCAAATTTTCCGTTGGACCTGCTTTCTCTTGTCCTTCGTCGTCTTTTTCGTTTTCTTTCCCCCCTCCCCACTCTCCATCCTCCTCCGTCAAACCAACTCTATCTCGCTGGACACATTGCTGGACGCTCTCTGGCGTTTTCACGATGTCGACCAACGAGAAAGTACGCTGCACCTACTCAGCATGTGGTCATTTCTTCAGATCTACCAAGGAGATGCAGAGCCACAAGGCTTATGCAGACCATCACTACTACTGTACCAAGTGCGACATGGATTTCGGGAACCATGCCTTGCTCCATCTCCACAAGGTCATGAGCGAGCATCATTTTGCCTGTCTTGAGTGTGATATGGAGCTACGCAGCCAGGCTGGTCTCCGACACCACGTGAAGATAGTATGTTTTCTCTTGGATCAACATGATCCTACGCAACCCCATGACATTTTGAGAAGCAATACTGACAAGAGCTCATTCCATGTAGACACACTCACAAGGCAAAGCAGTGTCTTGCCTTGGTTGCGATCGCCAATACAAGTCCGCTGCCGCTGTCATGAAGCACATCGAAGAACACGAATGCCCTGTCCTCTTGCTGCCAGACAGGCTTCCTCGCGACGCTGGAATGGAGAGCACTGCCGGAGAACTTCTCATGGAATCGGATATGGGCTCCACTACTCCCCCGCGCCCCGACGAGATCAGCGACGATGAATCAGAAGGCGGTGTTATCTTGGATCTCGAGGCGGACACAGACCCATCCGCCCCTGGCGACATCACGCGTTTCCCCAAGGACTGGCCCACGTTGAGCCCTGTCGGTGCTGCTCGTGCAAAATCGCATAGCATCTCGACTGAATCAACTGGAGGTGTGCCTGTCACACTAACCCGCTCGCTTCTGGACGAAGATGTCCCAATTCTCTCCCGTGTCGGATCAATCCCTCGATCGACACAAGAGGATAATGCTGCATCTGATGGAGAAGACATTTTTTCCGATGATGATGCCGAGGATCATAAACCCAATGCCCATGGAAACATGATGATTGACCCGGCGGACTTTTGGGATCCAGAGCAAGGAGTTTACGCCTGCAATTGCCATGCAAACTTCTCCAGCCTCGGCGGCTTCATCCGTCACAACTCAGCAGAAGACACACCCATCCTCGAGTAAGCTCTGCATTTCAAACTCCTCTCCGCTGCAGTTTATACTGACAGTATGCATTGTAGTTGTCCCCGATGTGGAAAGCGATTCCAGACTCGCGTCGCCCACACCGCTCATGTGGAGGCTCCGTTCTCGAAATGTGCTGTTCGTGCCACCACCGCTGTTATGAAGCAAGAGCTCAGTGCTATCACCCAGGGATTTGCAGAGATCAAGGGACATGATCAACAAGCGCGGTTGGATGACATTAGGGAAAGCAGCCAGGCTTCGAACCCCGACTCTGATGAAACTGCGCGTGACAACACTCTAGAGGCTGAGCCAGTTTCCATTCCCGAGAGCTCTGCCAACAGTCCCAAGGACACACCCGGCAGAAACTCAGCCAAGGCCGATTCCCTGGAGAATCCACAAGACCACATGGCCGGCGACCTAGGTTGGGACACTCTGGACAACAACTTGGTGCAGCAATTAAAAGGATTGTTTTTCGGTACTAAACAGCGTGACGATGAGAAGAGACAACGGCGTTGAAAATCAGCACGGAACCCGAGAGGCAAGCAGCTTGGGAAACCGTGAGACAGAAATGAGTTTGAAACCTAGGGGGAATTTGAAACCATGCAACATGAAATAAGGCCAAAACAGAAATATGGGGATAGCAATTTGAAAGTTCCGCAGAAATGAGGTTCTTAGTTCTTAGTCAATTCTCTTCGAATTTACCTAGGTATTGACTCCATTGTACCAAACCAATGCCCATCAAAGGCAGAGCTAAGCTACTCGGCATCAATTGAGCCCTGGAGCCCCAGAGACAATGATGACTCGACCACCCAACTAGAAAATTTTGACAACTCCTCAATGCCCACACACGCGGTTTCATGAGCTGACGGCAAAACTCATGGCATTAGAAATAAAAAGCAACCAAACGCCCGATGCCAATGCTAAACCGGGCCATATAGTCAAATAATATACATGATGAAAGAAGAGGGGCGAAGACGTTTTACAAACATACGATGAAGAACCTTGGAAGCCAAGACTTAATCCTTCTTCACGGATTCATCGTCCTTCACCTCATCTTTCACACCCTCACCCCCCTTCCCTTCCTTCCCTCCCCAAGTCCAAACATCCCAAATATGCTCCTGGATCAAATCTCCATACCCCTTCCCCTCAGCAAGAGCCTCCTGCTCCTCTCTTAACCTCCGCTCCTTCCAACCCTCCGACTCCCCACCCATCCAGACCCGCTGCACAACCCCCTTCTCAGCAAGCTGACGCGCCTTTAACTTCTCAATTTCCGCGCTCACAGACGCATCCCCACTGTCCGACAACTCCTGAATCCGAGCAGAAAGCTTTTCATTCTCAGCCTGGCGGATTTGGGCATCGCGCGAGGCTCGGAGACGATCTTGGATCTCTTGCGCACGCTCACTAGGTAGTGATGTCAGGGGGTTGTGGATGCGAGAGATCTTAGCATCGATTCGATCGATGATGCTTCTTCCTGTGCGGTCTGCGACGATGTGGTTTGCGGACGCCCCGAATGAACAGAGAACTAGAACGGTGAGGGGGTCGAGCTTGCGTGGTGGGAGCGCAATTAGGATTGGTGCTCCGATGAGGAATGTGTATGCGGCATAGTTCTTAAAGCGCTTGTAGTCGGCTTCACGGCCTGCTTGGATTTCTGAAGGTGGATTTTCCATTGTGGATAGCTGATAGCCGGGGCTTGGATGTTGTTGATGTTGACGTTGATGCTAAATTGAGATGGAAATTTCACGGGTGGCTGTTCATGCCAGGTGTGCAGGTCATGTGACTGGGTTTACCCCAGCTTTTTTGGCGGTCCAGACTCTTTCTGACGGGTCACTTTTCCACTCTTCGATTCCCATACAATACAAAAAGGGGATTGATGCATTGACACCTTCGCGGATATGTAGTATGACACCCTTGGTGCCTGATTTTGGCCTGATTCTGATATCGATGCCCTTTATAGTAGGCATCAATATTTCTGCCAGTAAAGCAAGGAAGCACTAAGCTTCATAGTATAAACAGAGTGGGGTTTTTTTTTAGAATGCGGCAGTTAGCTTTCTAAACCATGAGGATGCTAGTCATAGAAAGTGGAATTGAAAGTGGAATTGAAAATAGAGTAGAAAACGGAATGGAAATTGGGATGAAAAGAGGAATTCTTCCAGGTGTCGCATTATCAAAAGGTTTGTCATACTACCTGCGAGGGTGTCGATGCATCAATCCCCTACAAGAATACACAAAAAAAAAAAAAAAAAGAAAAGCTGTGGATATCTTTGTAATGCTTGGCCAAGGCTTAGCTGATGCTTGACCAAAACAAAGCCCCAGCAGAGCATCGGAAACTCGGCATTTCAAGTATTTAAGACACCTACTCAGTCGGGTGAGACGGTCAAAATTTCCTTCATTCTTAGGATGTTTATTGGTTCGAAATTTCCCCTCTTGCTTTCTCTACGGCATGGCAGTTCGGCTTTCGCTTAGTGCTTAGATCATTTGATGACGTGGATGTTCAGCAGTGGAGTTTGTCTCATTAACAAGACTTGAGCTGCCCTATTCACATGTACACTCCAGCTCGTTGTTCACAGTTTTGGCACAAACTTCGCACACCCAGGAGGGCTTGATTTCAGAAACATTGCATAGATTTATACATTTCACGTCTACTTAATTGATATCCGTGTATTTGGCTCAACTATACACAGGCAAAGATTTATTACCAACGCAGTCAACTGTCCACGGGTGGCACTCGTAAACATAAGCGTATCTTCCCCCCTCGGGTCATATCTTCTCTCTTTGATAGCTTTGATATTACTTCCTTTTTTCCTTCTCTCTCTCTCTCCACACCTCTCCATCTCTCTCCAAAAAGCGCATATCCATCTCTGATTTATCAAAACCAACATGTTCACCAACGGACTTTTGTCTTGGTTCTCCAAGGAATCTCCTGCTCCCGAGGCAGTCTGGGATGCCTCCACCGCAACTGTTCAAACCCAGCAGCCTACCAGCCCCAAGGCTCCCTCAACCGATCAAATTATCACCGAGCAGCCTGTACGTGCGATATCAAGCGCCAAAGATCGTACACAACTGATGTCTTTTCCGCAGAATTCTCACGAGAACATGATGAAGCTCCGCGGCGGTGGTGCCGGCGATGTCTGCTGTGGCGTGTACGTTGCCCAGGAACTATAAACCTGGACCTATCTGACAGAATCCAGATGCGCCGGTCTTCTCTGCTTCGAGTGTTGTGAAGAATGTTGCTAATACCGTCCCCGCTCCTACTTGTCGCGATATCCCTGCGTTACACTTGCCCCGCCGGAGAAACATTCCTTGAAGCCTCGGAGCAAATTCGAACAGTGTAACAGGTGCCATTGCTTGCAGAACACATCCGCTGTCATGCCTCCTATCGTGCCACTGTTTTGTGACTGGAGTCTGGGCTCAGGTTTCTACATACGTTACTGCGTCAGTCAATGAATTTCCAAGCTTGAGTTGTTTATCTTTCGTTTGTTATACTCCTATTGCTCATCCAACGGGGTGATAGCTGTTCGGGATTTTCGTTGGCGGTTGTGGGATTATTAGTGTGCCAACCTTCTTGGTACGACCTTGCACTTCCCAACTAGAAAATATCAGGCCCTTGTAACATGTAAACACGACTTCGGGAGTTCCAAGGCTTCCCATCAAAGTGAACACTTTCCTGCAAGTTTACGATGAGTCACCTACTTCTAAAGCCCAACTTTAGAAGTAAGTAATACTAATCTACGAAAGATTAATATGCGGGAAACAAAAAGTGATTGAATCTTTATTGATTGCAAGATTCCTATATAATATACATGATGGCCAACTAGGCCCGGGTGCTCCTCATGAGGAGACATCCCAACAGATCGTGATGATGATTCTCCAAAAGTCAACGCTAGGCAGGTATCAACACATGATGTATTCCAGACAAAGAGTTTGTAATATTGCAGACAGTCCCCCCATTCGGGCCGTTCGATGGACATTGATGTATCCAGACGTGTATCATGGAAAAACCGTCCTCAACAATTGTTGGGCGGGGAAAACCATGACCAGGACCCGCATGATTCAAGTACATGTCCCTCGGTAGAAGTCCATTATATAAAACATTTGCAAGCACACAGGATGGACTCTGATCCCCCACGGAGCTTCGTCTCCGTCTGCCCCAGCCTCCATTGGAGGTATGAAGTACATGCTTTCAACGTCACATGAATGCATGGCCTGCCCTGGGTGTGACTTTACCCGCAGTGAGGGCACGAACTTGCTTGAGGAACCCAGTGGGCAAGACTGGGCCGAGTCCGTGGATGGCCGTTGATGCATAAAAGCTTGTTCTCTTGATCCCCACTCAACTTCAAATGCTGGACAAGTTCAGATCGGCAGCCAGCTTCATGACAATGGACTGAGCCTGTGAAGGAGTCTGGGTTAGGAAATGATCTTGCGATGAATGGACGCTATGCCGAAAAAAATGAAAAGCGCTGGAAGAACGACGAGGTGGGGGTGCCTACAGCTTCCTGAACAGCCGCGGTGCCAGCGTTGAACAACTCGATTTTCTGGGTAAAAGTTAACACCTGAATGTAAAAGCTGCCTGTTGGATACTCACGATGTTGTCAAATAGAGGTGGAGCGTCAGGCATCTCGGTATCGATTGGCTCAGCGATGTGACTCGAGTCATCAAACAGTGGTGGTGCTACCAGTGGTGCAGGTGTAAACACTGACGATGGTGTAAACACTGGCGGTGCCTCCCACATTTCAATGTCGTCTGTCTGGGCGCTGAATTTATCTGGCAGAGACTGGTTGTTGCGGTTGTTGCGATTGCGGTTGCGGTTGCGACGATTGTTTCGCGCGCCGGTGAATGGCCCTTGTCCATTCAGCTGAGAATCCGGGCTTGCACGAACGTCTCCAACGGATCCTCCCCGAGGGGCTTGATGGTCGGGATTGAAGTTTCTCCCGTGGTAGTTTGGATTGAAGTTCTTCCCGCGATAGTTGGGATTGAAGTTCTTGCCCTTGTAGTTTGGGTTTGGATTCACGTTGCCGTTGCCATTACCGTTGCCGTTGCCGTTGCCATGGTGGTAGTAAGTGTCGTGGTGGTAATTGTCGTGATTGTCGTAGTGATTCTGGTTCCCGCGGTTGTAGTTTTGATTGTCGTTGCGGTTTTGATTGCGGAAGTTGCGATTGCCATTGCCGTTTCGATTGCCATTGCCGTTTCGATTGCCGTTGCCGTTGGATTGGAAGCCTTCGTTCGTGTAAGATCGAGGTCCCCTAGGGACAAAGGAATTTTGGGTCATCTTTGCCGTTTGTTTCCAGCCAATTTGTGTTTTTGGACTACCACAAACTCCGGAGTAATCTCGTGCAAGAGTGTTCATTCGGTTGTGCTTCCAAGAGCTGGATTTAGACTTTGGAGGTGTTTCGTCCGGTACTCGTCTTTTCGAACCGATTTTGTCAGCTGCTCCAGTGCCCGAAGATTGTTGTTGTTGGTTTTGGGACGGATTTTTTGTATAAGCTAGTGCCGGGAATTGCTTTCTGGGATTCATGCGCCTCTCAAAAGACCAGCAGTTAAAGTCAACCTCCTGAACTCGACTCCTTGCGACAGAGTTGGGCGATTTGATGGAAAGTGGATGTATAGGGGACCGATCTGAACGTTTGGCTAGGCTCCAGGCAGGTTGGGCGTGAGGGTTGTCCGAGGTGTCGAAGATGTATGAGGTATCGAAGATGTATGAGGTGTCGAAGATGTATGAGGTGTCGAAGATGTATGAGGTGTCGAAGATGTATGAGGTGTCGATGATGTATGAGGTGATGTATGTTCCCGATTGGGAAGTATACAGATGACGTCAGACGTTGACGGTTGACGATGAGGTAATGTAGACGACCTCCCAAGACTTGGAAAGGCGAAGAAGAAAGAAAAAGAAACTGAAAGGATGGCTGCGGGCGAAGATTAAATACCCAGTCTCCAGGGGCGTCGGCTCTCCTAATCAGGGTATGTCTATTCGCAGCGTCGGGCGAAGAATTGAAAGTTCAGATGAAGTATATTTGAACTAGATCCAAGGGGGGCTAGATCATATAAGCATGATTCCAAGAAGCGTCGGGTCTAAGTCCATGGTCACAAAGAAGTGACAATGGACCTATCATTAGATCAAAGTGCCTTGACTTACTAGGTGTCGGGGGTGAATACCATGGTCACAAAGGAATGACAATGGCCCTGTGGTCAAAAATATGACAAAGAAGCCATGGAGCCCTTGAATCCTCTTCAATAAATTCCAACTCACTTACCCATTTACCTCGGCGGATATGTAAACACGGTTCCATGTCGGGGGTCCCGAAATGTGACTGCTACCGTATTGGGCAGCGGCTTGCGAGCTGAAATTCAGGGTGAATATGAAATAAGCAATGACGTACCAGTCGGAGAAGCAAGATGGTGAGTATTGCGAGTAGAGTCGTGATAGGGGAAGAAGGCAACCCAGGGAGGGAGGGGGCAGATACTTGAGGCCCAAAGCACCTGAAATTTACTTCTTGACATCAAAGTAGCACCTGGAGCGCCTGTCATTGTTCAATACTTTAAAACACACATCTGTGAACAGACAGAAGGCCGTGAAAAGGTCTTTGAATGGAGCCTTAGGATCCTGGGCAGGCAGGTGGATAAAGCCTCCAGTGATCGTGAAAACTGTTAAATGATTCTCAACTCGGACTACTACATCGGTCTGTGTTGTCTCTTGAGTCCCCGATGCGTGTTGAGCGATTGAATTTTAGCACGATGCTAACAAATGAAATGTGCTATGTATAATTCCAGTTTATCAAGTATCTTCAAACAACATTACGAAGAGTTATCCCAGCTGAAAGCCTTGAACGCCATCAGATACGCAAGTGTTTGTTCAATTATGATCCCAAATTGGCAACTCCTGAAGTCTGTCATGGATGAAGCGCTGTTTGAATAGGTTGTGCTCGTGCTTGACATGGAAGAGACTCACTTCCAGTGTCAGTTCTTTTTGTAAACTGTCATGTCTTTCACACTGCCCTTGAAGCAAACACCTACAGGCTACAACCATTTTGAAGAGCTGATTAATGAAGACTGGAATAGTTACAAAATACCGCCTCGTTTGCGTAACCGGACTACTCTTGCCCAAGCGCTAGCGCTCTCCGGCAACAAGCAGATTTACGATTTCGAAGTTAATACAAAGAGTCGATAGCTGAACAGGCTCTTATATTACTCGACACTCTATCTCAACGATTTTTCTATCACCCTGCGTTTCCAATGTGAGTCCCAATATTCCATTCTAGGGTGCGGAGAGTGCTTAAACGGGGGCGGGCCAGTGTCATAATGATCAAAGTGAAGAATAGCATCAAGTGCTTGAAGAAAGGGATATATGTATAGTTATTCAAGCGGAGGCAGCTCAGGTCTTAGGTTAAAATGGATATTACCCAGCTGGCCTCGCCTTGTTAATGCATAAGCCGTATTCAAGGCCGCTCAAGTGCACCCGACCACCAGAGTGTCTGAGAATTACCCTAAAGCACAACATTAATCTGCAAGAGCTTCATATGAAGCCATGTGTAAACTTAGTTTAAACAAGTAGGTCTCTGGTCAAGCTTTCTCTGGGAGTTTTAGTTTTCAGTTTGACGGTATCATTATTGGCAGGATTGTTTTTGTAATTGGGCATAGATAGCCTGTACGTGATTGCGCCACCCATCCAAGATGATACAAAGCCCTTTGAAGATGAGCAATCCGGAAACTCCCTAAAGAAGAATAGATGCAAACAAATATCCGGTCAAGGAAGCATACTGCAATGATGATGCTGCTTCACTTGGAGATGAGGCGTATCCCATATCATGCACAGTATGCCCAGGATGAGGAGCCAAGAGACAAGCCATTGTCGAGCAAAAGACGTTTCCCCTCACAGGCAAGAGATTCAAGGTGTCCTGCGCAACTTCTTTTTCGGAGTCTCTGCCTCCAGCTCCCCACTTCTTTTGCGCGCACTGTCCATCTTTGCTCGCTTTTTTTGAGGCCTCGTGGTTGTGCTAGACGATGCGCCATCATTAGACGCCAAGCTGTCTCTTTTGCGCTTATCCTGCTTAGGGGTCTCTCGCTTCCGTCTCTGCTCCTCCTTGATCTTCAAGCGTCGCTGGACTTCAGCTGAGATGTCTTCCGTTTCTAGTGACGTTGATGTGACGTCCTCGTCTAGTCCGGGCGTCGGCTGAGGGGCAGCGTCGCGGGGTTGTTTTGAGTTTCGCATTTCCCGACTTGATTCCGTAGTTGATTCGGCCTCGGCGCTGGTTTGCTCTTGTTCTCGGGAAACTCGACGTCTTTTCTTTCGCGTGTTCGCCTCGGCGTCGGTGTGCGGTGGGTTTGAGGTAGTAGCTGAAGGTGGACCGGCTGACTCTGAAGATGTCGCGTTAGGGACCGTCCATTGACCAAGTGACGCGGTGTGTATGTGGTGGTTGCGACATCGCGATTTGAACCCATCTAGGGATCTCTGGACTTACTATTCATCTGTGAAGTTGAGTGTCAACATTGGAATTTGCGAAAAGGATTTCAGGCAAGCGACTCACCATCTGCTTTCTGGCCACCTTCAATTGGTTCATCGCCTGGACGGTTCTATTCACCATCGAGGATACAGTCTGAAACGCATCTACCTCGGGCGAAATCTGCCCTTTCACCAGACCGAGCATTTCCATGTGGGAGCAAAGGACCGATTCATGGCGAGCGAAGATCTAAAGATCGAGCCAAAAGGATTTAATGTTAGTCACAATTCAAGGAATGTTACTCCATACACCGTTGGCACAAAAATTGTGAATATGCGTTGTCAAGGCCTCAGTGGTAGACGTACCTGGGACCAGGGAATTGGGTCGTTTGTTTGGTGGGCATAATTATGAGTGGCATCCATAGCGAAGAATTCGAGGAGTTGAGAGGAACCGAAGGGATCTGCAGAAGGAGCTACTCCGCGCCAAGAGTCGGATGACGGGCGCTAGTTAGCCCTGGCTTGTGATGCTGGAGAGAGTAGTTACAGAGTACAAAGTACAAAGTACTTAAAAAGCTATCCCTCAAGAGAGCGTGGAGTGACAATAAATGTTATTTCTAACTCTATTGGTCCCAATGTCTTCTATTCATCCCATTGAGGATCTTTGCAAGGTGTATTCTATTCTACTCCAAGGCATGGAGTCAATAGTATCAATACTGATTAAGCCACTTTCTGCCACCGTCTTTTACTTGGCCCAATTCAACAGAACCTGTGGAAGAAATACAAAATAGTACATACAAGGATTGATTGACAACTGGCATAAATTAAGAAGGATTGTCCTTGACAAAACACTCCACATTGTGCCCAGAGGCCGCATTGGCTCACCAGTGGTTATGTGCCCTTTTGTCCTGTTTATCCTCTTTCTGAACCTCTTCGTTGAACCCGTTACGGCGACATCGCTCCTAGTATGCCATGTTTCGTATCATTCCCGCTCAGCTCATCCACGGCTACCAAGAGTGCTAGCATGTGGACATGAAGTTCTTCAAGAATCAGTTCTGGTATCTTACAACATCCATGGATGAAATTGAACTGACCTTGGATTCCAACTGAAAACTTGCGCACAGCCCCTATTTTGCCTCCATACGTGCCGTTTGGCATCGGAAAAGGCTGTACTAACTCTTGCCGATTGGCAATGAAGTTTAGTCCAACCTTGGGCTCATGTCCCACACAAAAGACTTGGTCTGATTGATGGGTTGACAAAGACGTAGCCTCCACAAAGGTCTTGCGAGTTGCCTGAATGTCAAGCTCTGATCTTGCAATGCGAATAAATCCCTTGTGGAAGACTAGAGCCTTCCGGATACCATAGGCGGGCTTCTGGATAACAATGTTAAGATCAATGCAAAACTGGCCGAAGTCCTCAAAATCCTCCAATGTCACGTCTCTTTCCAATCCTCGACACCTAGGCTCAGCTATGCCCTTGGAATACAGTGTACGATCTGGTTTGCTATGCACAGTTGTACGTCGTCCACGATCCACTCCGCAACCCCCAGGATCGTTGCACAAATACGAATTCAGATCAAGACAAAGATATTGAGCGTGCAAGTCCTCTGTGTTCTCGCTGAAGAACTTGTGGCCATCTGACTTAATAGTTCGAAGACCAGAGGATGGGAGAGTTATGCAGGGACTTGATTTCCTACATTGCGGTGTGTCAAGCGATAGGTTGAAAAGAATATCATCTCGGGTGATGACCGGGAGCAACCTAGATTGAATTTCGCGGGTACCAATCAAACGGAGATCCCGACACGTCCGTATAATTGAAAGTAAGGACTTCGTGCGGACATTGCTCAAAATCTGAAAAAGGATCTTGAAAAGTTAGCATGGCCTTGGGGACGTGAAATATGCTGTTGTACTTCGTTTGGTAGCGAAAGGAGTCTTATGCCCGACCCGTTCATCTTAGGCGATATAAGAGAAGTTGTGTACTCCGTAGGACACGCATAGAAATTGGAGGAATTTGATGTGTCTCAATAATTATCTAGAATGTTCAATTTATATGAATAATGAAATCGTTATTTTCTGACGTCGTGTCTCGCATCTAGACTTTGTCCTCGCCCTTTCTCGTCTCAAATCTCTACCACGTCAACGAGAATTCGAGGTATAGATTGCTCAAGATCGAACTCAGAATGTGGCAATTCTGCCAGGGCTTCCCGATCTGGTCAGATCACTGTTTGCTGTGTAACGAGGTGTCTACGCGTATCACTCGGCTGACACAAGGCTGGCGCTGGGCGCTGAATGTGAAAAGCGTGGGTGACACAACGGGCCCCAAATACATTCCCAAGGCTCTGTTGAGAGTACTTCCAGGTTTTCGATCTGCATCATAGCTCCTGAGTTTGTTCAAAAATGCATAGTTTTATCTTATCAAATCTGCTTCATTCTTCCCCACGAATAAACTAAGTGATCTTCCGCTTCTACTTCTACTCTTGTGACCATGCATAACACATTCCAACCCATTCCCACCTGGGCAGTACATGCCTTGGCCACAGCTTAAGAAATTTCTGTGAAACCAATGACGATGCAAATTTACATCAACTGGAAAATCCACGATATGCCTTGCTAAATCGGGAAGAAGAAGCTTAAGGGCTGTTTGATATTTAAGTTGGAACATCTCCAGCTTCAAACTGACATCTACCAGAAGTTTTTCAAACATGCATACAGCTACCAACCTATCAACTTTCCACCTGGCAGCTGAGCTTTGCTCATTCATCCTTCTTGTCTTTTCTTTTGTGAAGAAATTATGGGGATATTTTGTGACACCCGAACCTCGATATCTCCGTTTGATCAAAAGACTGCATTCGCCACATGCGGCTGCTCGAACCCTGCAAGAAATGATCAACAAAGACGGAGCTGGCTCATGGCCACCACAAGCTTCATATAGGGAGTCCTGGCCACTGGTGCTTCAACCATACCATGATGTCTTCTTTGAACTGGCCCCTCTCCTTCCAGTTTTGGATCCTTCTGTGGTACAGGTTGTCAACGAAGCCCGGAGAGCCGAATATCGCAAACGTCTACGGATTATGCTCGAAGAGCGCATAAACATCGAGGCTGTCGAAGCTTCGCTTTCTAATACTACCGGTCCCGAGTCTTTCGTTACCGCAAACAAGGCATACAATGGCTTCTATGCATGTATCAGTGCTTTGAGGCATGCTTTTAGGTTTGTGAAACTATTTATGAAGTTTGTTTCCCTTGGCTAAAAATTCTTATCTGGCAGATGGGCAACTGTACCAATTGTTGAAGAAGGGCAGAGAGAAAAGATAATTCAGTTTCCTTCGGAACTCGATGTCCCTTGGAGATTTATATGTTACAGATACGGAATTGAATCGCTTGGAGGGAATTTGACATCCAACCTCCATTGCAACCTGGATTGGAAAAACGGTAGGGTTGCTTATCCTGTCAATGAAAGTATGCCCGAGCCTATACCTTCTGCCGAGTACAATCTTATTTTTGCATTTACGGAGCCCGAAAGAAAGGTCTGTTCATGCGAGCTCCTTCGTGTCTCAAAATTTAACAGTCTACACAGGCGCTACCGATCTATTACTACATTGTTCAATCCATTATTTGTTTCGAAAACCACCATTTCCAACAATGTGCCCAGCATCTCACAGATATCACGCCCCATCTACTTTCGGCTTTCAAGGGCTACTACCAATATGTAACAGACTCGAAAATACCCTTGAGCGTGTTTGTCGCATACATCCAAGGCTTTCATGGTTGGGCAGCTGGGGAGATGATTGATGGAACTTATGTTGAGTATGACGGAGTTTCCGGTGCCAATTTGGTCATGTTTGTGATGCTGGATTATTTCCTCGGCCTGAAGCCTTTTCTCAAAGAGGAAGACTTCCCAAAATACTTCTCATCAACCCAGAGATCATTTCTTGCCGCTATCAAAAGCAACACCTTCAGGGATAAAGCGAAAGAGATCGGCGATCCCAAGATTTTGAGGTTTCACGGCCCCCCTAAAGTTTGAAGTCTTCCTTCTGAGGGGACCACTGCAGCTCTAAAGGTCCCATGAGTACCTAGGTAGAGCTCTACATTAGTACGTAAGTAGAGCTGGATCGTCTGTTTGCAAGGTTTTCTACGTATTCTAAAGTTGACAGCAACATCCATACAAATCACATTTACATGCCAAATAACATCCAGGGCTCTTACTTAAAAACCCCACGATTCCAGTCTTTTACCAAGAACCTTAGAAGTCTCTACAGCATACATCTTTCTTACAAGTTGGTAGGATCCAATACCTAGCATCGGACGCAACCACGCTTGCCTGCTCATGTGGAGGGTTGCTCCATATTATATATCACATTGTACAGAACTATTCCAAGCTTAATAAACACCAACGCCTCATTAATGCTGCGGTCCTATCAAGACCCCACCAAGTAACCAAAGTTCCAGTTGACCAATAAAGTCAAGAAAGCAATAATTGATACACGATCAGAATGCCGCATCACCAAGCCCCAGCATCCAGGTCAAATCGGGACAAGTCTTTCTGTGCATCTTCCACATCCTTCTTCGCCTTCATGCGCATGTAGAAGATCGGACAGTCTCGAGAAGAACAAATGACTTCACAGTGCAGACTGCCTTGGCATCGTTGACACTGAGTCCACAAACGCCCGAATCGGACCTCCAAGTCAGAAGTTTTGGTCAGGGTCTTGCTGTAAAGTTCACCCAATCGAGGACGACAATTGACGCAGACTGCGCCATCTGATTCCTCGTTGCTTGCAAGAGGCTTTTTGCAACCCATACAGGTCTGGGTTTTCTTGGCGAATTTCATCAGTCCACCCAAGCTTGAGGCTGCTTTGGAGATAGAACGTGTGTGCTCTCCAGTAAGCAGCTGGCCTGCCTTCTTCTCTCCCAGAATGGGTTCGAAAATACGGCCTAGTGGGTTTGCCAGCTGATTATCGAGATAGTACTTGGTATCGATGGGGATGTTATTCTCCAAAACGAAGATGGGATCCTCTGCTCGTTCGTAACCCTTGGAGTCACTGGCACCCTTAATCATGACGTAGGCCACACGATCACCGAGGGTTGGTGCAGAACCCGCGTCACGTTTGTGCATGCGCTCAGCGAGTTCGACGTGGGCTTGCTTGCCAGCGTAGTCTTCCTTGCGCTTCGACAATGCCTTTGTGATGACTAGCTTCGACATATCGATCTTGTTTTGGAGAAGGTCTGAGATGGTTGCTTTAACGTAACTTTGACGGTTGTTAGTTTGGGGATCTGAGGCGAGATTGTTGATATTACTTACTCTTGTGCGCCATCAATATCTCGTTCAATCAAAATCTTGTTCAACACAGTTTCAATGACATTTTGAACCATCAAACAATTATCACGTCGGACTGTCTCAATACCCTTGGTATCCATCTTGTCATGCTTGTCGGGATTGGTCCAGTAAAGTCCGGCATAACGCTTCTTGTTGATGAGAAGATACGGGAAGTAAACTTTCTCGAACTCAAGCTTGATGGGATTGATGAATTTGGAAGAGACATAGTCCGCTGCTTCCTGGCCGAGCTTCATCGCTTCAGCCAGTTCAGTAACGCCAAACTTGACCATGACGGAATCGGTGTCACCGTAGATGACCTGTGCGTCGTGGGAATAGCCATTGGCGATGGTGTAACGTGCCTCCACTTCTTGTTTCGTCTTTTCAATCATCTGTCGACCATAACTAGTTGTTGAACTAGCGATGGGAAGACAGGGCAATTTTCCAACTGTGGCACCAGTCAGACCGTAAACACTGTTAGCGCTAACCTTCAGAGCAAGCTGACGACCGTTCAGCACGGCCTTTTTGAAGCTGTCGGTTTCTGTAGCCAGCTCTTTCTTGGCGCGCTTTCTTGCCCCCAGCAGTTCCTCGAGAATTTGAGAGAGGAGTCCTTTGCGAATTTTGGTTGTGCAGAACATGTCACCATTTGGTGTGACAATGTAATCCTCGTCTTTCTTGAGGTTGAGCTTCTCCACACTGGTCTTGTTAAGCAAGGTCGTGTAGCAGAGATTGTGGGCTTGAATGATAGACGGATACAGTGAAGCGAAATCGAGGGTTGCGACTGGGACACCGTAGTATCCTCGCTCTGGTTCAATAACGGTGGCACCCTCGTAGTCTTGCTCATCCTGAGGCTTGGAGTTGGGAATGACAAGCTGCTGCTCCAATGCTTTTCGGAACAACTGACTGATGAACTTTACTTGCTGTCCACGGGACAGAAGGAAATTGAAAGGCACACCCGTGACCCTTGCCATCTCCGTGTAGTTCACCAAACACATCAACTTATCCATCAACCGTTGTGGTAGATATGCATCTTTCAAACAATACACGGCCAATCGCCGTCTAGAATCGGGAGTACCATTGAAAAGTTCGGTAATCATCGTGTGGTGGACGTCTTCTTTCTGCTCTTTCAAAAATTCATAAGACACCGAGTTGAGTGTGTAACTTCTCAATTGGTGATCTCTTTGGACAAGCTGAAGTAGATCGAGCTGAATTCTACCGTTGGTGTTTGTGGCTTTTGTGTCTCGGTTGCCCATCTGCTTGCTTGAAAAGTTTGCATCCTTGGCCTCGGTCTTGCAACCCTTGAGTCGGGTCCAATAAGGGAAACCTGTGCATTTCAGATGCTTGGCGCGGTCGAGCAGATAGGGGAAATCGAAGTTGGCAATGTTGTAACCAATGATCACATCCGGGTCCACCTTCTCCACGAAATCACGCCAGGCGTCGAGCATTTTCTCCTCTTTTTGGAATTCCAAAATCTGCGTATTGACAATCAAACTGCAGGTGTCGAGAACGAAGACATTCCGGATGAAGGGCTTTGACTCTCCATATCTGGTGACCACATTGGCAATTTGGATGACTGGATCCATGTTTGGTTCCGGGAAGATACCTTTCCGGCCTGCGCACTCGATATCGAAAGAGAGAACGCGAAGAGGTGCCATCTTCGCCCATTCCCCGTTTGGCTGATGTGCGACCATATCACGATAGTCGACCGCTGCCTCGAGCTGGCAGTTCGACAGTTGCTCGCGCGGGCCAAGAAGGCGGTATTTCCCTGCCATTGCCTCTACCCATGCCATGCCGGCCAGGCCAGTATCAATCATGAAACGCAGGAGGTACTGAATGTTGTCGAATGTGAGAATACCATCTGCACCACTCCACATGCCCTTGTAATTCATACTCCCGCTACCACTCTCCAGAGCACTTCGTAACCGTGCAGCCAATTTCGGTTCCGTGACAGTGATCTTGATGTAGTAACTCTTCTGGTTTCCTTGGAAGCCGTAGATATTTTCACGCATCGTGAGCTGCACAGAAGAAATTGCAGTGAAGCTCTGTCCCAATTTTTGCTCGAGGAAATGCTTGTAAGGGTCGCAATCGGCTTTTGTGAAGCTAACGGGGGCGGCGATGTAAAGATAATGCTCGAAGCCGGTAACGTGAAGGCACACGGATTGTCCGACCTGTCCCATTTGTTAGACCATGCGATCATCACAGTGAAGACGGGGATTATTTACCTCGGTGACACCGAACAGCCGGATAGCAGGCTTCCCCATCAGCACCGATTCTTCGGCATCGATTTGCTGGAAACAGATATTCTCTTTCTTTGGGTCAAAATCCTCGACAGGCGGACGCTCCCATTGTTGATCCTTCTCCGAGTTACTCTGTTTCAAGTCGCCAATATCCTGAGTTAGCTTTTCAAGTACTTCCTCCTCGAATTGACTTTTTTGGGGCTGTGTTGAGCCAACTTTCCGGCGCGCGGGCTGGGATGACTGCGTGAATGATACTGAGTTCTCTGTGTCCAGCTTTCGTTTCTTGAGCACACTTGGGGACTTCGTGATCCCGGCGGTATTGTTGACCGCGTCACCCAATACCCGCTTATGGGGAGGCATGATTGCTTCAGGCATGATGAGAGATCATAGATTAAGTGACTCCAATGTAGTGGTTTCAGTCACAAGTGGAGGGATTGGAGGGGAAAAAAGTCGTGTGGTCAGAATTGTGTTGAGCGGGCAACTAGGATCGCGCGCGCGCGGTGACCGTGACGTTGACGCGTGAAATGGTCACGTGTGATAAGATACACTAAATTGACATTTCAACACCGCTGATTGGTCCAAATATCGAGTCGAACAGCTTCTGTCTGTTCACAACCTTGAACTATACTGAAACGAGTCTGAAACAAGAGACAGTCTATTTTGGCACTCAAACTAAATGGAGACAAGGAATATTGGAAGACTTTGAACTGTCTTGGACATCCTACGTAAACTTCCGATTCTCACAAACACAAATCCCCTTATCCATGCTATATGAGGCTTTGTAGAAATAAAGAAGATCATTTTTAAAAAAATAAACACCCAAAGAACAGACACCCAAACATCATTCCAGGCCAATCCACCATCTCGCTGCGCAGTCCGAGGATCCAAGGTGGACACGGATTCCAACGTTCCGCCGGCAGAAACGGATCACTGCACTCGCCTTCGCAGGCTTGGCAACTTCGTGTTCAACTTTCGCACGCTGCAGTACTCGTATACTGCGTACTACGCAGGGGCTTCAAAGAGACTTCCTTGGGCACTACAATTCCTGCTCATCAAACTTCGTCTGCCAAGAGCCGTGCGACCCACGCCCTGCCAGAAACATTATAGAATCCAATGGAAGCATAAGTCGAGTCACCCCTCTGGCCTGTGGCATGTTTACGTCTTTCTACATTTGATCTCAACCCCCACGGTGTCATTTTGAAAGGACAACTGGCAGTTTCTTTATTACAGTCACATTCCCTGCTTCCGGGTCACCTGCTGCCTTGAACAAAGCCAGCCATTCTACTTAACTGCGGGGCAACACTCGATCTCGAACTTTCCAAGGCAAAAACATTTTCACATTTAGTTCATCTGGTGGAAAGGCCAATTCCTTGCGGACCACCTTGACTACTATACAGATCTATGATCGATGGCAGTAGGACGCCACTAATAATCTTGGCCCTCGCATCCACTGTCGTCGACGGGAGATATAAATATCAAAATGTCGATGTTTCGCTCACCGGCCGACATTTCCTCGAGCTCTGACTCTGAGACTGAAACTGAGGCCGAAGACAAGCAAATTCAGTATTCAGGGGCATCTACTCCACGCCATTCGATAAAAAGTCAATCCTACAGCCCGCAAAAGGGCAAGACCAGCCAACCTCTGGGAAAGTCAGAATCCACGGACCCGGATACTTCGGTTTCCTTTGATGATGGCTCCAAACCACCAGATGAAATGGTAGATCTCAATGTGGACCAGCATGCGAATGTGATGACAGCTGCCCTTTTGGAATTCTATTGCCAAAGTCGAGCAGCAGACATCCTCAATGCCCAAAGCAGCTCAGGCAAACAGTTCAGCCGACACAGCCCGGAGGCTATATATCTCGGTAAAAAGCTGTACAAATACAAATCAGACTTTTTGTCGTCTCACGGCGTGCTGGCCGGTGGCATTGACAGAGAGGAGATGGGGCCAAGCAGGCAAACTTATCGTAACAACCTTGATCTGCTCGGAATATCAGCCCTCAAAGAAATGAAACTTCATGAATCCCACGCCCGATCGCCCACGATTGGTTCCGGCGAAGACCATTCTTTGATCAAAAAGTTATCATCAAGGGCCGACTTTGGAAGCTTTGATGCTCCGGCCTTGATCCGACGCAAGACTGAACCGAATTATGCATTCGAAAACCAGCTGCATTCTGGCAGAAAGGTCGATTTCTTGCCCACTGTTCCTGACATTCCACGAAATCTATCCCAACCTTCGTTTCCTTTATTTGGCAGCTCACCTGCCGGTATGCCATTGTTCCACTCTCCAACAACGCAAACATACAACCATTCTTCAAGGTATTCTGTTGAATTCAAACAACTCAAAATCTTGGGACGTGGGTCCTTCGGCGAGGTATTCCATGTAACAAATCATATTGATGGTCAAGACTATGCAGTCAAGAAAATTCCACTCAGCCAAAGACGGCTTGAGCAGCTGCAGTTCGGAGGCCAAAATCAGCTTGAGGTCATCATGAAAGAAATTCGAACACTTGCTCGTCTTGAGCACACGAATATCGTTCGGTATTATGGAGCATGGGTTGAACAAGCCAATCATGCAAGTCCATCGCCCGACGAATTTCACCCAGCTCACGACACGTTCGAGTCACCACGAAACGACCTGCCTTCACCAGATACGCCAAATGAACCGAGTATGGGTATAGTTTTTGGGCACTCCGAAAACTCAAATCCAGAGTCCCAGGCGAGCTCTTTGACCGAGGATCATAGCTTCTCCGAAAGCATTCGACGCTGGGACAGCCATGCGACTAGCTCATCCCGCCAATCAAAAAAGAGTTCGGGAAGAGGCTTGGAGGACGAAGAGGAAGATATAGAGTCGATTCCCCGTACTTTTGACAACACTTCATATGAGGAAACATCCACATTTGGAGAAACAGATGACATCTTCACCGACGGACTGAGTCAAGATCAGTCAAAACTCCAGGTGCAAACCAATTGCCGACCTGGCCACCCACCACCCGCGGTCATCCTTCACATTCAGATGTCACTTCACCCCATATCACTTGGGTCTTATCTCAACCCCCAAGCCGCTTCTAAACCCGATGAGCATTCACTTGCCAGACGTCATTGTTTCCACTTGCTGCCATCTTTGAAGCTGTTGATCGACATCGTTTCGGGCGTGGAGTACCTCCATGCGAAGGGAATTGTGCACCGAGACTTGAAACCAGCGAATATCTTCCTGTGTGCACCGGAAAGCACAACAGCAGACATCTGTGTTTCCTGCAGCTCAAGTGAAGCTTGTCTGGTCCAATTCTGTCGTCCCCGCATTGGAGACTTTGGTCTAGTGGCAGACATCTCTCACCTCAACGAGGTCACTTCGGGGGCCGTGACACCATATCGAGAGGGTCCGAAGATCCAGCGGGTAGTTGGGACCGAGTTCTATCGTCCTCCAGCCAATGTATCTGGGGTCCCGAGTGACCCCAACTCCCCGGCAGATTACTTTGACGAGTACAAGATTGACGAGAAACTGGATGTTTATGCACTGGGTGTCATTCTTTTCGAGACACTATATCGTCTGAACACAAAGATGGAGAGACAATTTGTGTTGAGCGATCTAACTCGCGGATCAAGCCAAGACCATACTGAGCGCACCATTTTCCCGACCGACTTTGCCGCCAAGATCGACCAAGGCTCGATGATATTGGATGATGGAATCACCGTTGCAGAGTCTCTGAAGAAATGTATGAAAGGCATGCTTGAACCTCGATCGCAACATCGTTGGAGTTGCCAGGATGTCAAGGAACATTTGCGGAGGATCAAGAAGGCCGTTCGTCGCGCTGAGGCACAATAAAGGAAATAAAGATATTCTCACAGATTACCAAATATACCCCAGATAATACAAAATACATCACTCCTCTCCAGAAGTCTGCAAAGATCGGCACTCGGACCTCGGTCTGGTAGCTTTCCCCATGTTCTTCACGGGCGACCGAGCTTCCCCGCTTAAAATATGTTAAAAGACTGGGTTAAGTCCCAACTTTAGTCGAATACATAACCTGAACGTCTCGCCAAGGCAAAAAAGATCCAAGATGGCTGGCAACCTTCGTCCGCCAACAGCACCATATAGCGAGCCCCTTCTCCCACAACTCGACCTCCGCAACCCGTACTACACAGACTTGCACCACAACCTACGCGCCACCGTGCGCGAATATGTAGACACATACATCGCATCATACGCACATGAATGGGAAGAAGCAGGCCAAGTCCCTGAATCTGTCCGAAAACGCCACTGCAAGCTAGGCTATGGCATTGTGCACCCACTCACAAGCGAAGAGGACTGTGCTGGCCTGTCACTGCCTGGAGACGTGCCACGTGAGAAATGGGATACATGGTGCTCATTGATTGTCTCGGACGAACTTACGCGTGTGGGATACGTTGGTGTGGTATGGGGACTTGGAGGGGGCAATGCGATCGGGTGTCCTCCGGTCGCGCGGTTTGGGACCAAAGAGCAGAGACAGAGATGGCTTCCTGGTGTTGCAAGGGGAGACATTAGGTTTTGTTTGGGAATCACCGAGCCTGATGGTATGTGTGTTCGGGTTTGTGTTGGTTGTTTTCATGCTGACTGTTGTTCTAGCTGGCTCTGATGTGGCTAATATTAGGACTACCGCTCAGCGAGACGGTGATCACTATATTGTTAATGGTGCGAAGAAGTGGATCACAAATGGTGTTTGGGCTGATTATTGCACTGCTGCCGTTCGAACTGGTGGGCCTGGTAGGTCTGGGATCAGCCTACTCGTTATTCCTCTCGCTGTTCGAGGAGTGAGTCGCAGACGCATGCATAACTCGGGCGTCAATGCAAGTGGTAAGTGCTTCTTCCAGAATATCCGGGGCTCCAATTGACTGACCAAATCTCCGCTGTAGGCTCAACCTTCATCGAGTTGGATGAAGTGCGCGTCCCTGTCGCAAATCTCCTCGGACAAGAGAACAAGGGATTCCCGCTGATCATGTCAAGTATGTGATGGAAGGAAAAGGCCGAAGAATATCTACTGATAAAAGATTAGATTTCAACCCAGAGCGCTTAGCTCTCGCCTGCGCATCCTTACGACTTGCTCGCGTCTGTGCCGAAGACGCATTTAAGTACGCCGTCCAGCGTGAGACATTCGGGTCTCCTCTAATCGAAAAACAAGCCATCCAGTCCAAAATCTTTAAATTTGGCCTCATGATTGAGCCGGCTTATGCTTTCATGGAACAGCTGGTCAATATCCTTGAGAGCACCAAGAATCGTAAATCTGACGACGTCAACATCGGCGGCATGACTGCGTTGCTGAAGGTCATGTCAACAAGAGCTCTCGAGAAGAGTGTCCGTGAAGCTCAACAAATTCTTGGAGGGGCAGGCTATAACAGGGCTGGAAAGGGCGCTAGAATCGAGCAGATCAGTCGTGATGCTCGAGTCCACGTGGTTGGGGGTGGAAGTGAGGAAATTATGGCCGGACTGGCGCTAAGGGAGGAGACAAAGGCACTCCGTACCAGAAGAGCTGCGTTGGAGAAGAGAGCTTCCAAGGTTTGAGGTCCTAGGGGCCGTTAATCGATTTGAGGTGCTCGGGAACTTGCCCGTGTTGTGATTTTTGTCTTTGGCAGTGCCCACTTCCCAAATACTTTAGGATGGTAACAACAGCACAAACGGAATTAGGAAACCTTGAAGTTAGAAAGAGTTTTTATCTGAGTATCACTCTGGTTAAACTTGGTCAATGTTCTTGTTACGTCGAGGGGAAGTCAGTTATCTGCTGGGCTTATAAAGCCCAGCTCATGAGTTTCACCCGGGATTACGCCCCGTGATCTACATTTTTTCATAGAGTTTTCTATTTCAATCCGCCTTTCCTTCTTGACATAAGATTGACGGACTTAGAGTCGCTCCGCGAGTCCAATGCTTTGTGGGGATAGAGTATGTGGGTCTACGGGTGATCTGCATCGGAGTGGAGTAGGGCTCCCCTTCCTCGCGGTGATGGCTCTTTGTGAAGCTCATGGGGATAAAGTGATGTGGATCACCTAGACTCAGGACTTACAACTGGAATATTTGCGGGATAGCCATATGCAAGTCTGCTTTTTGGAGGAATTAGATCATTTGACTAAAGCTCCAGGGCTTTTTTGAGGTCTTGGCTGGCTTCTGATTGAGCTCTGCTCGTCCAAATGCCACCCGACGGCCAGAATCTACCGATGCACCGCTCAGGACTCACTTACATGTCAGAAAAGGTTGGTGGAGGCACAAAAGCCTTTCGATGAGGAAAATATACAGAAAGTTGTTACGATTGCCGACGAAGCGAAGCAGACACGGGAAGAGATACTTCAGAAAGAACTCCATACTTATCCTTCTACTTAAGTAGCAATCCCACCAAGTAAAAGAAAAAAGAAAGTTGCTTTTGCTAATCTAGTACACAAGAAAATGCCGATCTCTGGCATCATACTTCCTCTGCGTCATTTCTCATTGCCGTCTGGGCTTTTCTAATGGTTGAGGTAGGTACAAATGTCGAAAATACACATGCATGACTTCCAGGCTTTTTATTTCACAATTGCAACGGCCCATATGGAGCCAGCTGCTATTCGTTAATCCTGTGGGATTTTACCGGGGTGTCTAGGTAAAGGAACAATATTATGGAGAAAAAAACCGAAGTACTTAAGTAGGCCTCGATAGACCTGGGAGGTAGGAACTCACAAGTGACATATTAAACACAAGAGATGCATCAATGGCTCTCAGAATTTTGTATGAGAGCAATGCACATCGAAACGAGCAGTATCCTAGTACGGAGTAAAGACGTGGAACCTATTTCCGACCCGGAGTAAGCTTGAGCAACAGGAGCTGATCTGACAGCACACTCCATGCACTCGGGACCACTATGAGGAGCTTTTCCGCCAGCCAGGCGCAGCATTGACTCGTAACCCGAGCAGCCCAACAACATCGCCCAGGAGTAAGGCGCAATCTTGAGCGTCGGGTCACAAGGCTCACAATGCTGCGTTATTGCTGTCAATCAATCCAACAACTGTCAACACGGCAAAGTAAGAGAAAGATACCCTGCATGGCTAGTGTGGAGATTAGTTGCAGCCAGATCTGGTGGCGTTGATTTTGCCGTGAGCACCGGTATTTCACCAGCTGAAGGAGTAAGCGAGTTGATCTGGAGGCCTTGACACTTCATGATGCTCGATGATGTTGGACAGGTAACATGCACCTGCATAAGGACACATGTCATATATCGAAGTAAAGCTGGCAGCCACCCACACCGACATGTTCATGCAATGTTAAACGACAACCCCCTTGCTTCAAATCGATAATCCACATGTAGGAACAGCTTGAATGTCAGATCCCTTGTCCAACCATCTCACCACGCGGCAAAAGATCGGAAGAAGTGAGGGTAAGCGACAAGATCGTATTCGGTGACCATGCATCTCCGAAAATTTATCGCGACAATGGGGTGTGGAGTAAATACAGAAATGATAGAAGTCTGTGAGATTGCGTCATAGCACCAGTGAATGACAAAATAACGCCCGGCATGATTCATTATGGGTTTGTGTACAGAGTATAACGCCAATGATTCACATTCAATTCCAAAAGGGTATACCTATTAAGACTCCACACCGAAACCGAAACCTCGCCAAGTGCAACTTTTAAGATCTTGAAGACAAATATCAAAATGCCAAACCACAGAAAGCTCATCAAAGCAGAAGAGAAAAAAAAAGCAAGAAAAAAAGAATTATCATATGCACGTATCCGCCTGGGGACGCGGTTTCGACAGCCTTCGACGGCGGTAGTCCTGACTACGGCTCCGAGGCCGGCCTCGCATATATTCAGAATTGACAACCTCAATGTTTAGCTCATGATCGAGATCATCCTGCAGGTAGCCCGGTGACAGGATAGTAGGTAGCGGTGGAGCTTCGACGCCGGGCTTCTTCGTCCAAACGCGGCCAGATCGGCTTTTGGTGCGGGAATGGTGATGGTTAAACCCCTCATGCATGGAGTACTCGGAGGCCGATTTTCGGAGTCGTTCATTGGACCCTGTCATTGTCTGCTGGGAACTATGTGAATTCCATGTAGCAGAAGAGCTCGACGAGGATGGGGGACCTTCAGATAAAGCCACAGAGAGTCTATCTCCGTAGAAAGGGCCCTTAGTCAGGCCTTGCTGCCATTGTTGTGGCTGAGAGAGGTAAGGAGGTTCAATCCCACTGGGTCTGACTTCGAGGGTGAAATCGCGCGGTGTGTATTCCGTGTAACGCGGTGCACACAAGGTCGAGCGACGGGACCGTGTAGTAGCGAGAGGAGCAGGCTCATTACTCGCGTCATACCAGCGGGTGGCGGTGAGGTGTAACCGAGAATAATTCTCGGGTTTTGACTGTACGTTGAGTTGACGCTGCATCTCAACACCAGATCGGTCATGCATTGGACCGTTGGAGACCCAGACGCTCTTCACACTGTCACCACCACACGACACGGACGTCTGAGAACCAGCCGAGCTTTGTGTGCGGCTTCGTTGCATCGAGTGTACCGATGTGGCGGAGCTGTAACCACTGTCGGACTTGTTGAGTGACCGAGAGGTGCTTCGAGCAAGACCAGCGCTCGAAGCACTCTTCTCCAATTGAGCTCTCGTATCGTCAAAGAGAAGGATTCCTTCATCCTCAGGGTAAGTAGGAAACAGTGTCTTGGTGCGGGGTGCAACTGTAATTGTAGGAGAATTTTCGAATGAGAAGGGACTGCCGGGAAGATCATCGGACTTCTTTAAATCGGGCAAGGATGGAATTTCGAGCGTGGCGCCTCTGTTCGGCGCTGCGACTTCCAAGTCTTCAAGCCCAAGCCCGGCAACTGGAGCACTGGTCCCACTCAAAGTAGTGCGGTCGCTTGGACACGGGGAAGCATTCACCACTCGCAAAGACCCAAGCTTGAGTGCTCCAAGTTGGGTATATCGGGTATCGGTCGGACTCGTAGGTCTCACTGGCGATGGGGCGCGCTTTGTCAAAGGCAACGGCCATTGCAAAGTGGTAGACGCAGCATTATCATGGTTCTGATGCTCTGGCTCTCCAATCGGCGAGGGAACCCGTCGAATGCTAGCGGAAGCTCTTCGCGTGGCAACGCCAGGGCGCGTCAAAAGGGATCGACGACGCATTAATGAGAATCTTTGATTGCCGACCAAAAAGTGGGTATTGGAAGAAGTGGCGGTGTTATCATACACCGCACTGTTGTGCCTCTGCAGGGCAGTTCGTGTCGAGCTGGCCCGGCTAGGTGCCTGTTCAGAAACAGGCGAGGTTTGGGAGCAGGCTTCCGACTGGTACGACGTTCTTCTAGATCCGGCAGTCATCAACCTTGGGCGGGCTGAACGGCGCCTCTCAATGGCTGGGTTGTAATTTAAAGCTTGCTCTTCAGTCGGACTTTCTTCGGGTGACTCTGTCTCGAACAGTGTGGGTGGGATCTCCGCTTTTTTGGGATAACTGCCCCGTTTCTCCACGGGGCTGCTGATGTTATGACCAACCCATGGATTTTGCCAACCTATCAAGCCCGAACCAAATGAGGAATTATCTGGTTCTGGTTCTGGCTCTGGTGGAGGCACACTTAATCTTTTGGTTAGAGGCTTGGAGAGACGATTGGCACGGCGAGACTCGTCTTTGGTAGGGCTCGATTGAGAGTTGCCCATGGCTTCTGAGGCGCCAGATGCAAGGCAGGTGGATTCAGATTTGCTCCGACCAGTTTGATGGCATGCGCAGCATGGACGATGGCCAGAATGATATACAATTTGAATAAGGGCTTGGTGACAGGCTGGCGAGCACTGTCCCCCGCACAATTGGGGGGAGGGAGGGGGTGACCTAGGCCAGATATGTCCACACCAGATGGGAAATTGGCAGATTAGATCGCACCCCGGACCTCTTGACGTCAAGCCACACCCTTGTCCACAGAGGACACAATCCGAGCTAGTTCGTGTCCCCGTTCCGTTTGGAACTGAGCGTGCGATTGGCGGTTTCCAGGTTGCTCAACAGGAATCCGGAGTTGCTGGGGGGCTCCTGTTTCAGATGGAGGTGTGATGCAGGAATTGGTTGGACTGGATTGCTGGAAAGGAAATGAGGGTTACGTCAAAACAGGGAAAAGGTTGAATGTCCAGTGAGCATCAGTCGGATCGGCATTAAGATTATAGACAGAACAGAAGACGATGAAAAAAAAAAGCAAAGAGCAAATAGAAAGAAAAAAGAACAATAAGAGTGGGGGGAAAAAGACAAGGGAACGTACGATACATGAAGGAAGCCAAAGCTAGTCCATTGGACATGCAACTAAAAGACTAAGAGACGATATGCTTGCATTTGAACACGAACAGCAAACATCTGCATGCGGGAAACAAGGACTATGGGAATGTATGGAGCACGAAGGAGGTACTTGACGGGTACACAGAGCTATTGACTCCGCACGGGCGCATCGCGAGGTACCGCCCGTGTACCTGTTGCCCGCAAGCGGGAGAGGAAATGGGACCTGGGGGGAACCACACAGGTCAAGAGGTACCCAGGTACCCACTACTTGTCCTTTGTCACATCACACCACCACTCTCCCTTGTACCGAGTACTTCCCTGATTTTTCGATATCCGGTAGAATTCTCCAGTACTCCCAGTACTCCACTATTCCATACCTCGCAACATCCCAACAAACCCCATTGTCCATCTCTCCATACCCACTCTTCCTCTCTATCCGGTCATCCGCAATCATCCATATCGCCACGGAGCACTGCCATTTGATCTCGGGACGCGTGTACAGGTCAAGTGTCGGATTCGGGTCTAGAGCTCAGCCTCTCCGTTGACAGCTAGCTCCAGCCGCATGGCATGCTCTGCGTTTCCTTTCTTGACGCCGTCGGAGTTTGACGGTGCATGTCAAGCTCTAGCCGATCGATGCACTTCGGCCCAAGATGGCTGGTCTATTCGACTCCTCACAAAGGTATCCCTTGTCCCCATGCATGAACCATTAAATCTTATATGGTTCCTTAATCGATATAATTTTTTTTTCTTTGACATCCCCTTTTCTGATTTCTTGAATTCTTGAATTGTTAATTTTGATGTTTTTTTTATTGTTTTGTATATTCTTGTTATTCATCTACGTTCTTCGAGTTCAATTACTGACGGGGAGATATTACTGAATTGTACTAGCCAGGGAATGGTTTCAGAGTAACGAAATACATATCCAGCTCGGAAGTCACAGACCCAGTACAAGAAGATGATCCGGTCTGCACTTTTTCAGCCCCCAAGGGATGTGTGTCCACTTGATCTGACCCTTCACCGCAGGAAGCTCTCGTTCGCACCCAGCCCAGCTTACAGATAGACTATGACATATTGTGGTCTTCCGTATATCAGGTCCCCGTCTTGTACTTCGGGCTGAGGTCACACAACCACGGCCCACTCGGACTAGACGACGTCTACCAATATGTGGTGCCGGAGCAGTACAGGCAACAATTGAAGAGTGTGGGTGTCATGGGTGGGATTAGTATGGGTGTAGGTGCATGCTCGAAACCTCGTGACAAGAGCTCACGTCTTTTTCTTTTTCTCGTAGTACCATCCAGATTCAGGTGCCCCGACCTTTTTCGTTCACCCGTGCAACACCGCCGATGCTATGGCGCATATCGCAGATGCAAAGAACGTCACGCCTGGGTCATATCTCCTCATCTGGCTCGGCCTTGTTGGCCACTGCGTGAACCTGCACGTGCCACGCGAGTATTGCGTATAGTCCGGTACCAGACCGTCCTGCATGTGGAAAATTGGAAATGCGAGGCGAAGACTCGGGAGACTTTCCTCCCCGAAGATTAGATGAGTTAATCTTCATCCGAAGATGCTTCCATTGGCACATCACTGTCCTCATCCATAGGTGCCTCTTCGTCGTCACTTTCCTCCTCACGTGCACGTTTCAGACCTTGCCCTTCTCCGGCCTCGGTGGGTGGTCGGGCTGGAAGTGCACCCGGGGGACCACTGAAGATGGACTTCTGAAGATCCGTCGAGACGGGAGCTGGGGCAGCATCTTTGGGCGCAATGTAAGTGCCACGGAGTTTAGCAATGACATTTGATTGGCCCTTGCCATACACAATTTTCTAAACGCGGCAATTAGTGGTTGACAGGCACGTCGGAGGGCGCTCAAGTCCATACCATTTGTTTCCCATAGAACTCAAATCCTTGCAAGGCCCGCAGGGCTTGTGTGCTAGCTTGAACATCCTTGAAAACGATGTGGGCCTGGCCCCTCATTTTGTTGGTCTTCATGGCCACGACATCGAGCACGGTACCGTAGGTGGAGAAAAGAGTGTAGAGCGAGGTTCGCAGATCGTTCTTGCAGATTCGCTTATCGGGTAGGTTGGTGCAGTAGAGCCTGACAAGAATTAGCGCTGACACGCGACAGAATGTGGCCATGAATCTGCTTCACTCACGTCTGGCTGGGGGGACCTGTAGTAGTGGCCTTGCTGTCAGGGCCGCTACGGGAGGGAAGTGCTTTGGAAGCCATGATGTTTATGAGTTAAAATGAAGACAAAGTCTGCTTTCTCGACCAAACCGTCAAATAGATTGAGTGTGGGGAATTGAAGCTCAACCGCGTTCGCGGTCGCTAGAGCGTCGAAACCTCAGATCGAAAATGGAGCTCAAAAACACGTGATCCGGGTGACTTACTAATCACGTGGTCGTCATCATCCCCGGGCTGATCCCCTCCCCCCATCCCGCATCATACACAAGCCACCGACGGTAGAGAGATCCTCCTGTCGTTATTTACCTCCACCATGACAACTCCCCAGGTCCACCATCTGTTCCATGCCCCAATTGCAGACCACTCGTTCTCTACAGACAAGCAAACCCTCGCTGTCGCCCGGGAGAACAATGTGGAGCTCTATCAACAATCAGGCAACAAGTATGCGCTGAGTGATGAACTCAAGGGCCATGAGAAAACCGTTACCAGCGTGGACATTGCCCCCAACAGTGGCCGCATTGTGACTTGCTCACAAGGTCAGTGATGGCCAATTTGCTTGTCCGTCTTCCATATACTAACGTGCGCTGTACAGACCGCAACGCCTACGTCTGGGAAAAGACCCCCTCCGGATGGAAGCCCACTCTCGTCCTTCTCCGTATCAACCGTGCTGCAACTTTTGTGCGCTGGTCGCCCTCGGAGCAGAAGTTTGCCGTCGGCTCCGGTGCTCGAGTGATCGCTGTTTGTTATTTCGAGGAGGAGAATGACTGGTGGATCTCGAAGCATCTCAAGAAGCCTATTCGCAGCACCATCACCACCCTCGCATGGCACCCGAACTCCGTGTTGCTGGCAGCAGGATCCACTGATTCCCATGCTCGCGTCTTCTCCAGCTTTATTAAGGGCATCGACACCCGCCCAGAGCCTAGCGCTTGGGGCGAGCGCCTGCCTTTCAACACCATCTGTGGTGAATACCTGAATGATACCGCCGGTTGGATCCAAGGTGTCGCCTTCTCCCCCAGCGGCAACGCCCTTGCCTTTACTGGTCATGATAGCAGTGTGACTGTTGTCTACCCCAGTGCCCCGGAGCAGCCTCCCCGTGCCATGTTGAACATCTCTACGCGCATGCTGCCTCTTAACAGCCTCATTTGGAACGGCGAGACTGAGATCATTGCGGCCGGACATGTAAGCTTCATACCATGCTGCTGTGACATAACCTTGTTAACCCGATACAGGACTGCGAGCCTTTCCGCTTCCGCGGCGATGAAAACGGATGGCAACTTGCCGGCTCCTTGGAAAACAAGGCTGGAGATGCCGGCGGTGCTCGCGAGGAATCCGCCTTGAACATGTTCCGACAGATGGATCTCAAGGGTCAGGCCTCAGCAGACACTAAGCTCAAGTCCACCCATCAGAACACTGTGAACACCATTCGAGTTCATGAAGAAGCCAACGGGGCTGTGAGCTCCTTCAGCAGTAAGTACATTCTGTTTTTCCTTTTGATTTAGATGACTAACAATATCATAGCTAGCGGTGTCGATGGTCGTGTGGTGGTCTGGTCCGCGTGAGATAGCATAGGCATACCATACCACGTACAATTGAATAGAAATGTGTCAAGTGTATAAAAGAATCATGCATCATCCCTGATTTGTGCATGATCTACTTGGACCAATAGGATTCACGATGACATAACAGAGTAACCCCGGATTCCCACTTACGATCACCAGACTTCCCCGGCCCTTTTTTTGCCTTTCAATTCCCGGGGTCTCTCTCCTTTCTCTTCTCTTCTTTAAATATGGGCCGCTTCCACCCATTTCAATATGCACAATCATGACTAACATCTTGTTCATTCCCATACTTTTATACCTATGCCTAGTCGGGGTCATCGCCGGTGAAGATGCCACCCATGTCCCACGAGATGTCTTCGACTCACTCGAAGAACTATCCCGATTAGTGGATATCTCGTACTGTGTAGGCACCACAGGGGTCCGGCAACCATTCCAATGTCTCAGTCGATGCGATGACTTCCCCGACTTTGAGCTCATAACCGTATGTTATCCCGCCATCCCACCTCCCAGACCAGCAGCTAACATGCACCAAACTAGACCTGGAACACGGGAATCCTCCTATCTGACTCATGCGGATATATCGCACTCTCACATAGTACCAAGCGAATCATCATTGCATTCCGGGGTACCTATTCCATAACCAACACGATAATCGACCTCTCTGCCTACCCGCAAGCATACACCCCCTACAAAGGCGAGCCCGAAACCCCAGGCCCAAAATGCGCAAACTGCACCGTCCACGCCGGTTTCATGAACTCATGGCTGAACACCCGCACCACAATCCTCCCGCACATCTCAGCGGCTTTACAGCAATACCCAGACTACGAAGTAACGCTCGTCGGACATTCTCTCGGAGGTGCAGTCGCAGCATTAGCGGGTCTTGAAATGCGCCTGAAGGGCTGGGACCCGCTGGTCACAACATTTGGGGAACCGATGATTGGGAATGGGGACTTTGTCCGATTCTTCGACGAGCAATTCGGGTTCGGTGATGCAGTTGGCATTCCTCCTATGAAGGGTCGCCGACTTAGACGCGTTACTCATATCGAGGACCCGGTGCCTTTGCTCCCGCTTCGGGAATGGGGGTATCGAGCTCATGCGGGGGAAATCTTTATTTCTCGATCGGAGCTTCCGCCCACGATAGAAGATGTACATGCGTGCGTTGGCGATGATGATCCGAGATGTATTACTGGTGTCGGTGGTCCTGCTTCTATACTTGGACTTTATCGATATCGGCATTCTCCGTCGGCTTCTCGCAGTGAATGCGACCATGCCAACTCTTTATCTGCTGAAGAGCAGCTTGTCATGCGTAAACATGGCGATGAAGATATAATCGGATGCGAGGTGCAGGGTGAAGACGGCTTATCTGCCTCCCGGTGGGATTGGTCTCTTATCCCCGCAAGATATCGACTCTGGGAGCTGTTTTACGCTCATCGAGATTACTTTTGGCGAATTGGTCTCTGTGTGCCTGGAGGTGACCCAACTGGGTAGACTATGCGTGCCATCCTTGGATTTTGTTTCTTTTTTCTTTTTTTTTTTTTTTGGGCGTCTGGATCGCTTCTTCCGTCCAATCTTCTTTGATACCCTATATTGCTGCTTGATTTCAGTTTGATGGATCTAGATGTTTCGATATTTCTCCAAACCTCGGAACTGCGTTACCACGTTAAGTCTTCGGATAGTATACAAACAGTTAGGATAAACATTCTAATGCTAGTGGAACAGCGCAATCTCGTTATCGTACTCTGTAGAGAGCTAGAGCACACTTCAATCAGGTATCCAAACACGCCAAATGACAATTCAACTAGTAATAAAGATGTGCAGAAAAAGACATGGGTTTCATAAATGATCTGGCCAATGGAACAATCACTTTCCATGTTCCAAGCTCGGCACGATCACAGGACCGAACTTGACCACGTTTCCAAGAGCTCCTTCGCCCTGTACCATAAAGTCCGCGGCAAGGCTCAGCTTGCTCTGTGACCCAGGGTGCAGTTGCCCATAGGGCGAGCTCACAGTCTCCGGGTCATAAGCAACAATGGCAACATAATTCCGACGACCCATGAGCTTGCGATGCTCGCGGGCTTGACCATTGACGTCTGTCTGGAATATCTCCATCATGTCCTCCTTGGTGTCGCTGGGCTGAGGGGATGATCGGTGACCATTTGCGGGGATGTACAGTGGCTTGTTATGGCTGTGCAAGAGCTTAATGATGTATGATGGGGGAGGGGTGTTGACGACGGGAGAGGCGATGAGCTGGTACATGGTCTTGTGATCCGAGGGGTTTGAAGGGTCGTGGACAAGACCAGCGCCGCACACGTTCACAGCACCGGAGAGGAAGGTCATACGGAGAGACTTTTGATGTGCTATGCCTTGGAGAGTGCGGATAAGGTATGTGCGCTCGAGATCCTGGGACAATTAGCTTGGGGTTATCTTTAAGTAGAGGTCAGGGGGCAAACCTTAGATTCATGCGTCCACTGATCTCGCAACTCATCCATGGAATTGAATTCTCCAAATGGACTCAAAATGCCGCCCATCAGGCCTGATTTTCCCACAGCCCGCTTCACCGAGTCGAAGCCAGAGCCAACAAAATCCTTGGCACCTACCACGCCAGCCACAGAGCTTGTGACTTTACCCAGGACATTATAAGCACCGGTCACTGCACGTTTTCCTGTAGCGACGGTTTGAGCAATATGCTCTGCCGTTTCCAGTCGAGGGTAGATGAGCGGCACCGCCACCATCCAAAGGCAATGCTGCACACTCGGCGGAAGCATTGCGATTTTCGGGAAGAGACCCTGGTACGTGGGACCTGCCATGACCTGATGAGGGTTTCGCTCCGAGCGGCAATCTGGACCGACGACAACAACGCCGGGTCCAAGGTACTTGACGAAGTGCCAGCCTGTCCCAGTGATAGTGAAAAGATCCATATCGTTGTTCACATTGCGAAGGAGATCAAGGGTTGTATGATGCTGGAAGAGGAGATACATTTCAATCCCAATGCGGCCGATGTTCTTGAACATGTTCGAGAACTGCATGTGCTCAGGGTACGAGCCAAACCCGTCAAAGCTGGTTGGATGTCAGTGATTTTTCCCAAATGTAAAAAAGAGGGGATGACTTACATATCATGATCATCGATCTGACAGATATAAGGGATTTGCGCAAAAGATTCCCTGATATAGGGCTGATCGAAATGGCTGGTGTAGTAATGGAAGTATGCATGGGAGACATCCTGCTGTTGAGCTGCAGTCCAAGGAGCATTCTTTCGAGCTTCCTTTCCACTAATAGTCAGCCACTGCTTGAGCGACGGAATATCCTTCCACATCCTGTCTGCATAAATCTGGCCACCGAGACATAATTGGGTGTGGAATCCGCCAATCTCATTATGCTTCTGCATGATGTCTTTCCACATGTAACCTGCACCGCCCAGGCGAGCACGCTCATTAGCGTTTACATTGAGCGAGAAGTCATTCCCAGAAGTGGCAATGAATCGCCAGTTAGTTTCATGTCGACCAGCGACAAGGAACTCATAGCGAGTGCAACCCAGGTGGGAAGTGATAGCATATGTCCACTTCGCAGGGCCGGCATCGTCCATCTGCAGATCAATTTCATATTTGTAGAAGGTCCACCGCTGGTGAGCGGCGATATTGTTCGCCTTGAGCTGGCGCGGGTTTGGTGACAGGTCCATACTTTGATGCATGTGGATTGTTGGTGGCTGTGCGGCATCCGTAACCAGTAAAATAGACCCCATCCAAAGACCACGCTCAAGGTCCATATTGGTGTAGCGTAAGTAAGGCCCAAAGTAGACCCCATTGGTCGGCGCAGTCTTGTACAAGTCCATTCCACTGCTTGGCGGAGGCCCAGAGAACCCAGTCACCACAGGGGACTGTAAGCTTTCAAAGCCAGGGGTCATCGGCACACCAGGAGATGCAAGAGGCTGTTTGCCGAAAGCTGAAAGGCCTGGAGAAGCCAGTGGGTGGGCGCTGTATACACTTCCGACTGGAGACAAGGGTGTATCGTTGAGGTTGAGCGGCGTAGGTCCTTTTGGGAACTCCCATTGGGTGGACTGTGTGGGCAGATGAATGTAATAATATTGCCCGGAGCCTGGGTCCATGTGGGCAATCCATCCTTCGGGGAGAGGTGGCGGAGATGCAGGGGTCGCGGCAGAAGGTCCAGGAGAGGTGACTTGAATTGTCTGATGATGGAACCCAGACAAGTCACTAGCAACAGAGGCTTGAGAGGATTGTCCCACTTGGTGCTGTTGCTGCTGCTGCTGTTGTTGCGTCTGCTGCTGCTGTCTTGGGTCATTTGCAAAGGCAGGATGGTCTTGATTTGAGACTGACGGCGCAGGAGAGGCTGTAGTTCCTACAGTAGGGTGAGACTGGTTTGCTAGAGCTGGGTGCATCATCGCAGCTCCAGCTGCGGCTGCAGCTCCACTAGCAGCAGCAGCACCTGGCTTTTCAACCGGGTAGCTACTCGAAGGGGAGGGGCCAGATACACTTGAGTAGGCAGGAGGGGGGGAGGAGCTAAGGCGCATCCGCTCCATGTCTTGTTCCAAAGGATTTGATGGCACCCTTCCTGGTTGTTGCTGCTGCTGCTGCTGTGACACAGGAGAAGGGTGATGTTGGGATGGCGACGCGGCATACTGACTTGGGTGGGCCTGCGGTGGTGGGCTGTTGTACTGACCTGGGTGGGATTGAGGTGGCGGGCTGTTATATTGACCCGGATGAGCTTGCGGTTGCGGTGAGCCGTATTGACCTGGATGGGTCTGTGGCGGTGGGCTGCTGTATCCTCCTGGGACCTGGGGCGGTGGGCTATGATACTGGCCAGGGTGAGCAGCAGCGTGGCTATCCTCGCTCACGATGTCATCACCCTGGTAGACAGTGGGAGGGCCATGGGGTTGAGACCCGGGTTGCTCGGTCGGAGTCCATGGACGCGGTTGAGCAGGCTGAGAGGGCTGCTGGAACGTCGGCTGCTGGCCTGAGTATTGTTGCGCTCGTCTTTGGGCTGCAACGTTGTGCGATTGGATGCCCTGGAGGGTGCCGGTTCCGGCAATACCAGCCGCGGCATATCTAGCCTCGATATCAGAACTGGGCTGTTGGCCAGGTCCGACTATTGGTGTCTCCGGTGGAGGGGGTGAGCCACGCTGGGCGCGAGTTGTTGATGTCGAGGCGGTTGAGCTGATACGGTTGAGCGGACCTTGCGGGGGTTGTAGACTGGATGGGGGACGGGCCGCAGAAACAGAACTTTGTCGTTGGGGAGGCGGGTAATATTGTTGACGGTAGTCATATTGATTCGTGGTTGCCTCCGCTGGTGGGGCAGGCACAGGTCCGGCCGGGGGACGAGGATAAGGTCTCGCAGCTAGAGCTTCGCGATCTGGCGCATCATGACCTGGTGATTCAGGTAGCGGTTTAGGAGCGGCACCTCTGCGCTCGGCCAGTGTTGCAACACGGGGCTCACGACCGTCCCGCGGGCGCAAAGCTGAAGGGTAATCATTTGGGCTCACGGAGCCGGAACCAGGGCCAGCTGGCGGCGAGCCATATCGGACATCATGGTACCGATCATTTGAGCTCGAACTGCGCATTTGAGGACGTTGACGGTCATCGGGGTAGGGCAGCGGGGCATTTGGTGGGGGACTTGAACCCGAGGCCGAAGCTGGAGAGGATGAGTCCCGCTTGCTGATGCGCAGAGGACCGATGACCGGTGATTCTTGAACGGTATCATTGATAAACAGCTCCTCCGGATGGATAGAGCGATTGCTGCCACTCATGGCGCCGATTATCGAGGCTGAAGAGCTGCAGAAGACAGAATTCAGCCACAGTTGCGATGCAGTGTCCACGGAGATAAGCGCGTCGATCAGCTCTCCAATGTGAGGGGTAAATGGGGATGCAGTCAGGGCTATTCATAGACTATCTGCAAGACCGATCCTTCACCAGAACAAAAAAAAAAGCAAAAGAAGGAGTAAGAGGGGGAAAAAGATCAGGAGAACTAGTAGGCGCTCTGTAGCCGCCAAGGGCGAGACGCCGACCCCGCAGGTGACGAGAATCACAATTGCTGATCCACTCCAGAGCTGAAGTTTCAAGGATCAGGAGATGGCGGGTGTTGTTTTCAATTTACTCGTAGAAATCCCGAGGCCAGTTCCAATAAATTCATCTATACATACAATATTCGTTAATCGTGCTAACCCATTCAAAACATAGTTAAAGCCCCTGGCTCTCTCATTAAAATCCGAAATTGACCATCTGGAGACCATCATGGGCCATCAAATCAGCCCAATCCACATCAAAGGTGTGCCCGACATGCATCAGGCGTTCCAACTGGCGCTCGTAGACAATCTGCAGAATGGCACGAGTAGTCGCAGCATTGCGACCCATGCCATCTTCCTCGTCCTCCATGCTAGTCATTAATTCCATTGCCATCATCTTGATGCCACTGGCTGAAGCCGTAGCACCAGCCAAAAATAATGGGAACACCAAAAAGTGGCGATCGGCGCGGCGAGTATGTGTGGTTCGCTCGGCCAGTCGTAAGATCTCGCCTGCATGATGGTCAATTTCTCCGTCGGAGGAGTATTCTGACTCAACACGCTGGCGAGGCCACATGCTGCTATAGGAGAAGAGTTGACAAGTGTGATATAGTGTCGCTGACTAGATGGGGTTAGCACATGAATGGAGATGCAAAGTGGCAGTTAGAGAAAGGGAGGAACTGACTTGTTGCATGAATTCCCTAGACCGACGGGGGAGGCTATTTTGATGTTGGTGGAGGAATGCAACATCGGGAGATTCCCATAATCTGCTGAGCGCCTGGCGAATGTCACTTATCTCTTGTGATCGCGGGTTGAACTCGGCATAGGGCAGATTCTGCTTATCATGACGAACTCGGGTGGCTAAGAAGCCAAGTTGGGCAGCTAGTCGGAATGTGTCATGGTATAGACGCATTATGACGGGTAAGCTGTCATGCTCGTCGGCGTATATTACACTGTAGCCCTCTGGGGCATTTGGATAAAGGAGTGATTCTGATCCTGGGAGCATCTGGTGGTCGATGACGGCGCGGACAAACTCTCCTGTGCCTGCCCCACTGAAGAGGGCATACAGATCGATGTGAGATACCCACCAAAGGATGAAAGGGTGAGGTTCCTGGCCGTACTTGTCTCGTCGTAGGAAAGCAATGTGAAGCAGACGAGAGATGTGATGTGACCAAAGATTTGAGCCATGTGGCTCAGCAGCTGCAATCTATCTTGGTGTAAGTAATTGTCATCAAGGCATTAGATAAAGCCACATACCTCGTAGATAAGAAGAAGGAAGTGGGTGAGGAACAATCCGTCGGAAACGAGATCGTCGTTGTTCCGGAGGCTGCTTTGGAGTGAAGGGAATGCCTGCTGGTAGTATTGTAAGGCATCGACACTGTGACCTGTGCCGCTGTGTGAGAGACTAAGGGCCGATACAGCCATCATAGCGTGTGAGAGCTAAAGCGCGTTAGTATATATCAATCTAGACACAAATAGTAAGTAGAACTTACAGGAGGGAAATGCGTGGCTTCCTGCTCGAGGAAATCTACGCTGAGGGTCATGAAGTGGCTATCAGATCCAGACGAATCATCAAGGCTGTGGTCGTGAGGAAACAGTTGTCGCCATACGACATGACGAAAATGTGAGAATAGGGTAGAGTCTTGAGCCTGCTGATCAAGACGTGGGTCCAAACTTGGAATCTCCTCAATTTTAATGCCTGGCGAGGGAATAGAGGGGAAGATGGGCGAAAGAGACAGGTTGCAGAATGGATCTGAAATCTCCGAGGTGGGCGAGAACTTAAACAGCTTGCCGTTTGACGGTGAGCGGCGAGTGGCATCTTCAAAGGTCTTTAGGATGACAACATTTGGATCTTCTCTCGCACTGCATTCACTGCGAACAATTGACGTGGGACTGTTGGCTGCAGAGCTTCTACACTCGCTCGCTGGCTTGGATCTTGATTTCTCATCATCTGCATATTCAGGCAGAGACGAGAAACTGTCTGGAGTCATGACAACATGGTAAGTGCCCGGACTAAAGGCCTCTGCCTTTCTTTCCCTGTCCTCATCGGAAGTGAGGGTAGAAAAGGCTGGCAGAGAATCCCCGAGAGAGAAATAGTCGGTTCTCTCGTCGACAGAACTTGGTGAGGTAACTACTCTGATTAGTATCAAACTACTCAACCCGATCAAAGGTGCTTACGATCCCACACGACGTGGCCGTTTGTCTTAACATCGGCCATGCGGCCCATAATGCGGGGGGTGTCATCGCGAAACGCCAAGCGAGGGCGGTAATCGCAAGTGTGACCCAGACGGGTACATTGCTAATAGACTGGTGAGTAAATATCCAAGGGACATACGGTGAAGGATGCATACATTGCATTGTGGATGTCCTTCATCACATTTGACTAAGAACAATATTAGCCAAGCCGTTGGGAGTCACCGTTGGGGGCCAAAACAGGGGGGTCTCTCACCCTTTCGACTCTAAAAGATAGATTAATAAAACAAAGTCTTTAGCGAAGCCACAGGGGAAACAAAGAACTCACTCGACATGTCCTAGACAAAGAATAAGCTTGTATACCAAGAAAAGAACAGGGATAACTTACCAGCAACCCGTCCGAGACCGGGGAGGCAGGCGAATGCGTGGTGGCGCGATGAGTTTATCAGATTTAGCAAGCTCTGCAAACAGATCTTCCTTAGGGGCGATGATGGGCAAACGCAGTGGCGGTTTCCCCGAGACTTTGCTCCGGCGGTTCTGCATCACTAGACTGACCGTCATGAAGCCGCTGTAGCGGATGAGTACAGGGATATATATATAAATGAGGGAGACGGGATATGTGGCTTACAAGAAAAAAGAAAATAATGTAGCGAAAGGTAAAAGAATGCAAGGCTTATTAGAGGAATGATGTGATCATATATGTAGGGTGGGGATATTCAGGAAAAAAAATGCATGGTTCGTAGAATGGCGCAGCCCTGTTTTCAGGCTTGACGGGTGGCGGGTGATCTGAATCTCGGACGCGAGAAACAGGTCAGATCCCGAAGTAGATGTCCGGTTCGTCCGATTAGGAAGGGGGTGGAAGTGAAGAGAAGCTAGGTCTAAACGAGGGAGACCGAGAAAGACAGAGAAAGAGAGAGAGAGAGAGAGAGAGAAAACTGTGAATGGCACGCAGATGCCAACCATGTGGAAAGGATACTATTATTACTTTCCTGCCCGAATTGGGTTTTCCCCGGGCACTAGAGGGAGCTAGAGAAGAGACTAGAGCAAAGACAGGAAAACGGACCTTGACATGAAGGTAAGGGGATAGATGGGGGCTGGCTGAAGCCACGTACGAGTAGAAAACGATAGAGCGCCTTTTATCGGAGCCGAATGTGTTCTTTTTTGGTTTTTTGGTTTTTTTCTCTCCCAGGAGATTAGGACACTAGGGGACTGGATACGGAGTAGGGGAAAATGGGGGGGAAATTGAGCCAAAACAGAAAAGAGAAAGTCAATATGCACCACTAAAACTAAGGACAGTCTCGATCGGCCCGGCCCCCGGTCTGGATCTACACGCATTGTGAAGGGGGACGATATTCGACTCCTCCGCATTCCCAACGGACTTGGCCGAGGATTAAGCGAGTGGCGCAGCACTAGAATTGAATTGTGAATCATGAAATGGTTCATTATCGTCGGGTTCTGGAGAACTCTGCAGAATCCGTGCCTGAGATCCAATTAATCCGATTTTAACTCAAATAAACATAAATGGAGAATGAGATCAATGGGAAAATCATCGCTGGTTGATCCCTTTTCCGGTCTAGCTAACCGAGTATGATTGGTCTCCTTTCGATCGCTGCGATCCAATGGTTCCTCCTTCGGAAATTGGTGGTTCATCCAATGATCGTGACTCCTGAGCATGACTCAGGGTGCCACGTGGTTTAGGGCTTCATCGAGCAGTCGTTGCACAGTTCCAGAGCGCTCGCTGCTTCTCCATTCTCGGAGACTGGTGAGAAGTGCATCCGGTGCCCGGTCAAGTTTCAGGTATGCCAGAATAGCCTCTGCTCGACCCTTGCGGATGGCCTCGACAGATCCATCCAGTTCCCATACGAGAAGTTTCAAGAGAGAGTTCAAGGGCACAGCCTGTCGCTCACCGGAGGCATCCGAGATCCACTGATCCACTCGAGTGAAAAACGCTCGGAGCTCTTCGTAGCCTGTGCTGACGACCTGTCGTCCACCGTGTTGGAGGACCTGGTCCAGGAGACCGGTCATCTGTTCCACGTACTCTCCCAGCGCTGTGGTTAGCGTTAGCAAGGGTAAGACGCTAGGGGAAAGGGGCGGTTTTGTCTCTTCTTTCTCTCTTTTTTTTCTTTTTTCCTTTCTGGGCAAGAAAAATAAAAAAAAATAAAAAAAGAGATTGAACTCTCATTGGACTGACCTTTTCCAGAATCCGGGTTGAAACATTGCAGCAGACATTGTATACACGCTGCAAGGGTATCATCCTGGATCGAGCCATGTTTAGACTCTATTTCCATCTGATCTTCCTCACACATTTCTTCCACCACGGAAGGAATAATACTCAGCGCATCGGGCATAAAATTCAAATCTTTGCGTGCCTGTGCAATCTCGCCCATAGCCCGTAATCCGTGCGGCCGGTACAAAACGTTAGCTCGCTTCGCTTCGCGAACCGTAATCGTCTGACATACATTAGCTTTCCGGACCCCCTTTCCCGTGTAAAAATCATGCAATCATCATCGCGGGGAAAGTGGCAAAAAGTCTCACCTTGAGAGCATTTTCCTCCTTAGCTTGCCATTTCTTTGCCTGACTGCTGAATTTCGTTAGTGCCTTAAGCACGACCTCTTTTCCTTCCCAGGTCTTTCCCGCCAGCGCGCGCTCCAAGACCGGCCAAACCAATTGCGTGGTTGTCAGATCTATCTCCGGGTCAAGTGACAGCACTGCCTGCGCTATCGCCCGTGCGGCCGTATGTTTGATGGCCCACCGGGGAGAGTCCAAATTGTCCGAAACAAGGCCGACAATCTCACGGATGTACAGCGATACAGCGCGCGAGCCACCAACGTTGTCCTGCCAGGTTTTCTCGAATTGGTCTTTCACATGCTCATCGCCATCATGTTTACACACAAAAACGAATGGCATTGCGCTCGCTGCAAATGCCACAAATCGGTCATTGGACAACTTGGAGGCTGAGTATAGGATTTCTCCGGAGATGACTCGAGGCGTTGCGTCCTCAGCTGTGAGATAGAGATTTTTCGCGAACTCGATGGTCTTGAGGACGCGGTCGTCGGAAGCGAGCCGCAAAAGGTAGCCCATAGATGAGCAGTAGGATGCGCTGACAGTCTCGTTTCGGTCGACCACGTACTTGGTCAAGATCTGGATGAATCGGTCGGCGTAGGGCCGGAACACCAAAGTCTTCATGCTGAGGAGCACTAAGACACGACTGCAGCCAACTTTGGATGGCAGACCAACGGCTGACCGGAGAACATCTTCGAGTCTTTTTGCAAGCTCATCAAGGTTGCTTTCATCCAGATTGTCGATCAAGTGTCTCTCAATGACCTCCATCATGGGGGACGTGCGAATGCTGGATAGGCGCATCTTGTCAATTTCTTGGCCTGTGAGACCATATTTATCGGCATTGAGATGGACATAATTGACAGCCTGGGGTTCCAAAGAGCTAAGCGCACTCAAGAATTTCTCCAGCATGTTAGGAACATGCGGGCGCAGCAAGTTGCCGGGGCTTTTCTTAATCATAGAGATGAGTGCACCGATCGCATAAGTCTGCACCTCTTCGGCGCTGGCGTCTAATCCCTTATCACTCAGAAGGAATGGGATAGCACTTTTGAGCAGAGTGGCCGCCCGCTTTTCCGTACCGCTCGTCTCGAGTGTGCGGATCACGGAGTTGGTGATGGTTTGACAGAGCTTTAGAGCAGCAGTTCGGACGGACTCCTTGATATCGTCCAACAGCTTGAACGCCTTGCTATAGACTTCATCGAGGTAGCGGGCGAACTTCTCCGGCTGGCGACCTTGAATAAGATCTGCCACTGCAGCGCAGCTTGCTTGCCGAACACGCCATTCACGACCAGCAAGAATACTTTTCAGGAGATCTTGCATAATGTCATCGAAATGAGTATCAATCACAACAGTAGGATCCTTGACCAAAGCTTGCCAGATCGTGTTCATGGATCGCTGCACATTAGGATTGGGGTCAAATCTGTAGCGGAACAGCTTGGGGTAGATCTTAGGGTTCTTAGCCAAGTAGCCATCCACGCTAGAGTCAGAGAAGATGGTACTGATTCCGAACCGACCAAAGGCAGCACGGTTGGTCCAAATGGCATTGTTTGAGGCCAGTGACATAAATCTGTAAACCAGAGTCGGATCACCAGCCTCGGCAGCCAGGTTCATAATGTCTTTGTAGGTGTTGACAGAGTTTCCTTCACCCGTGGGCAGGGCACCCGGCTCAAATAGCTGCGTGTCAGCATCGACCTTGCCACCGCCGAGATTAGGGCCTGTCGCAGTAAATGAATCGACCAGGTCTCGGACCAGATCGTCCTTCAGGGATTGGTCGCCGATCTCATATACAAGGCTGAGTCCGTGCGCACCGGTTTCCTGCACCACCTCGTCCCGATTTCCAAGCAGACTGCTGAAAGTTGCTTGGCATTTGCGCAATCGTTCCTGCATTTCCTGCATATGACCGCAGTTCTTGACTAGTGACAAAAGCCAGATTGCGGACGCCTTCCGGAGAGATGGCTTGGGTGCGATGCAGTCAGCAATGATCTTGTCGCAGACTCGCGCAAACACGGTGCGAGGAACATCGGAGTGGGGGAACTCGGCATCGATGTCGAAGTCCTGGATGAGTGCACGAGAATCCCATCCAGTGGCGACATTGCTCAAGGCTTCACCCACAGTAAATTGAACCTCGGGGCTACGAATCTCATGGAGGCTGTAGAGAGACTCGAGGAAGGCATTGAACAAAGTACTCTCCGAGCCAGTTCGGGAGAATATCAAGGTCAGCAGACCTAAGGAACTGATTGGAACTTGGTTCTCGGTCTTGGCGTCGCGTGAGAGTTTGTCTTGGATCTTCTTCCAGCCTTCGTCGGAAACAATGTCCAGAGAGAGTACCCCGGACAAGCTCAGCTGGCCGATAGCCTCTTGGGCGGTCCTCTGAAGAAGTGTATCTCGGGACACATCTAAGATGTCAAAGACATTCTCGGCAAACTGTTTGACCTGGGCCGCTGGGATTCTGTCCAAGAGCCCTCGGTACCCAAGTCTACTTAGCAGATACGAGAGTGCTAAGATTGCGCCTCGGACTCGCATCACCTCTGAGCCGACAGCAGTGTTCCATGATTGAATAGCGCTGGTCAACTGGGCGGTGAAACTCTTCAGCTGTTCTTCCGGGAAGGCAGGGTGCGAGACCAGAATACCGAAGGCACGAGCAGTGATACCCTGATTATCTTGATTATTGCTGCAGATGGGCTCCATCAAAGAGGCTGCACGCGAAACCAATTGCTCGACGACATCATTTGGAGCTAGTGAGCAGATCTCCACGAAATTAGTACCACATTGTCGAAGACCTTCCGGCCCACCAGTTACGAGACCTTCGAGCGTGCCAGACAAGAGTGTCATCACGGACTGCTTTGCATGAGTTTGGATGTATTGTCTCACTGCAGCTCGAGCTTCCGGACTGGTAGACAGAAGAACTTCTAACTTGTAGTCCCAGTCCTGTTCTAAGTCTGCTGCAATTCCCGCGGCGGAAAACGCCTCCCAGAGCAAGGTATTGCGAAGGAACGAGACGGTAGGAACAAAGGAGCTTTTGTAGGGACCAGACAGAAGCTGTGATGCAGACATAGCCTGAACATTCATATGCTCTTCTTGGCCACCTGATCCAAGCAGGAATCGAGTAGCCTCATCAAATTTGGGGAAATCAAACCAGGATTGGTCTTGTTTTGGCGCTTCTGCCGATGCAGACCATTTTCCATCTTTGGCTGGGTTGAGAAGTCGGTACCAGTATGGATGGAGACCTTTCTTGCCCTCCTCGACGATCTCTTGCTGTCTTTCGGGGCCTCTTGCGGTGGCCATCAGGTCAATCCAGCGGGCTATCACATCAGCAAAGGGAAGGAAACGATTAGCAAACCGCACTGCAGCATATTGAACGCCTCGCACAGCACGATAACCAGTATCCGGGTCAACATCCCCAGGCTGCATGCTCATCTGGCGAACAAGGAATGGTCGCAATTGATCCTGGAAGAATTTGTCGTGGCTGTCTAGCGACGAATTCAGAATGCTTCCCAGCGCCTGGTCAATGCTGACGAAGATCTCGGAGCTCGAGTCGTCCGCGCTTAAAGACGCAAAAAGCCATCGGACCAGATTGAACTCAAAGTTCTCTTCATCAGATTGCAAAGAGAAGTCGACCTTGGGGACCATGATACCTATGCTTTCGTAGGCAAGGCCCCGCAGACTAAGATCTGTTGCAGGCAACTTCTGCCCGCTCGCTGCTGGACTAGGCCATTGTTGAGACTGTATAAAGTCCTTTAAGCCTGCGATGAGCTTGGGCGCGATCTCCTTAAGGTCGGATGGTGCACCCATACGAACCACCCAGGTAGTGAATGTGAATATTTGAGTTCGCAGTTTCGATGCTTGCAATCCTTGCGCGGATCTTGCGGAATCGGATAGAAGTCCCTCTTCCACGAGTCTCATAATCCTTTGTGGATCTGAAGTAGCTTTAACGGATTTGCCAAGGAAAACCAGAAGCTTCACTTGGAGTGGCGGTCGTGCCGGCGGAGCTCCAGGAGTGCCAAAGTACATATCGTAGAGCTCCTGCACAACATCAGGGTTCTCAATGTCCGCCGAAAATCGCTTGAGGGTTTCGTCACCCAAATCAGCGAGTCGAGAGTTGGCATCAGCCGATGCAATTAAGGAAGGCAGGAAGCGTTGAGGGTCTTCAAAAGCACCACTTCCGATGAATCGGAGGGCGGTGACCTTGGTCTCGGTCAAGTTCAACCCGCCATCTGCAGAAGGATTCCATGTTTCATTTGCAGGAAGGCCCTTGTTCAAAAATGTGTATTCATCAGGTGAGAGGCCAGGACACGTTGTGGTCTCCTTTGGCCCAGGGGTGAGAAGCAGCAATTTAGCCAACCAGAAGGACAAGAACTGAGAATCCTCATCCGACATACCAAGACGAACCTTAAGGGCTCGGTCTTCTTCACTGCCCTTGGATGGAATCTTGAGAAGTGGCAGCAAGCGCAAGACTAGATTGAACACAATTGCACCCTGGGTGGGCGAGGTCCCAATTTGGGAGATACCCTGGAGCAAAGGGAGCAGGATGTCCACTCTAGCCTCCGAACCAAGACGATCAATGCCTTGTTGGGCATAAATGAGGTCAAAGTGCCTGACAAGTTGGGATTTTTGTTCTTTGAATTGCTTCAGCAGAGCTGCGACGGGCAGTTGAATAGAGGGGTTTTTGACGCGGGTATTGACATGCTGGCAGACCGAGATGATTTTGTTGCGTACATCCACGCTCTCAGAGCTCAATTTCAGCAATAAAGGCGTCAGGTAGGTTCCCAGTAAGGTCTGCAGCTTCTCATCTGTGTCTGCCATGGCAATTCTGAATTCCACCTTGCCTATCAGGGTCAACTCCCGAGCCTCGGGGCTCTGTGAGTCCGCCATGACGAGAGAGTGGGCTTTGTTGGATCAAGGTAGTTCTATCGAAGCACCAAGCAAGGCAACTCAAAGCAAAAGAATATCAAAACGAACAGATAAACAAAAGCTATAGGCAACGACGACTCACGTCATCGTCAAGACGGCGGTCGAACATACTGCGGGCAGATGGCTTCATTAGTCATGTACTTAGTCATCTCCTGGGGACCGCCCGGATACCTCATATTGGAACCTTGTAGATGTGTGATATCTTTCGTATACTATCAATATTTAGGCTATTTACATCACGAAATCACTGTCCACTGGCCCTTCGCTCAGCTGCCTCCCCCCTCAAAAATCGGTCAACGTCCTTCTCGGCATTGGTTAAACGACTTTCACCCCTTTGTTTGACATTTCCGAAGAGACACTGCCAGAGGTCATCCTTCTGCACTATCTCTCCCCCTGAGTCACCGCTTTGCATCAAAGTTCCAAGGCGGGAATCTTGAATTTCCATGGAGTTTGCAGAATCGATAGCTGTCTCAGATAAATCTTCGATGGTAGTGCCATTGCCGTTAGCAGCTTCCGCTGGGGCGTGTTCGCATTTCTCTTTCTCGATGATGTGAGCTAGTCGCCGAGCCACCGATAGTTCGTAAATGGATTCCTCCACTGTGCCAGAGACGAGGTACATCCATACTGTCGTTGGTCGATGCTGGCCGATACGATGTACCCGAGCAATTGCCTGCAGCTCGATTGCTGTATTGACCAGTGGCTCACATAGGAAGACATGAGTGGCATTTATTAAAGTAAGCCCGGAGGACTGTGCCTTGCCGTGCAACAAAAAGCACTCAATCTAAATGGAAAATTTAGTATCTCGTCATGAAACTGACAAGGTTGCCTACCTTTGGGTCCTTTTTGAAGTTTTCGATGCCACTCTTGTGGTCAACGGTGGTGCTACCAATCCCAAAACGACCAAAAGCCTCTTGTAATACTGTCAGAAAGCTCCGGTACTGAGAGAAAACAATTGACTTGGCTCCAGGGTCTTGGGTCCGCAGCCATATGATGTGCCGGGCCATGGTGTCGATCTTCGTTCCGTAGGAAACCTTCAATTCAACATTCCTGATCTCTTTCAGATGCCCCGAGCTGATGTCACTGTATAGGGCATTTTGAGAATACCCACCAGCATGTGGCTTGGAAGATGATTTCTCCTCCTGTGCGGACAGGACCTGTGGTCGGTAGGAAATTGGGTGAAAATCCTTGCGCATCAAGGTCTTCTTGCACATTGGACAGTTGTGATGCTGATGCCACCATAGTTTCATGCAGTCGGAACAGAATTTGTGACCACATACAGTCAATAGCCCTGTACGAATGTTAGTCAGGACGCAGTCGCCTTCTTTGAACCATACTCACCAACTTCAAATGGGCATTGGCAGATGATGCAGGTTCTGGAACTGTCATCGGCACTCGAATCCTCCCTCAAGTGAAGAAGATACCTTGCCTTGGACTTCAGAGAAGATATTTTCTCCTCGGTTTTCTGTTCTTGCTCTGCCTTCTGGGCAAACAGAGCCTCGTCTAGTGGCATGCCCGCGCTCTGCTCATCGTATGGTGCGACAGTATCGGAAATTTGCTGAAGGTGGCGGTAATACTCCAATCGATGGTTCATGGCGTCACGGAACATCTCAACTTCCCTCTCTAACCCGCTCGATACTTTGAGTTGCTCGGCAATCATTTGGGTTGCGTTTTTCAGCACCATTTCAACAACTTCATGTTCAGCCCGAGCACGCGGGTTTCCCGCGCTTGCCTGCCACTCAAGGGAGGTAAAAATGCTCCTCAGTTCGCTGATAATCTTGCGAAGTGATCCGATCGTAGGATCAGGCATAAGCTCACTGCGGGCGTTCATGACTTTCAGAAACAGCTGAGGAGAAGGCCCCTCCCCCTTTTGGGCTTGAACGATGCCCGCTTTGACTTCATGGGAGATGAGGACATTCTTCTCACCAGTAAGAGCGTCACTTCTATCGGCATAGATCGATCGCAACCCTTCCATATATACATACATTTCATCTTGGTGCTTCGTCGATCGTTCATATTCATCGCCCTCGAGCTCTGCGTCTTCTTCTTGGTCAATCAGCGACTTTGTAACTAGCCCTGCCATGGTTTCACGCCATTCTTTGTACTGCTCGGCATGTTTGTTGAGAGCCTCGCACAGATCTTCAAAGTTGCTGATCACATTGTAAGCCTCGATTCCGCGGCTATAGATGTGAGGATCCATTTTCGGGATATTGACAAACTGCTTCCTTTGCGCCTTCTCTTTGATTGCCTTCATGTGGCGATCGGCCTTTTGCGAGGCATCGACTAGCATCTCTTTTCGAATGACCTTAGCAGCCTCGTAGCCATCTTCTTCTCGTTTTTGAAGGGCTTTGAACTCATCCGAGTCGGGAACCGTCAGGTTTGGATCACTCTTGATCTGGTAAAATGCATTGGCAGTGAAGAACACTGCAATATGTTGAATCTCAAGTGCGCCTCGGAGCTTAAGTCGACATTGGCCAAGGCGACTGTTCTTATCTGCTTCTTCGGGATCCTCAAATAGGCCTGGGGCATCCTTGTTGCTAGCATTGTCTTTAAGCAGGCGCAATTGCTCTCTGCTGTCTTCGACCAGTTTTGTGGAGTGGTCCAATGCTTTCTGCCAGAGAACGAGAGCTTCTTGACGCTTCTTTGCATTCTCCAGGAGTTGACCTCGTCGAAGCTGCGAGAGAAGAAGTGACCGCTCTTCGCTCCGGAGGGTTGCCTCGTTGGCATCAATCATTGACTCCAACACATCATCCACAGTCCGCAGCGGGGCAGCACCTGCTATAGCTCGACGTCTATTTCCGGCAATTTCAGGATGGAGGCAGGTTTGGCGAAGTCTTGTTAGCCAGGAACGCATTTTATCAATGGTCCGAGGATCTGCGGGGTCCCAATCATCACGAAGCGGACCTCCTGTGGGATCCAGTTCGCACTCCTTTCTCATTTCCTTAAACAATTGCTCATATCTTTGCTCCTCCACTGCTGTGAATGGAGTGGTAATGACAATCCGCTTTTGGGGTGGCAGACGTAGCTCATCGCGTACGCGATCCTTGGTATGTCTCAGAGCAATCGTGCCGATGATGTTCACCAAAACGGGACCAAAGCGGGAATGCAATCTCTTCCAGAGTGGATTTGAATAGCAATACGGCCCGTAATGGAGAAACAGGAAAAGACCGAACAGATCATCGATGTTCTTTCGCAGTGGTGTACCAGTTACAGCCCAGGCATTCTCTCGAGGAATCATACGAGCGACTTGAGCTGCATGACTGACTCCACTCTCAACCATCTGGGCCTCATCCAGACAAACACGCCACCAGGAGATGCGGACTAGCGGTGTTTTCCTCTGTTCAAATCGCTTTTCATGTCGCAGATTCCGCTTCGGGGCTGCGCCGGCATAGTGGATTTCTCTGGAAATGACACTATATGTGGTAAGAACAACATCGAATCCGGCAAGGTCGTTCATAACCTCATCGTCATCGGCTTTTCCTTTGCCAATCCTGTTGGAGGCAGTGCGTTTGATGCCAGTGTAATGGTGAACACTCAAGGAAGGGGCGTGTCGTTTTAACTCTTCTTTCCACTGTTCAAGAATCGCGGGTGGTGTGATGATCAGAGTAGCACCGGAAGACTTGAGCCCCTCGGGGTCAGCCTTGAACGTTGCAGGTCGACGATTCGAACATATCAATGCTGTAACCTCAACAGTCTTGCCCAATCCCATTTCCTCAGCAAGAATGCCACCCCTCAATGAATTAGCGGCATCGTACCACTGGGATAAGTCCCTGATCAAAACCATGAACAATTGACTGAAGTAGTAAACATTGCCATCTGCGTCTTTCTGGCGATGAAATGAAGCCGGCAGGCTATTAGTTGACGACGTCTCTATTGGGGCAAGGCGGCCATCTTCCTGGACATCTCGACCTTCTCGTCGTAGCAACCATCGGACTGCGCGCTTTTGAAACGGGAAAAGGTCACATTCCATGCCAGGGAATTTCAGGTTTTGAGCCAGAGTATCAGCGGCGTCGGGGACATGAACGCTGTTGTAAAATTCTCGCGGGGTCCATTCCCGGTATTGTCCCAACATTGCCTCACGGCGACTGGCCGGATCGGTCATACTTGAAAGCAGAGAGCCCCCTTGAATCACGTACTGGGTGAAGACCTCCAGGGTTGAGTCTTGCAATTTGTTGATATCGGGAGTTTCCAGCGACTCTGTCCATAGAATCACTGTTTCCAGGCTCAAATATTCACTGCCAGGTGAGGCGCGCAAATACACTTGGTGACAGGCAACCGGAGCGCGGGTTGACGATCGATCTGCGGGTGTTAAATTACAAGCGAGCTCAATCTGCTTGGTTAGATCGAGCAGCGCTGGCTCACAGCATGAATAAAATATTAACTGCTCGCCACTGTAGTTCGTAACTTCAAGTTGGGTGCAAGAGGGTTTGCCACCCGTGCCATGTTGCGAATCCGAACTGGCTGAGACGATTACAGGGATTCGAATTTCAGAGTCCACTGAGTGCTTTTCCAAGAGAGCAGTTGACAATTTCTGCATGAAAGGTCAGATCACAGTATCTAGGCAATTTGAAGGACTGAGGGTGTAATTTACCATGCGTAAAGTCAGTCGCGCCACTGGAATATAACCCAGGGGGATTCCAGTCGTCGAGATTCCATTCTCTTGGGAAAGATTCCAGGGCCCAGCTTTGGTAATCTTGCGCCGTTTGAGAGGAGGTTTATCATCACTGGCAAAATCGCATTGAGATATTGGAAGTATAGACTTCACAGCCTGGTCTAATGAATGGTATTAGTGTCATTGTCCCGTTGAAGAAGTTGATAGGTTAATGTCAGTACCCGGCAGGACGGCCTCTTTAATGACGACGGTCATCTCACCACATGGAGTGTTGTAACAAAAGAACGGGAGACAAAGGAAAAGGCGCGACGCTTGAATGCTCAAGTGGTCATGCCGCTATCCGCTTATCGATAAGATGAAGCCCAGGCGGACAATCATAAGCCCGAACCGCCCTACGAATATCCCCACCTGGGCAGATCCACCATCGGATCTCAGCTGCAACTATGGATGATGTTTTCCAAGTTGGGATCAGCTGGAAATACACGCTTATTAAACCTATGAATATCTCTTTGAAGACGGACACGTCTCCTCTTGAGGCCTGGAGCTGTTATATATTGTGAGGGGGGAAACGAAGGTGAAACATTGGAAGTCGCAGAACAATATCTGTTGAAACCCAAAGATAGAAGGTGTATAAGTGAGTGCAAAGCCCTTCTAATAGTTGGAATGGAGTTACTCAACTTTCTCCCAATGTTCCACGTTGTGTAGCTTTTTCTGTAGGTAATTCAAGGAAGCGAAATTTTGTCGACTCGAGGGGCTTTTCAGGAGGGTTGCTTGGACTGAGATGACTTTCCCAGGGGGCCTCTGGACGCTATCCACTCATTTTGACTGCCTTATGAAGTTATGTCATAAACAAGACTACCATTAGACGCAAGAACGGTCCGTTGGAAACTTTGGCCATCCATGCTGCTTGCAAACTCTTCAAATGTTTCGCCCCAGGAGCTGGAGTTCTGATCAGTGATATATTTAGAGTGCGCATCACCAGATTGACGTGTGTGTATATGAGATGGTCCTGAGCTCATGGTGTAAGTGGAGAGACCAAGTCCTCCTGTAGCGTCAATATGAAGACCTCTCTCCATTCGAGATCTCACAGTCACTGCATCTCCCAAGTTGCCATACGATTGTTTGAAAAATAGAGGATACCCAAATGCAACACTGTGCGAAGCAAGCGTCTCGCCAAGCTTGGTGATAGTATTATTGCCGGTCGTGAGTTGTGTGTGGACCTGTTTGGATCCTTGCTGGCTAAGTAGACCTTGAGTAAAGAAAGAATAACTCTGAACCCATGAATAAAAAGAGGATTTCGCCTGGAAATACCGTTTGACACTCACAGAATACGACAAGGAGTCGTTTCCGCCTGTTTTGTTTTGGGCAATGTCCCGAGTCACAGTGAACGTCGGTGGGGGGTCTTCTATCTCGGGTCGTTCACTTCGTCGGGCAACAATAGGCTTGGTAGTAGGGATCTCACTGTCACAGTAAAGAAAGATGTTGCCGCTGGCAGTCCAGTAAGAGCCCACTGTGTTTGAAAATGTGACATCCCCATCTGGAGACACATCTAACCCGGTAACCCGGATCTCAAATGAATGCTGCTCGCCATCTTGGATCATGGAGAGAAATGGGGAAATATCGACTTCCGGCTCTCGAAGATCAAATGCATCAATCCCAACGATCGGATGCCAGAGTCCTGGTGCCAGCCCACCCGTGAAAATGATCGGAAATGGCCAAACAAGCCCTGCAAGGACCCCATCAATATACAGTTGAATCTCCCGAAACGGAGTGTATCCGTACAGTGCATAAACGGGATCATCAAAAACTTGAGTATCCCCAGAGAAGACGTTGGACCACCAGAACTCTTCCTGTGATTGCCCACATGCTGATATCGATACAACTGCACGCGACACGGCTGCTGGGATTGTATACATAACTGTTGTGTTGTCCCTAGGGAGATGAAAAGCGCTTGCTGAGTTCGAGGTCGACTTTCTAGCAGAGATTGGGAGAATGAGGTCTGCTGTTTTTACGTTGTTCTCGTAAGAAAAATGTGCCTTGAGTGTAGCATTAAACGAGCCAGTGTAGACGTCGGTAATAAGATTCCCCAAGTCGAAGATGAGTGTCTGGGGTGATTTCCACAGCGAATTGTACTGCGACATATCTTTAACATATGTCCATATAATTCCATCTGCCCTCGGCTCTGCTGTTGATGTCCGAAATACTTCATTGTCTCCGAGGTACATGGATGCTAATCGGTCAAACTGTCTTCCCCGGGAGGTGATTGTGAGGTCGATTCGAACGGTATCGAAATTGCAATCTGGAGGCTCATAGTTGCCTATGACAAGTTGTTAGTCGGATTGAAATGTTTCCTCCAAAGTCCAGTAGCCTACCGACGAAGGGCACCCCATAACTTGCTCCAAATATATGCTCCATGAGCACTATTTCCACATCACAGCCATTAGCTCCGCTTCCATTGAATTGAATGGGCCGGCTGACTTGGAACACACCCTGTAAGGATGTTGAGGGAGGCGAAGACAAACGGCGAGCAAGATCGCGCATGTTGTGACGGAACAAAATAACCACTGCAATAAAAGCAGACAGCCACCCGATGAGTCCCAAGGCCAATAATGCCCATCTATAGTCCCTGCGCTTGGTATTTGGCTCGACTGGGGCTGATCCAGAGCTGCACTGATCCATCCTAACTGTATAGAGGCAAGGATATCGCCAGGAAAGGTTTGATTTCTGTACCTGCGCCTTGCTCCGGTCATCAACTCAAGAGAGACCAATGGCCTTATAATAAATAACGATGACTGTATCGCAAGAGTTGAACATAAATATAGTCTTCCCACGGGCCCTGGTAATGATGGATTGCCCGTAGCTGAGTGGTCGCGGGGTGTTTTTCTACAAAATTGCGACGGCGAACTTTCCAACCCGGGCTTTTGAGTCGTCGGGGTAAGTCTGAAATATCGGTAGTTTGAGAAGGAGCGAGGCTGGCCAGACTGACTAGTGGTCTGCCAGAGAAGGTACGCGGGCTATCAAATAGGGCAACTGCGTCATGCTTTGAACGCAGCTTCCATATAGTGTGAGATAGGCCATGGGCAGGGTATTTGAAGAGTATAATTATGCGCTGGTGAAAACCTTCCTCGATCTGAATATTTTGATAGAAAAGAAGAGCCAAGTCATACTTGGTGTCTAGATAAACAGCAAAGCTAGACGAGAAGAGAGTATGTTGTACAAAAGAAAAGAAAATTGTCAGACACCGTCTGATATATGAAAGACATTCTCACTCCGTATCCAATGCAAGCGCTGGGTCGATCCCAAGAATCACATAAACAGACGCCAGGCACCAAGAATAAGAGCAGCAGTACCGGTGCAAACACCCCTGAGGAGAAAAAAAAGTTAGCATAATCGCATACCAGAAAATTGAATAAGCGCCTTACATGAGCCATTGCAAAGTCGAGAACTTGACAGCCTCGACCCGTTCTCTCAAACCAGCCACCTCCTGCTCAATTCGAGTTTCGGTCTCCTTAATGCGCATTTCTTGGCTATTAGCTTCTTCGCGAATACGACCCTTCTCCAAGTTGAGGTCTAATCGGACAGAGGCCTGTGTACGACCGATTTCATCGCGAAGTCGAGAGTTGAGCTTCGCGAGATCCGCTGTAATCTTTTCGTGTTGTGAGCGGGTGGCATGTGCTTCAGTAGAATCTGAGTTGAGGAGCTCAGAGCGAAGTTTGGCGAAATCGACCTTCTGTGTGTATGTTGATCGTTCTGAGTCTGGATCCGTCTCCCGTTAGTTATCCAAGCATATGAACACTGTTTCACGGTGCCAAGATAAGGCAAGGTATCATACCTTCTCGGAGGACCATTGTCCTAGTCAGGTTTTGGATCGACTCTTGAATGATATCATTCAGGACCCGCATCATGGCAACAGATTGCTCCTCGCTGAAACCTTCAGCCTGGAGGCGCTTGACGAACTTCAAGGTGTCGAAGTGATGGTCGCGAGAGCGAGTTGGGGTCGCATGGAAAGCGCGACGAGCCGGGTTAAAGGTCGCGACATATACCCCATTATGTCGGATGGGGGTTGTATTTTGGGTTGTCGGCTTGGTTGGAGAGGGTTGGCGGGAAACGAGAGCACTGGAAACAAATGCCCCGGAGGAGGTGTATGCGAGGCGCGAAGACTGGAAGGACGAGCTCGATGAGTGGATTGTTCGTTTTGAGGGAGTCCAGCCTTGTGAGAGTGGTCGCTTTTGGCCGAGTGCGGGATAGTGGGAGATGGTGACGGAGGGCCGTGAGGAGGAGCTGTTCCAGGTCAAGCGGGGAAGGATAGTGCGCGGAACCTCCACGACATGTTTTTGAGATGCCATGTCGATGACAGACTGGGATTTTCGTATGATGATTATGATGCTCAAAAGGAACGAAAGATCCGTAACACGAGGAGCCCCGGGGCCCAATCGGAGGATGACTAAAAAAATCGGGGAACCCGCGGGTTGGAGATCGACAGTTTCCCGACGGCCCCATCCAGTACGGAGTACGGAGTATGTATAGATCAAAGGCTGCAGAATTTGTTCTATTTTAAACTGATCTCATTCAAGTTGGACTCATATCAATCGCAGAAGAACGCTATCACAATTCCATGATATTAACCTTGGATTTACAGGTCAAACAGCTCCTTGAGCTGCTTAATGGTATCCTCTGGGCCGTGAACAGAGTGTCCAATGGTTCTAGGATCCTCATAGATCTCATAATCATTTCCTCCGACAAAGGTCTTGTCGCCGAAGAAGTGGATGGTCTTGTACTCGATGCCGGAAATACCCTTCTCGGCCTCGATGTGCTGCAGGCAGTAGGTCTTGTCCCACCCGGTGGGGAAGACATCGAAAGAGATTTGACCACCAATGGAATAGCTGATATTTATTGTCAGTACAGTTCCCACATCCATGCGATAATTCGCCAGAGCACTCACGTGAGACCGTAGTCGGGGAATTCCTTCTTCAGGGACTCCACCAATGTCTGTCTGATGTTGTGGATCTTGTCAAAGCTATATTGCAAACCAGTTAGTGAATTGTTCTCGCGCTCACAGAACCCCAGTTGAACAAAGCATTGGTACATACGCTTCGAACTCATCACGCTCCTCGATGCTAGCGGCACGGCCAACGGGGCTAATGTTGACCATTCCGTTGCGGAACTCAACGAAAGTACCACGCTTTCGGGGCAACTTGGTGTTGGCAATGAACTTAAGGACGAAGTCAACCAGAGCCTGGTACTTGTCTTCTCCGAGCCATTGGATGAAGTTATTGCTGGCAAGCGACTCGCCGAGGCGGAATGCGGTCAGACCGTTCTCAGAGAAGCAGAAGTCGAAGAGGGAGGTGACATCGACGTTAGGAGAGCCAAGTTGTTCTTGTTGCTTCACGAGGTTCGAACCGCCGACCTGAATCACGTTAGGGGCCGCATGGGTTGACTGGTTGGGGGACGAACGAATCCAATGGCGGTCTTGTGGCGTAAGCGAGAAAGCAGCTCGAGCATCTCTGTAGAAGCATGCTGTAACGGTATTTGTTAGCAGCTGATTGCTCAAAAGCTTGGGATTCACATACTCTTCTTGCGGGTGTGAGGGTCTCGTCAACATCGAACAGAACGACTGTGTTCTGGATGGGACGGTCCACTAGGGACGGGTAAACGCTAGCAGCTTCAGTCATATTGGATACAGAGTTCAATGAAGAAATGGTCACAGCAAAAATGCAAGGCAATTCGGGGGGTAAATAGAAAGAGAGGGGCCCTTTTTGGCCGCAAGCGGTGAGTGATGGCGGGACATTAGCGTAGTTGTCCAGAAGCAGAAGGCCACCTGGTTTGTCTCATTTGGGACTCGATTGACTCGAAATTAGATCGGCCGCGTATTTATCTTCAAATTCAACGACATTCAGCATATAGTATGGGCATTGGGCCCCTTCAATGTTGGTATGACTGTTATCGATAAGAGATAGAGGGGTTAATATGGATATGAGGAGTAGATATGTATGAAATAATCTAACTACAATGATATATGTACTTCCTTGCATGTGTAGTCGCGTCGCACGACTTTTAGTACATGCAGCCTCACTAAAATGAACCAAATCATCCGAGTCCGAAACAACCAAAATCGACTTTCACGCCCGACGCCCAAACCATACCTCAACGGCCCATAGTGGACTGGAAGACCTTCGCCGCAAGCTCACTCAACAGCCTGGTGCGATCTGGCGTGGGAAGATCTAAGAATACCTCGTAGACACTCTTTCCCTTTGCGTCACGCACGGCACCTAGACGGTTACCCGCGACAGCACCAGCAAGGGCGCCAGGGAAGTTGCCAACAATGAAGCCCATTGCGCCCCCACTGACACCGCCAACGAGAGCCCAGAACCTCCCCGTTGGGCGAGTCCTTCTGCCGCCTTGTCCATCATTTTCCTCAGCAAGGCCCTCCTCTCTCAGCATCTCCTCGAAAACAGACCCAAACTGGTCGCTGTCCCGGTCATCGCGACTACCACCGAATCCAAAGTTGGACCAGGAGAAGCCACCGGGTGGAACTTCTTCCTCTGCTTCGGTCTCTGCCTCAAATGCGCGGGTGGAGTCATATTCACGACGGCGTGTGGGGTCAGAAAGGGTATAATAGGCATCGTTGATGTCTTGGAACTTCCGAGTGCGGGATGGTCGCTCTGGTGAGTCGGCGGGGACTCGATCCGGATGGGACTTCAGTGACTCCCTGTGGATGTTAGACTGGTCTAGATGTCGATATGGTATGACTATTCGTACCTCTTGTAGGCAGTGCGGATCTGTTGTTGGGTCGCATCTTGGGTGATGCCCAAGATCTTGTCTGATCAGTGTTAGTCGATATTGTTTAGTGTTTGGACTGGTATCTTACAGTAATCGGGTGCTGCGAATATGGTTAGTATACCTTGAATATGTGATCGGGTCCAACTTACTTGACATCTTGAGCAACTGAAGAATACAAATGAGTAGAAGAGAAGATACCCAGCCAAGTGGCATCACATGCAGTGACGTCGTTGACGCCTGAGGCAGGAGGGACTACCATGGTTCGAGTGACATTTAATTTCGATTATTTACTTCGTTCTTTTGTTTCTGTTGGTACTTTGACAGTGCAAAGGTACTAGGGTATCTTCAGATCTCAAGATTGATGGGTAATTGCTCTGCTACTCCGTACAGATGCCAAAGTGGACTAGACTCGTCAGTATGTCTGAGAATTGTGCGGGATTAGGTTCAGCCCAGCCACCCCTTCCGCCAGGGGCTCTCAGTCGCTCTAATCATCGTGATTCGAAACATCCATTTACAACTAACTGGAGTTTTCAACAGTGACCACCTGTCAAGAGGAAATTTCCTGCATGAATCTGTGGAGCTGGTGCATTCCTCGGCCTAGACCTTTCACATTGCGCATTGCTGCAGCTGCTAGTGGCTGACCTGCGTCCTGACTCTTTCCATCTTTGAATTGCCACACAGAAGGGCAAAAAAAAAAAAAGTCCCAGAACCACAGGCGCACAAAAAGCAATTGAAAGTTCCAATTCTTGTCAACAACCCATTCATCTTCACTTCTCACAGCCACAAGCACAATGGGTTGGTTCGACGGTAAATCGAGTGCCTCCTCCTCAGGATATGTACGCCGACGGTCGCCTACCCACTCCAAGTCCGGGGCTTCATCCACCCACCAGAAATCCGGGTTTTCCACTCACCACTCGCGACACTCCGCGCCCACCTTCTTCACCGGTCTGGGTGGAGGATTAGGTGGAAGTCGATCAGGCGGCCGATCAAGCCCATCGGTCTTCTCCTCGTTTTCGTCGTCGTCTCGTCGCGCCCGACCCCGTGAGGGCTTTGTGCAGCGCATGATTCGCGACATCAAGAGACTCTTCCGCGACATCTACCGGTATATGCGCCGCAACCCGATGAAGGTGTTCATGATGGTCATCGTGCCTCTGTTGACCAGTGGTGTTCTGCCGAAGTTGCTGGGTATGATTGGCATTCGGTTGCCGCATGCCGTGATCTCCGCTCTGGGTGGAAGTGTGCCGAAGCCTGCTGGATACGCTGAGGCTGGTGGTCGTGGAATCTCAGAGAACATCAATAGCTTGATGAACATTGCTAAAATGTTTGCTTGAGGTGTGACCATCTTCGGGCTGTTCTCTGCAATTTGCCTCTCGACCCCTAACGATCATCATGATAAACCGACTGTGACCCTTGTTATGCCCTTTTTTCGATACTCCGACAATTTCTTTTCTTTTCTTTTCTTTTCTTTTTTCCCTTGCTTTCTTGATCTCCGGTGTTGTGTTGTGCCGTGGGAGGCTATCTGGATTCGATAGATCTCGTCTTTGTTTTCTTGCTTTTTTTCATCACGAACAGCCCTTCTGGCTTGACAGGCTGAAAATGAAAATACTTGACCCAAAATCTTTGGGGCGCTAGAGTGGAGGTCCCTATTTATTAAGTAGGCTAATCAAGTATGGGTGCCCAAGACCGGACAGCTGTACACCGCAGGTAATATCTGCACTATGTATGTGGCCCTTGGGGACCCGCCAACGAACTATTGATCTGAGAACAAACCGGTCTGTGCCACGTACTACTGATCCCGGATATAGTGTTCCAGATTGGCCAACCTTACTCTGTACAGCTCTCCTTTTCTCTATTAGCAGTGGGTGGTAGACTCATTCTACGACATTTTTCCAGCGAAATTGACAATTTTCTGTCTCATTTCAAAGTATGTGTACATTTTATTCTAGTTGACTATTGCGAACCAAGTAATTTTATAGCAAGGCCGACAGTTTTCGAATGAGCAAAATAGCATTACCGACCATTAGTACCCAAGCTCATGACCGCTGAGAGCGCTTTCCACGCTTACGAGAGCGAGTGTTGGAGGTAGCAGTAGTCTCAGCTTCCTCAACAGGCTCCTCGGCTTCGTCAGAATCAACCTCCACCTCAGCAGGGGAAGTTCCCAACACCCGGCCCACGGTGCGGTTAAAGGCCCAGAGGGGAAGCTGGAACACCATAGTCTGGCGGATACCAGGGCGTTCAATCTGATCGATATCCAAGAGGAACTCCTGGCGTTCGCCATCCTCGTTCTGCTCTTCCAGGAAGACATTGCCAACGGAATCAACGATCAGCGTCTTGCCATTCTCGGCAACGACGCGCTTCCGCTCCCCAACGCTAGCACGCTCGGGGTTGGCAGGCTGCTCAGTAGGAGTAGAAGTACCAGAAGCACGAGCATTCCGAGGGCCCTTCTTCTCCTTCTTGTTCTCCTTGTCCATCATGCGCTTCTGGCGACGGTTGACAGCCATCGCACCCGCACTCTCCGCCTCAGGGGCAGGAGGCTCAGCAGCAGTGTCGATTCCAGGAATACCACGCACTCCCATATCATCACCCCAAGCAGCCCGGCGAGCCTGACGGATGTAGCGATCCACGAACTCGCGCTGGCGCTTCCACCCAAGGATCAAAGCAGCGTAGTGCGCACCACCACCGAAGACGAGGAACAGACCGGCCAGCACAGAGCCCAGTCCAGGACGGAAGCGCGAGTAGTAGTATCCAGTACCCTTCCACAGGGGGAATCCATTCTTGAGGAAGTGGTCGTAGCGCTCCCGGCCGGGGCCACGTAGGACATTGGCAACAAGGTTGAGACGAGTGGAGCGGGCGTGGGCATCCTTGGTGGCAGCATCGATCTCACGCTTAGAAGGACCCTTGTTCACATTGACGCCCTGCTTGGACTTGGCCTTGGACTTGTCCTTGGAGTAGTTGGCGACAAAGGCACGAGTGACCTTATCCGGGTGCAGGGTACGGGACTTCTTGCGGTAGGCTTTGGTGATCTGTTCTTGATTGGCATTGGGGCGAATCTCGAGGAAATCTGTTCAATTGTTTAGAACGTCTGCCATTGAGTTTTCGGGGATGAGTCTTGTTCATACCGTAGAAAGTCACGTTTGCACCTTCGTGTGTGGCCACATCATTCTGAAGACCGAAGATCTCATAATCTGAAGCAAATAAGAAAAAGAAAGGGTTAGTGTGTACTCCGTATAGGAGGTCAATGGTTTCACACACCTTCTTTAGACCATGCGGCAACCAGGCCGAAGAAGACGAAGAGGGAGAGGAAAAGAGCGAAAGGCTTCATGATGATGGAGCGGTCAATGCCGCGGAGCCCAGAATGAATGAAGTGGCTAGAACGACTGCACGAATAAGCAGATCAGCTCAGTTCAAACAGTGGAGGACAGTAAGGAAAAAGCGGTCGGGCGCTGGTGATCCACCCTTTTTAGTCCAACGTGGCCCAATCGATTACGCTGCATCTCGTCAATTCTCTGCTTCTTTTCGATGACTCTTGTGAGGGGAAGTCTACAGTAGTCTGCATGTTTGTATCTGAGCGTACTCCGTTCACGGGTATATATAGAGAGGCCCCCAAGTGTAGAGACGTGTGCTATTGTTTATACATATCTACTCCGGACTCCGGACTCCGTATAGCTGGTAGCTATGGAGACATCGCTGCCTTGGAGTAATTACTATTATTAGCCAACAATTGTGTCGACCTAAAACCCCCCGAATTGTTCAAAGTCGATTAAATTGTGGTCTTCAGGCCACTTGTTGACAACTTCCTTTTACGAAAGGGGCTACTCCGAAACACTGGCAGAAAAAAAAGTCCTGATCTCTCATATCTTTCTCACTTCTCTGTGACCTCTCTCATCTTTTACCCTTCACCATCTTTCATAAATCGTTCTAAACTTCTCATTATCACCTTTCCCGATTTTATCCTCTTTTTGCAATGGCCATCTCCATCCCCATCGAAGCGATCACCTCGCGCTTTGGTGACCGTTTCAACAACCTCCGCAGCACCTCCCTGAGCTCTCGATTTGCCAACTTGCGTCCCGTCTCCGAGTTCCTGGACATCAAGCGCCTGTCCAAGCCCGCCAACTTTGGAGAAGCCCAAAGCCGAGTTAACTACAACTTGTCCTACTTCTCTAGCAACTATGCCGTCGTGTTTGTTATGCTCAGCATCTACAGCCTGCTGACCAACCTGGTCCTGCTCTTCGACATGGTCTTCGTCAGCGTCGGACTCTACGGAATCAACATGCTCCAAGGTCGTGATTTGGACCTGGGATTCTCCCGCTTCACAACATCCCAGCTTTACACCGGACTCCTCATCGTCGGTGTTCCTGTGGGCATTTGGGCCTCGCCGCTCAGCACCGCTCTGTGGTTGATCGGCGCCACTGGCGTGACCGTCTTCGGCCACGCCGCTTTGCTGGATAAGCCAATCGAGAATGCTTTTTCCGAGGAGGCGGTTTAGGTGGTCGACCGCGAGCTCCTTTTGATATGCCCCCATGGGGAAGACCACCGGGGGCACGACTGGGGAGAGACAACAGGGGACGCGGGTGGGAGAAGACACGAGTGGAGGAGGTGAATAGTGACGAGGATGTCTACGGGCGAGAGTTGGTGCGGAACGGACGATATGGACGACAGGAATATGGACGAGTGGCGCGCCGGCGTGCGGAGTATGAGGATTTGACCGATGACAACGACTCGGTGGAGGGGGGAGACTTTGATCTGTATGACCACGAAGATAGCACCGTGGCCTACGCAGTTCAATTGGCCATGCGGGACAAGGAGGATCAGTTGGTGGACCACGCGCTGGAGCGAATCCGACGCGCGCAAATGCTCGGACAGAAGAATGTGCGGCTGTCGAAACGTGAGTTGGATGCCTTGGAGCGAAAGCGCCAACAGGGAGACGCGGGAGCTCGACGTCCCAAACAACCGGTCTCTCGACCATCCTCACGTCGAAGCGCAGTGCCCGAACAACCAGCCGCATTCCCATCTTTCGCCCCAGACGCACCCAGTTGGGCCCGTGGAGCAGGTGCGGCCAGTCGGCCTTCCAGCTCATCCTCTGCTCGCCCACGGACGCCCACGACCCAATCGCTTCGGCCTCAGCAATCTGGTTCCCCGCTTCGCCCTACCTACCCATCATATACCCCGGACAGATTCGCAGCCAATGGCCGGCCGCAATCAATGCAAGCGCCAGCCACGTACCAACGGCCACTGCCAGACGACCCATCATGGGCTCCGCCTTACTATAATCCCATGCAGTTGAGCCCGTACGGCGAACCCGCACCGTACCAGCCACAGCTCCCCTCCGATCTTCGCGTCGGCCCTCAAAATCACATGAGCTTCCCTGGCTCTCCATACCAAGCCTACCAATCACCCACCCGCCGACGCACCTCCCAAAGCTCTGTGCAGACCCAGGAAGCCCTAGCACCCGCAGCTGCAGAGTCTGAGAATTCCGAGGATTCGAGCAGCGATGACTCGGTGCAGATCGTGAAAGTGGCCAAGGTGGCCAAGGTGGCGGAGCGACAGGCACCTGTGCAGAAGCGGACGGTCTCCGGTAGCGGTCGTAGCACTCGCAAACGCACGAGTCGGTGATGGTATACTTACTAAAATTCCTATTTTCTTTTTTTCGGTCTGGTCTGTTTTCTGGCTCTTCTGTTTTTCATCTTTGATTCCACCAATGCGGCTCTCCGTAACGCGACGGCGTTTTTGATAGACCGGATTTCTACAGTGAATATTAATACTTCAGTCTAGTGATTGTCTAATTCGTACTGCGTAGGCCGGTAGACCGTAGTAACAACATTTGAAAGGTCCGAGTCATGGAAAATGAGATAAATTAAGAAACACCAACTACCATGGACGTAGGATGTCAGTCCATGGTCGAGAGCCCGAGCCTCTTCGAGATCAAAAGATCATCGTGTGTCTACAGAGTAGGCATCAATACAAAGTAGAAGGCTTGGAGGCTACGCAACCTAAAAGCTAAGCCACCGAAGATCCCTCAGGCGCGAAGCGGTGCCATCCGATTGATATGAACTATTCCTATAGGAGTAATATCGAGCGCCCATCGAGGACGTAGGCTGTAAAGTTTTCTTCGCTGCCTTGGCAAGACGATGACGTCGAGGGTTTAATTAAATCTATAGACTCTGGACTTGCTTTTTTAAATCTCCGTTCTTCACTTCGTGCTTCTAAAGGGGGTACTTTAGACTCTATGGGAATTTGCCATTCCGCCACTACCTTTTCCCCTGGCATGCTACACTCGACACATCGGTCCTAAATGTAAGTTCACACCCTTGACTCAACCCTGGGGATCGCGCGAGTTGCGACTAACAAGACCCAGTCCACTTCGATCAAGCCATTCTCTGCAGAATCCCCCATATAATTACTTTTTTACCCGCAAAGATGTGGATCATATCATTTTGGATGTTCCCACTGATCTCAGCATGCATGTGGGTTGGTAAGATACCCCCGGGATCCCCTAATGCAGAGCGCAAGTTGATACTAACATGTTCCAGCAATGCTGATTGCCATGCTGGTCAGCTGGGTCTACGACGGTAGACCCCATTATGGAGGCATGGACAAAGTACAAACCATTGCGTAAGTCAAATTCCCCTCGAACTCGCCGAACCTATCTAACCGAGCCAGATACATCTCCAACGTTGGCGCAGAGCGTCTCCAGCCGCTCTTCATTGGCGGCAGCGTCGTGACAGTGGTATTCCTGGACCTGGCCTTCCTATCTGAGAGATGGCTTCGACACTCGAACCAGCTAGCATCCAACAAAGGCAAGTTTGACAAGGCGTGTGCGGTTCTTTCGATCTTCTTCGCGATCGCTGGCGCGGCAGGATTGATCCTCCTCTCGATCTTCGACACCAAACACCACCCTAAGATGCATGATGGATTCCTGGCACTTTTCTTGTGAGTTTGATTACCCTCATTCCTGCGCAAAACATCGCTAACGACAACGTTTGTAGGGCTGGATATATCGTCAGCGCGGTCCTGATTTGCGCCGAGTACCTTCGTATCGGTATCTTCTATCGTCGCGAACATCGCGTTCTGCTAGCGAGTTTCTTTATCAAGCTGGCTTTCATCATTATCGAGGTTGGTCTGGCCATTGGCTTTGGAATCTGCATGAATGGCAGTGGCAGTCGCCAGAATACTGGTGCGATCTTGGAATGGACGATTGCCTTCGTCTTCACGGGATACGTTTTTTCCTTCGTCGTGGATCTGCTGCCCTCTGTTCGAACTCGCAATCATGTGCCCCAGGGTGAGAAGTTCGCCATGGGTCACCCTAGCCCCGAGGAGGCTGTCTCTATCGAGGAGCCTTTGACTCATGACTCTGCTGGGCCGAACACCGGCTTCTACCGCGGTCAGCGGGTTTAAGGATCATGATCTACTGTACTCTATGCCGTTGATGTCGTTTGATGCCTTGCGCTTGTCTTTTAATTTTTTGTTTCTTGTCTTTCCATTTACTTGGCTTCTGTTTTACATCGTTGATACCCTTGCTTACATCTGGGGCGCGCACATACTAGATCATCCAATCCTAATATGATTCATTCTGTCGTATAGAAATATTAAAAAGTAGCCCATTCGCCATCTCATGCAATCTAGCATCCCAGCCCATGAAAGTACTATTTACAGTAATACAATGCTATCAAGCATCAAGCCAGAAATTTCCTCCGTATGATTTCCTGCTTCTCCACTCCCACCCCAATCTTCTCCAAATACCCGCAAACACCCCCAAATCTCTGCAGATATTCTGTCGTATCCGTAACAAACCCAGCCGGGCATCTCGTATAATCTTCCCCGAGACCGATGGCGCGAATTTCCTTCATGCGCTCTTCGAGTTCCGGCACCAGCTCGAGTTCCGAGCGACTGTAATCATCGACTATGGCTGCAGTGGGCACCGCGTCGCCGGCTAATAAAAGCATCATCAAGACCACGAGGCCCGTTCGATCTTTGCCCTGCGTACAGTGGACGAGGGTGGGATATGAGTCCTCTTTCGCTAGGATGTCGAATACAGCACGCACTTCTGCTTTGCTGGCCTCTAGCGTGTCTTGCGCTAACCCTATCAGGCCGCGTGGGACCATGGCCGTTTGGCAGATGAGTCGCACTGCATCACTGCGGTAGCCTGTTGTTACAAGGCTGATTGCTTTTCTGGGGGGAAATCATTAGTCAATTCATTCTTTCATGTCGCATAAATCATGGCAACGTACAGATAAGTATACCAGTCCAGTTTGGATAATAAGGCCCGTTCGAAGCCTTTGCCCGTTAGACTGATTAAGGCCCGCTCGGAGCCTGGTATTTGGAGGAGGTGCTCATCGGGATTCGTGGGGACCGAGGCTGTCGTGAGATCTGATTCTGAGATTTCTTGTTCTGATTCTGACTTGGCTATTTCCGCGCGTCGTTTACGCGTGCCCATTTGATGTTCTGTTCTGGAGGGAGTCAGTCATACTTTCTTTTTGCTCTCTTTTTTCTTTTCTTTTTTGAACAGTCACATACTGTGATCGAAGGTCGATAACGGTGTGGATATGCAATTCCTCGGCTAGACGCCTCTTATCTCGTTCTGATGCATCGTCCAGCTAAGAACTTGGTCAGCCTATGACGCACCGAAAAATAAAAGTTGGCATACCCTTGCGCTGCGAAAGAAGACACCTTCCTTGAGGATCCTATGTTTTTGTTAGGAACTTGAATCTGGGATTCGACGCGTCATGCTCACTCTTTGCGACAGAATTGGTTGATGGAGCGGCCGACATCGCGGAAGTTGATGATATTGTCAAAGGGCCGGTCGGGAGAGTCCAGGTCCACGCTATTGTGACGCGACATGGTGAAAATTAGGAATTAAAAGGAGTATAATTTAAAAAGCAAGGGGAGAAGATGAATCTGAGAATCCCAAGATAAAAAAAAAGGTGGAGAAGTACAAATGGCGGTGGAACAGGGTGGTTGGGCACCGATAGTCGCCTAGACAATGAACTTTTGTTTGCGTGAAACTTGTTTTGGAGTACAGAGTACTACATTTATACTAATATGTAGAGAAATGAGTAGTACTTGAGTAGTACTTCGTACTTAAGTAGAGAATAAAGTCTTAGTAATTGACGTCCGGGGTAAACACTTTGACCAGGAGCTACGACCACCTGTGGAGCTCGTTTGTTCTGACTTCTCTTTCTGTCTCTCTGTCTCTGTCTCTCTCTGTCTCTCTCTGTCTCTCTGTCCTTCTCTTGTCTCCCTTGGTCTGGTCATCTGTTCCCCCGGTCCCTTTGGAGACCTTACAATCATGCAACTGCACACGTGGACTAAACATACTCCCCCCTGTCCTTCCATCGTGGCTGCAAATAAGACCAATCGTGATTGAAGTCAAATCCAGTCCGATATGCACCATAAGCAACCAACTCCACGCGACTCAATCGAGCCCCCGCGTCTGTCAAGGCCCACAAACTAATTGCAAGTGTATTTCCCCCCCGATTGTTGATCACTCCAGGTGGGAAGGGGAACCTTGTCTGCGGTCCAATGTGCGGCAAATAATGTCCGAACTGGTACCCGTTCATGAAAATCTGGACCACCGCCGGCGAATCCAGTGCGTCCAACTGCAGACCAATCGGAACGTCGAGGTCGGAATCAAGATTGAGCTTGAATGTCGTCGTGTAGAATCGCCCTGCTGCCCCAGTCACCCCATCCAGTGGGCTGTTCGATGTGGCGGTTTTCGACGTCTTGTACCCGGGTAGGTGCCAGCCAAGTCGTTCACCGTGCAATCCGCCTTCGTTCATAGGACCGCGCACCGGATCGATGTTTGCTTCGCCGCCCGCGTTTCCTTGGATGCGCCAGGAGGTAAAATTCCCACCCAGCAGTGTCGCGCCCAGGATACCGCGAGGGTTCTGTGCGCCGTTTGGCTTCACATTTGCTTGGTCGTGGCCTGTATAGTCCATGACGACGGTGAGCACGTTTTCAGTCTCCAGGGTGCTGTTGAACGAGAGCTCGGCGGAGGTGGCTGCTAGATCTGGGTCGCCGACGGCTCCGCCGACGTACACCCCATTCAGCCAGGCTGCCCAACCGGCAGCAACACCATTCTGAACTGTAAGGTTAGCACCGCTTGCGCTGCCGTTGAATCGTCCACGATAGATCCTCGTCCCCGCGTGGTAGCCGTAGTCTCCGGAGTACAGCACTGGGAGGGTAAGAGGCTCCACGGAGTTGGCAGACGTTGTCTTATTGCAGACTGTCCAGCGAGAATCGTCGTATCCTGGCTGGATCTCCGGGAGTGTGTCTTGGGCCTTCCAGGATTTCAGCGTTGGGAGCGATATCTTAGCGTCTTGAGCTCCTGGGGCTGTTCCGATCAAACTGCCGTAGGCGGTTTTCTTGGTTGTGATCTCCTTGCCATTCCATTTGATCTTGGTCACCTTTGAATTGCCCGTGTAAACCCTGCTGGAATTAGCAAAAAGCCATCACAGAACACGGATGCCTGCACTCACTCAAGGGAAGTTTTATTTGCGTTATCACCAACAAGACTGACAGTGTGTCCACTGACAGTTGCCGTTCGGACAAGATACGGCCCCAGAGCGATGATCTGCTTACTTGGATCCACACTTGGATTAGAAGTTGTCGGGATTGCGAAGAAGTTCCACGCTGTTTCCTTGTCGAGAAGATAAACTAGCACGCCGTTCGAGAACTTGAGCACTGTCGTTCCTTCTCCTTGGGTATAGGTGTACTTGGTCCCATGATCCGAAGAAACGGAGCTCACTTTGGAGTTGCCGTATGTCTGGAATGTAAGCTTGGTCGGAGCATCCTTGAAGACGAACACCCCCTTCTGTCCAATGTTCAGATAGAAGGCAATGACATCCAAGTCAAGCTTGGCAAAAGTTAGAACTTCGGCGGATGAATAGAGAAGACTTGATTCTTTGCCGATTTGATAATCTGTCACGATAATCTTGCTCTGGCGGCCGGCGAGTTCAATGTCAGGGATGGCAATTGCCCCTACAAAGTGAATATCAGTAACCCAACTCTTCATGTTGATCTTGAAAGTGGCACATACCAGCTGAGGTGTTGGCATTCAGCGAAAAGCTAGTCACATCACGAGACGAACTGGTGGAGTGCGCAAGGACATAGAAGCCCGCCTGGCTATCGGGATTGCGCAGGGCCCAGGTATAGATACCAGCATCACTGGTGTAACTTGTCCCATTGCCTTCCATCTGGGTCTTCAAAAGATCCGATGAGACACGAGTGAACAAGCCAATAAGTTTGGTCTGCTTCAACTTGTCCCGAATTTCACGGGTCTCTCGCATGGGAGCCGAGTAATCGTACGAAGTATAAACAACAGGAGCAGCACTCTGTCCCCAAGAGGTAGCCCCCATGACCATATAGATATTCTGCAATGTGACCCTTGAGCCAATATTGTTCTTGTAGTAGACATCGGCGAACTCAGGTGAAAGCTCCGTCGAGCAGGTGTCATAGAAATTCCCGCCCCAGGCAGAGAACCAACCACCCTCAAACTCCGGCAAGTACTCAGGCTGAGAACTCGAGTAGTTTTGGAACCACTGGTAATATGTACGAACGAGATTGAACCCGGTGTTCGGGTTTGTGCATGACAAACCGCCAGGGTAGGAATCCAGTCCGTAGACGTTGACTGCACCGCCCACATCCTGATAGTCTGTTGACCAGCTCATGGAGCGCATGCCCTTTTCATTGTGAGTGCTCGGAACAAGGATCCCGGCTTCATTAAACGCGGCCTTGATCTGCTCCATATACTTGACGACAGTGTTGTCAGCGCTATGGGTTGTTTCCTGCAACTCATTCTCATGTTGATTAAGGATGACAGGTCCACCATTGGTGATTTGATTCGCTGCGATGATCTTGCCGACCTTTTGGATCCAGGGGTACCATCTTTCATAGTAAGAGCTTGCGCTTGTACGAGTGCTGCCCATTTGACCATTTGAGGCCCAAAGCGCGAACCCGCCGGCAGAGGTTTCGGCATTGCAATAAGGGCCTGCACGGGCGATGACATACAGGCCGGCCTGTTTGGCGTAGTCGAAGAGACGCTGAATGTCGTGGGCACCGGTTTCAAAGTCAAATGTATCTTTTGAGGCAGAGTGGTAACTCCAAAAGAAGTAAACTTTGCACAAAATGAGTGTCTTTTTCTCGTGGAGTCGCTCGCATCACTTACTGGAGACGGCGTTGAACCCATTCGATCGAAGTTTTTGAAATACGTCCAACCATAGTTCTGGCACAGGAAGACGTTGGTAGTGGAATTCTCCTGAAAAGACAAATACTCGCTCGCCTTTGACGGAGAGACTGTACTTGTCCCAGGTTACATCGGTGGTTTTGCCATTGTCAGTTGCTGAGACAAAGGATAGTAGTCCTAAGAGGACGGGGAGCAGCGCAAACAAACGCATGACGGGTGACGGCGTAGCGAATTAGGCATGCCATTTTCCCCTGAACTATATAAACGCAATATTTCGGTCTTTCGCGGTAGAGATACCCCGTATCGAGCTCGGATTGGTGGATGTTTGTAAATTAATCTATGTCGCATTAGGCAATTCTGATGCGGGGGAGATGAGTGTAACCCCTGGGATAATTTCGGGAATTGGGTTTTCACAATGAAGTAGATGTATAAGTACTTAAGTACTGCTTGTTCTTGTTCGGTTTTCTGGTTTTTAGATATTGACGACCTTGGAACTTCTTACGTTGCAAGTATCTGGGTGATATCCCGAAAAGTTTCCGGAAATATGTATCTGAGCAAAACACCCAGCAGGCTCAAAACATAACCCAAAAGACCTCGGAATATCTGTAAAAACCTCATTCGTCCAAGTTTCCACCTGCGCAACATAGACCCGAAGCCTCAGGCACCTCAGCGACTTGGATTGGATATTTTTCCCTGAGCGCAGTACCAACATTGGAAACTTGTAGATCAAATTTACTTTGCTTATGGAGGGCAGTCAGTTGGTTTCCAGGGTTTCTTCGTTTTAGTCCCTTTTTTGCTTCTCCACTTGGAATTTGATAGGAAGTTAAAGGCAAGGTTCATTGATTTGGGTTGGTTTCCCCAATTTGTAGTGCCAGAACTCTTGTAGATCGGCTTCGATTCTGTCTGAGACCACAAAGCCTTTTTGCCGTGTCTTGCGAAGAATTTCCAAAACTGTCCCCTGGTCATGACTCTCAATGACATGGACTCCAGCCATTCGGAGAGGAAATAATAAGAGAACCGCCGGTATACATGTATCATTGAGAAGACCCTGAGACAGACCCAGAATTTCAGCGACATGTTGGTCGACTTCGCTGTGATTTAGCTGAGGAATCATCCGCGTCATCCAACATGAATAGTAGGTAAAATTGTTGCAGTGATATAAAAGAAGAGCGTGATGAACGATAGCAGCCAATTTGGTGAAAGAATCCACCGAGGTTTCTGAGTGGCATTCTTCTTGCCAGTTGAGAATTGTTTCTTTAATATAGAGCCCTTCCAGAGCAAGAGTGTCCAATCTGGGATCAAAAGATCTCATCTCCTTGGAAATGCTCTCAATTGTTTCGAATAGCCTAGAATATTTAGCGAATTCCACCTGTTGAATGAGGAGAGATGGCTTACCTCTTAGCAAACGTGGAAGTTTGCATCATAAGCATGATGATCTTTTTCATGGGATCCGGCCAACTTTCTCGCATCAAATTCCACTGCAACTCGTTTGGAAGAATAATATTGTCACCAAAAAGGATGGCTCTGTTGGTTTCGAGAATCCAAAACGCATCAACCAAGCTCTTTGAGATCAAAGGAAGCGGATGACTAGGGTTTAGCAGTACTAGCACCTTCGATGTGCCAGAAACCATGTGATTCGCGAATGAATTGCCGGAACTTTCAGCCATCAGCTATGAGAATGATTAGTGCAATTTCCGATAATGTAAATATGATCATACCTCAAATAGACCATGGAGAAATGAGCTCCAAAACACGTCATCTTTGAAGACTAAACCTGCGGTCGAAATTGCAGTATATAGATCTTTTATTGATCTGCCGTATGCCCGGAATGCAATTTGCTGAGGAGAATCAAGTTTTTTAAATGATCTGGTAGCGCCCTTTCTACTGGCATCCAAAGCTCCGATTGCGATAGCAATATGCCGAAGTAGAGGATATTTGCCAATGATAGTGGCTAAATCTGCGATTGTAGCAGTAAAACCTTTGCTGAAGTGGCATTGTCGAAGAAAGGATGCGAAATTATCTAGATAGATGGTATCATCGTGCTTCCCCACTTGCAGAGGAATTGTCGAAGAGAACACCTGACCCGAGACATGGACGAATTGAACTTGTGTCTGCTCTAGCCGCTGCGGCATACAAACTTTGCTGGTTCGGACGCATCTCTCACAGGGATGACCTCCATCACACTATGCGTTGTGTTAGTTCAAACTCATCTCAATGAACCAAAGTACTAGTTGCTCGAACCTTGACCCGTCGGTTCGCACAAGGCTGACAGCGTGTTGTGATTTTACGCTTGTCCAGAGGCCCAACAGTACGCCCAGCGATATGTGGTCGTACATGCAGCTTCATTGTCATGATTTAAGTTCTCCTCCAACATCCATCTGTTCAAATGAGTCTGTGACTGGAATTTTTTTTTGTTTAGGCTTGTCTGTCATGTGACTTGAAGGCCTCGAAAAAGAAAACAGACATTTATGTTCTAGTGCATCAAGTGATTAACATGGTACATTGAGATTTACAATAAGAATTTGTTATGTGGCGCGATTGGCACTGCTTTCGATTGTTACGTCATTCACAAAATGAGGTTCTACACTATGTAGAAACTCCACCTCAGCCATATCGATACCGCGTTGAAATGATCCCTATATAAAACAGCTTAGGTCTGGATGTTGAAGTATTCGGTGATGACTCTGGTACGCAATCCGGCTGAGAAGTAGTCGTATCCAACCATAAGATCGCAGTTGCTCACGTAGACCGTAACAGGAATAGCTCCCTGATACATAATGTTCCACTGTTGTGATTGATCGTTAGCTTCGGTACTATACCAGACTCGAAATTGACCCGGCTAAGTCGACTTACAGCTGCCACAAGGTGATCATTGAACTGTCGTCGGACCAGTCCGCCAAAAACAGCACCGTTTTGGGCGAGGATATTCTCATGGAACAAGGGGAAGTTCGAATTGACAAATCCTTTCCATACAGCTGGCTTATCGGATTCATAGCTATAGGTAGTCAAAGTGTTCTCCACCAGACCTTCCTTGGTGGAATTGGCGTAATTGAAGAAGGACGAGGCCATGCTACCATCGAAGGCTTCATCGACACGAACGGAGTTTTGAGAAGGCGAGTTATTGATGAAGCCAGTTGTAATGTGCGAGAGATTTTGGTTCCTATTGCCTTTGTTAGTCGACAACAGAAGACGGCGGGCATCAGCAGCTATCGCCTACCATTTATGCTGGATAAAGCTGGTCTGATACTCGGCCTTTATCATAGGAGGAGTTGGCTGTTCAAACTCGGAAGAGAATTCGATCATTGACGAAGGAAAAGGACGACAGCTATATGCTTTCACTGGCAGCACGCTAGCAGCAATCGTCACGAAGAGTAGTTGAAGGAAGCGCATGATTCGAACGTGAAGACAGAACTCAGAAGATGAAAGAAGGAGTGAAAGATGATATTTCTGAAAGACTGGATGTGAGGATGTTGGCCATTTTATACTTATACTTCCAACTAGCACACCTGGGCACATGGACGTAGACTTGATCATTCTTCAAGAATCTAGCTGGCTCCGGCTCCGAGGCTCGCTCAATGGATACCGTTTCGGGGCATCGAGGCTTAGGCAACAATCGAGTAGTTACTGCAGTTCGGCCAGATCCATGAGTCCGAAGGTTGTTAATACTTAAGTACTAGGTTACGAGTGGAGTCCAAGTGCGTTCAATTACTTCCTGATTTGGTTAGTTGGACTTTCCCAAAGTAGAAGCTGTGGGGCAATCATGGATCCATGGATCTAGAGTGCACTAGGCCACTTTGGGCCACACTTGAAAATCTCCCATGGAAAAAGTTCATGGTCAATTGTCTTTATGATGATTAACTTAGTGACCGGTGTAGCATTGAATAGGCATAAGGAATGGTAAGAAGCAACTTTGGAAGAAACCTGTAGTGTTAACTGAGATTGAGGGTGTCGGTCAACATTCTGGTCTTATACTTCGCTGTACTCCGTACGGAGTATACTGTACCGGAATGAGTAGCGGAGATGTAAATCGACGCCTCCAAGATGCCTACAGGCATGGCTTGGGCTTAAATAATTTCAAAACGGAAACGGCCTAGAATGAACAGACACCGGAGTTACGAGTATAAAAAATTCCAACATAAATTAATTTGAATATGTACGCAAGACTCAAAAGTCAGCGAAGAAAACCTCCCAATCTCCAACCCGAAAGCGCCAAATCATCAAAAATCTCACCAAAATCATTGACATACAATACATATGAATACATATAGCAACATCCAAATTCACTCTCAAAGATCCTCCGAGAACTTCGACTCCCGCCTCGTAGTCATAGTATCACCGACAGCCGGCGGTGCTGGTAGCCCCTGCTCCGGCGCACTGTTCTGCACACTAGGACCGTCAGTCTTCACACTCTGCACTTCGGAGTCCCGCCTGGACTCCTCAGCATTAGCCATTGGCTCATCGTCACTGCGGGACACCCGTCTGAGGAAAGTCCTGCGTAGCCGATCTCTCTTCCGGCCCTTGGAGGAGCCTGCTCCGGACTCTCCGCTTCGCGTCTTTGTTACGTCAAAGTCATTGCTGTAGTAGCTTGATGAGCGATTGTGGGTGGGAATTTCGATTCCGTTGAAAGGGTGGGAGCTCAGTGCTGCACCACGCGGCTCTTCGGGGCCGGTGAGCGCGGCACCGCCAGTGAAGGCTGGCTCGCTGTCTGTGAAGTCGGGTCCAGGTTGGTGGGGGTAGACGGGGATTGGACCAGATGAACGGCGGACGAGGCGGTCCCGGAACCAAGACTTCAATTTAGAGTCAGCACGGGGGCTGTTGACAGGTGGTGTGAAGTAGTGGATTGGTGTGTCGCGTTGGGCATTGTTCAGAGGGGCGGATCGGCGACGCGGAACTGCGGGCGGGATATCGTCGAGTTCGGAGGGCTGAGTGGACTCTTGGGCTGGAGCGGACTCTAGGGTTGGGACATGAAGGGGCTCTTGGTTGGGCTCTTGAGTGGGTTCCGGGGTGGGCTCTTGAATGGGCTCTTGGGTTGCCTCTTTGGTCGGCTCGTGGGGCTCTGTCGCTGCGGATGGGACGACCGCAACGGGACCGGCACCGGCTACCTCAACGTCACTGGAAGCTTCCTCTGGGATAACATCCTTCGAGATGTTGTTGCTTGCAGCAAGCGCTTGTTCCTCCGCAGGTTCTTGGGTAACAGGTGAGACGGCCTGAGCTTCCTTGGCCTCGGATTGCTCAACGCGAGCGCGCTTGCCCTTCATGCGCCACAAGAAAAACTTGGGGATAGTGACCTTGCTCTCGCTTTTGTTCTTTGGTGTGTCTGTGATGGTTAGCTTAAACCGAACTGAGACATAAGAGCGCAACATACCCTTGTCTTGCTTCTCCAACTCTCTCAACTCAGCCTCACGCTGACGTTCCACAGCAGCATGTCTCTGTCTCTCTTCAGCATCTAAGCGCACCTCAACATCGTGAGCCCGCTGCTGCTCGGCATTCTCAGTGATCTCATCAAGTGCTGGCTGTAGTCGAGATCGCGCAACAGCTTCGATATCAGCGTAATCCATGTATTGCTGACTACCGATCTTGACTCGGTCACCCTGCTGAGTAGCAGACTCGAAGGCTTCAGCCTCCCGACGTACACGCTCCTGCGCAACTTCATCCCATCCCTTCTGCACAGAAGGTGGGGCCCGGCCAGTATTGGCATAGACCCGCGCCTCCATATCCTGGAGAGTCTGATCGACGTTTCGGCGAGCAGCCTGCATCAGCATCTCACGATCCTTGGTTCTGCGGTCATCGACACGATTCAGTTTGGTACGTAGACCTGCCATCTGATTGCGAATCTGGCGCGACTGCTCAGCGTCAATCTGCGATGCGTCGGCATCGCTAGAAGTCCGCTTGCGACGACTGAGACGTGATCGTTGCGCTTGTGGGGCCGTGCCGTAGTACTGTTGATACTCGGCGTTTTCATCCTGCATTCGAGCCAGTTTCTCGGCGGCGCGCTTCTGTGCTGCGTCTTGTAGAGCTATTGCCCGCCGGACAGCAGATCCATCCGCTGTTGATACGGTCTTGCGATAACCCAATTGGCTCTGACCCTTTTGGGCTGCGACGAGGGCGGGATCTGATCCCCCAGATTCCTTCGCATCGGTGACTTTGTACATATCCTTCGCCATTGATATAGCCGCAGCACGCAATGAGTTCCTGTAGTTTTGCTCGTCGACCTCGGGCTGAACAGGCGGAGCCGCGGTATACAGTTTCGCATTGGTATTAGCAATATGATGGATCCGGCTGGCCTCCATAGCCCCGTCCAGGTGGTCTAGAGGTGCATCTTCCGCGACGCGAGCATGTCGTGAGGCGCCTGCAGCAGATAAGGCATAAGACGTATCAGACGAAACCCCCTGATCACTAGGTACGGAGTCGGCTCTCTTGCGGGAAGTAGTGTATGCGCCCGTTGCGGCCTGGAGAGCCTTTTCTTTGGGGTGACCGCCGACCGCAATGTGGTTGTACCGATCGACGGAAGAACCACGCTTGTGAACGGGAGCCGGAGCTTGGGCCGCGGCCCGATGTTCGCGCACTGCGAGCAGCGCAGCGCCCAAACCTTCTGCACTATATTGAGTCGACGGCTGGGGTTGCTGAGGCGGTGTGAAATCCTTAACACACAGGGCCGCTTTTTCGGCTGCGGGCATTCTGGTCGGGGGTTGCCATACTTCGACCGGTTTGCGATTAGCGTGGGCGAGGGCGGAGGCGGCCGAGGCGTGGCTGAGATTAGGGGTTCGGGCTATCAGAGCGTTAGGGTCCACCCCTTTCATCAAGGGGGTGCTGTACGAAAGTACGCGATCAAGACTCACCGAAAGTGTTTGCTGTCGAACGAGTAGACGCTCTGCGTTCAGGGTGAGTTACATAGAGGGCAGCTGTCGCGGCTATCACTCCCAAGTTAGCTATCAATGATCTTCACGATGGGATGACGATCAGGGATTTAGCTCACCATCATCTGCTAAGCGGGACCTGCCCGCAGGCATCTGCGCAGTCGCCATTTTAAAATGGGCGATATATGAGACGTCGAACTTCCTCCACGATGGGGAACCATACTAATACTAAGCGAAAAAGCTGGACCGGAAGCTTCTTTCACCCCCGTGACGTCGGCTGCAACGGAAGATCGGCGTAGTGAGCGCCATTGCATCATACACTGGATTTCTCGATCGATGAATCAGGAGTAAAGTGGACCGCCGCTTTCAGCCTTTTCTGCGTCTGTGACGTGGGGACTTTTTTCTCCCTTTCTTTTTTGGCGCTTAAAGTGACTAGTGAGGTACTATATTCTTCACGAACCCTGATCTACACGATGATCCTCCACGTTCTGTAACTCGGGAGCTTGAGGGGATTCGTGATCTACGGATTATCATTTCAGTTTTTTCTACGGAGTACTCCATACAGTATTAATTACTGAAATATTTTATAACTGCCCAGTGCATTTCAGTAATCCGACGGAGAAAGTCGGAATTTCCCATCTCATCCGTATCCATGGATGTAAAGGAGGTACCTTAGCGGAGATGGAGCATCTCGAGGATGTCATGACGCGCAAAGAAGGACCGGTTCCATTTCCCGAAGACATCTGTAACAGGGGTGAGCGCAGAACACGATTCAATGCGGGTAGACTCTTACACATGGGGATACTCAACAGGCAAATCCCCACTTGGATACTACCAAGGACAACCATGGTATGCTTAATGCCCCCGTGGGAGAACCATTCGTACGCATAGAACGTCAGGACAAAGCTGAACATGTTCTTAAAAACGAGCATGCAAGTGAAGGCCTCAACAGCCATCTCACCTAATACAGTCAGCACCCTTGCGTTGCCCAGACCTTGCCTTGGCACTTACGATGCGCATCGACGATGTAGAGGGATGCAGCAACTGCACCCATCACCATGCCAACAATCAGGAATGCGAAAAAGACATCGGGCAGCAACCAGCCATATCGTGCCACATCGTTCGCAGTCCATCCAAACCCGTAGAGACCAATCCCACAGAATAGAAGCTGGAAGATCACAAGCAAGATCCGGAACTCGGGTTCATACTTGCCATGGTTGAGTCGAATCATCACCTTGTTCATAGAGTCGGAAAGCAACCCGGACAGAATGAGACCCACAATGGAGCCGATGAAGGCCCCCGTGTACAGGTAGCCGGTCTTATCTTCCTCGAACCACAGTGGCGGCCCGAGAAAGACAATTGCCAAGACTACGCCGAAGAAGACGGCCCAGCCGATCACAACGCCCTGAATGAGGCATGCCTGGTCCGGTGAGTGCTTGATCTCGCTCGACGAATAGACCCACTTACCCAAAGAATGCCCGGATGGAAGAATAACGGGAATGGACGAAGGAGCAACTTGAAGAAGCTCTCGTCTGTCTTTCGTCTATTGAAGAGCCGAAGCGATTTCACAAATGAATCCTTTTCTGGAATCGGTATCGCGGTCTCAGCCGCGGCATGAGAGCCCGGGCTCAATTCTTTCGTCTCGTCATTAAACGCACTAAGCGATGCATGAGACTCACTCGACTCGCCCTGTCCACCACTGCGTCTGAAGTCTGTGTTCAAATTCTCAGCGCGCCGGAATGCGGTTTCTGGTACAAAAAAGAACATGAGCGGGAGCGAAGCCCCAAGGAAAATCGCGACGAAGTAAAAGGACCATTGCCATCCCATCGTTTTCGTGATCTTCCCCACCACGACGGGGGTCAAGAAAGCTGCGCCGAACAGCGCAACATTGGAAATGGCCATTCGTTTACCTCGTTCCTACATTCGTTAGCGCTGCCCTTGGATTAAGAGTAGTCCGACTCACATGGACGAAATAAAGATCTCCCACACAGGCATTCACCAACGCCTCGAACGGCGCCAGCGCAACACCCTGGAAGACCCGTGCCCAAATCAGACTGTTTGTGTTCTTGCCGCTTGCCCCGGCCCACGCACAGCTGGCGATCATGAGCACATGGCCGAGCAAGAACAAATGCCGTTTGCCCCATACTCGGGCAGTCGGAACGATTAGAATACCTGCGACGCCCACGCCGCACAGGTGATACCCGGTCAACAGCGCCGCAGCGGTGAACGTGATCTCCTCGTAATCGGCGATGGTGACTGTGTTCGCGGCCAAGATAGAGGTGAGGGTGGTGCAGAGAACGGTCACGAAGGAAAGTATGGCGAGAATGAGATCGCGACGCCATAATGGCCAGTTCTAGATTGCATTTAGCTTTTTTGGGCTGAGTTGCGGTCTCCGAAGCATACTAATGGGTCATTGGGATCGTTGCTCGGCTGCGGCACGAGGATTATAGGCTGCGGGCCTGAAGTGTCGCATTTGAGGCCTAGGGTGGGTTGATCGTTGGACTCGTAGATGTCGCAGGTGCCTGTTGTTGTTAGCCGGTGATCTCAGCTTAGGACATATTCTCTTGCCTGGAACATGCGCCAAATGCTTGTCTTCCAAGACTCCAAGGCCCATGATTGTAGGTCTTGGCAATGGTGAAGAGGTGAGGGTCCCGAGAGCTAGGAAGCCATGGGGCAACTAGTAGATAACAAGCATGCAGGGCGCAGCACGCATTACGCAGTGTAGTGCAATTGATGCGCCAATAGGGGTCAATCAGCAATGTCAATCAGCAATGCGGCTTTCACGACGGCCTCGGTTTATAATCTATTTTTTTAAGGGCCGAATGTGAACCCAGAGGTATTGACTACTATTGGATTAGGGTCAGAGTATGCTTTCCAGTGTATCCAACCCGGTTGATATGTCACTTTGGCCCCCAATCTTCAGTCAAAACCGGGAAACGGGCGGGGAAGCTGCAAGCGTCTGGGGGATCGGCACCTTTGGGCCGAGGCGTCACGTTCATTGACACCTCCATCCAAGGGGAGCCAATGAGGCCAGTAAAGGTGTGCGGTCAGTGTTCATCACTCCACTGTGGAGATTAGGCCCTGACTGCGGAGTACTCCGTACTAAGACAGTGTGTGCACATTGGAACAGTGGATGTGGGTGTGAGTGAATACCGCAGAAAGAGAAAGGTGACACAGTGGTGGTGTATTAACGCCACAGCCCCCAAAGAATATGCCACTCGAGATAAGCCCCATCTACTGCGGACAAACCTTGGGAGCACGGAGTAGCTGCGTGAGACCTGTGGAAAGTCACTAGTAACTTTACTCCAGGGAAATTCTGCTTTTCTTTCGCAAAAGCGGGGGATCTTACTCTGTCATATCATACAACTCGCTCTCACACAATGAAGTTCAACGCCCTCTTGACCCTGTCAGCTCTGCTGGCTACTGCCTGCGCTCAAGGCCTGGGTGATCTGCCAGACTGCTCAGTAAGAGAGAAATCCTTCTAGGTCTTGCTGATAATACTAAACCTCCAACAGAAAACCTGTGCCACTGGTGCCATCCCCAAAAACTGTGGCATTGATATCAAGTGCATCTGCGAAGCCAAGTCCTTCTTGAGCGATGTCTCTTGCTGTGTGGCCGACAAGTGTTCCAAGGCAGACCAGGACAGTATGTGGCTCTCCGCTCATTGCACCAGTGCATCAAAGCTAATATGTCAACAGCAACCCTGAAGGTCGCAAGGTCCCTCTGTGCCCGCGGTGGAGTAACCGATCTCCCCACCTCAGTGACCTGCTCCACCGATGCAGGCTCATCGTCTACATCCTCTGGCTCTAGCTCAGCCGAGACAGGGACCAAGACTGGAAGTGAGGCCTCGTCTACTACCCAGACGGGCTCAACCACCACCGGCAGCACCTCAGCCACGGACAGCGCTTCAACCTCGGCCTCCACTTCGTCGTCGGCCGCCGCATCGACTGGTACCAATGCTGCTGTCATCACCCACCAGGACTCTTCTCTGATAGCAGCTGCCGGAGCCGCTGCCGCACTTGCAATGCTCATCTAAGCGCATTGACGGCAAGCATCTGAGTGATGGAATTCGGGAATTGAAGAGTTACCATTAGAACCAGTATCGAGCCATGGCCATTGAGTGACTGATGACAACGGAATGATTGGACACACTCCGTACCTAGTGACCTGTATATTGTATCGGCATTATTACCGTGAGCGACCAGCTACACGGTGCAAAAAAAAAAAAAAATGACAAGTAATATATGTCATTGCCAACATTGTCTAATGATAGTAATACAGGTCAATGAGGATCGATCACTCCATATTACGAGTGTCCTCCAACAGCTTGGTCAGGCGCTCCTGGCGCTCCTGACGAAGGGTAGAGAAAGCCTATGAAGCCTATTAGCAAGGTCCGATCACCGTTGAGCGCAGGGTAGCACTTACCCAGAACCAAAACATCATCTCCAGGAAAGCAAAGGTGAAGACAACCCGATTCTTCAATCGGTCCAGTCCTCCAAGCGCTGCAGCACTGGTGTAGGCCGAAACTCCGTCCGCGCGACCCTGGTAAATGAAGAACGCAAGACCGGCGTAGACGGCAAACTTGCAGCCTGCAACACCAATCCAAACAGCCCAGTACACGGTCAAGGATTTGGTGATATATTCCGGCAGGTTGTGGAGAACTTGAAGGTCCTCCGCGGGGAGGTTTCCATTTCGTAGGGGTCGGATGTAGGGCAGGGCTTCATCGAGGGCCTCATGGAAGGGGATGTTGGATAGTAGGACGAGATCGATAAGGGATTCGACCAAAAGCAGCACCGCACAAAACGTGAAGGGGGATTGCTGTGGGCTTGATATAGATGGGAAATCCTGGTTCGCGTCAGTACTGAATCTAGAGCTAATTGGGAGAGCGCGCGTACGATCTTCAATGCCTCGCCCATCATGAATACCATGTCGGAGTCGACGATCATCTCCGGATTTTTGATCAGGTAGCCTGCTACGACGAGCAGGAGCACGGCGTGCACCTGAATGAGGGTTTTCGATGATACAAGAACCATTGTGCAATTTTATAAAAAGATGTTGACAGGAGAGAGAAGGGAACGAAGGGACAAGTTGACAAAGTGGAAGGGTCGCACATAAAAGGCTGGCCCGAGTGTTTTGCCTGTGGGGAAGAGCTTCGAGGTTCCCCCCCCCCCCCACCACATTTCAGTCGCAGTACACATAATCGCCACTCGATACTGAGCTTCTGAGCTATTGAGTGATACAATGACTGATTCAGAGGCGTCTTTCACTACAGAGCGCCATGTCAAATACTACCTCCGATGTCTAAAGACCTTTCTGCCATCCGCATACACCTCCAATGACTCCAACCGGATGCTACTGGCCTACCTGACACTCTCCGGCCTGGACGTCCTGGGTGTACTCCAGACCAAAACTACACCCGAAGAACGATCAAGCTACGTCAACTGGTTATACCACTGCCAGGTGCCAACGGGCGGATTCCGCGGATTCCCAGGGACGGACTTCGGATCTGACAGGCGGAATAAGGATAACGAAGCTTGGGACCCGGCCAATGTTCCCGCGACATTCTTCGCGCTGGTGAACTTGCTGGTGCTTGGAGATGACTTGTCGCGCGTCAAGCGAAGGGAGTGTCTGAAATGGCTTCCCAGTGTCCAGCGCGACGATGGGAGTTTTGGAGAACTTGTCGGTCCAGACGGCAGCTTGGGTGGTGCTAGAGACTTGAGGTATTGTTGCTGTGCGGCAGGGATACGGTTCATATTGCGTGGCAAAGGGAGTGGGGTGGCAGACGTTCCTGATATTAATGTTGCGGGGTTGGTGTCTTTTATTGAGGCTTGCCAGGTGGGTGGTTTTCTTCGTGATGCTGAGACCGGCCTACTGACATGAGCAGACTTACGATGGCGGCATGGCAGAGTCTCCATTTTGTGAATCGCATAGTATGTGGCACCCCCCCCCCCCCCCCCCCCCCCCCCCCCCACCCCCCCCCCCCCCCCCCCCCCCCCCCCCCCCTCCCCCCCACCCCCCCCCCCCACTCTCGCGACG